CCACATGGGAATACTCGAAGCCGCTACCCAGGCTTCGAGTCTTTAGACAGTATGGGCATTAGGCAGTGTCACTCAGACTTATGTCACAAAGATAGTTTTACTACAACACCATATTTCATTATATATACAACACCATATTATAACCTCGGTGCTGTAAAGGCTAGCATGTAAGTTATTGAGTCTTTCTGTTTAGTAAGCCTTAGTAACAGCCCAGAGTTGGAAAGTTGGCGGTGTTTCACCCCCGTGCTTCCGAGAGCACGTAAAGTCGTCGGTCCTGCGCCTTAACTCTCACTGGTGGTGTCTCGTGTCGTTTCACCGGAGTATTAGAGTGTCAGGAATAGAGAGTGCACTTGGGTCTGCGCGCACACGCGCTGCACTATAATATCTCCTGCGCAGACGGCTAGTCTCAATGAGTTTAGTTGACGTGACCGAAATCGGTCGGGAGCACATTATATTTTATTATTTTGTGGCTATGGTATTTTGGTACTCTCATTGTATTGTTTTATTATGCCGTGCTTATATATAGTACGTTTTTAAACACATTTTTAATAGAAGTATCGCAAGTTTGTCAGTAGGATTTAGATTTTCCATACAAATTCGTACTCTCTAGAATTATCCTTGAGACACCTTATATCAAATTTCTAAGTAAACAAACAAATACGCTGAGTTATTTTTATATTTATAATATGATTATGGGTACCTTCTATCAATTTTATAATTCACTAGCGACTCACCCTCGCTTCGCTCGGGTTCGTCCCTAGGTTCGTTTTAACATTATGGAATAGATAGACTATACATTATATCAATGCTCCGCTCCCTTGGGGAGTAGCATGATGGTAGGTATATGTAATATAACCTATAGAATTTCTTAATAAATGGGCTGTTTAATGCAAAACCAATTTATCAAATCGGATTAGTAGTTAGTGAGATTGGCGCGTTAAAACAAACAAACAAACGAGCGAACAAGCGAACGAACGAACAAACTCTGCCTCTTTATAATATTATATATTAGTATAGATTTACTATATATAATTCATCTTACACAAAATCTAAGTTAATAAAGTAGGTATATGTATGTATGTGCTTGTTCATACCTTACCTAATAATCGTATAGTTTCCTCGACTTTATTACAAAGTCTGTATTCTGAATGTCTATAATTTATTTAAAACTATATTTATTCCCTAACAGTTTAATCTAAGAAAAATAAACGTAAAAAAGAGATTTATGCGGCGACGAAGAAAAAGTGCTTTTTAGAGTTATGATAAGGCACGGTGATTTAGAAATGCCGTTGGATTTTATTTCTTCTTCACACTGTCGAATGCAGAAGACATTGCTATTTGCTAAAAAAAGTATAAAAGTCTTGAGTACGTCCTTAAGTGTCATTTGTATTTACAACAAACAAAAACTGATGTATGAGCTATGTTATTGTAAAGTTTCATTAAAATCCATTCAGTAGATTTTGCGTGAAAGAGTAACAAACATATATACCTACATCCTCACAAATGTTCGCAATTATAATATTCGTAAAGATATACATACAGGCAACCTATGTATGTGTTATTCCACGACGTATATGCTAATCATAGATATATCTAACTATAATATGCTAAATTTTATCCAAGTATGTCTAATCATTTCAGTGTGAAGGAGTAATAAGCGTACAGACATACATTCACATATATACACATATTTATATGAATATAATATAAAATAGAAATAAAGCGAATTCTGTAATGTATTCTAAAAACAATGACCACTACGTACTAGTAAACCATATTATCATTGTCAATTATCTTCTCATTAATGAAATTTCTCAAAAAATAAACTAGTAAGCACAACACAAACTCGGAACTTATTGTTAGTCAAACCTGAAAGATGGCGTAGCATAAGCGACAGTACGATTTTGGAAATCACTACTTGTTTCGCATCTAAACAAAGTAGTAAAGAGTAAAAAGCGTAGTCATGCGTCTTTCTTAACAATCCCATAAAAGATGTTTAGGGGTAAACGAAGGAAATATGTTTTTTTTATTATATATTTTTTATTACATTATAACACAGAGAGTATCCTATGGTAACATTTTACTAACATTATGGCGTACCGCGAAGGGGTTACGTTAAGTTATACGTGTAAGCGAAATCACCATACATATCTCGGTAACAGCCTGTTGGAAAGTTAGCGGTTTTATACTTCTGTGCCTCGGAACTGTGGGACTTACCGGCAAAGCCAGTACTACCCACTAAAACCCAACAAAGCCTTCCCCCGTCTTAATGGGGCGTCGCAGGATCGCTTACGCATTCAACTACGACGCCCCAACGGCAGGTCTGCCGAAGCAGACCATAACAACCATGGGGTTGCTCCACAGTCCTCTCTGCTATCAGAGAAGTACCAGAAGCAACCCGCATAGTACACCACCCACCGAAGAGGGCCACCTCCCTGTGTGTTTCTTGCTTCACGCCCGGCTGGATTGCCGCGCATTACTGAGCCCCACCACCACGACAAGATAAACGCACGTTGAGGGGGGGGGGTCTAATCCCTTACCGTTCGTCCCATGTGCACTTGTGTCTGCCCGAACACTTGTGCGCTATGTATAATATCTCCTAGGGAGATGGCTAGTATCAGAACATTGGTCGTCATGGCCGAAACCGGTCAACCGGACATAATTTTTATCCGAAGTATTTTATTATCAGGAGCGTAATACGTGAGTCGAATGTATGCTGTGTCTATCAATAAAGGAAAACGCGTATAAAAAATTCCCAACCCTATCGTTTTGGGTATAATAAAATATATTTATCTATCTATTTTCATGTATAAATTATCTCTAAAGCTAATGTTTTCGTAAGAATATTCACATGCCCTTACACGTTACATGTAATCTCAAGGCCGGTATCAAATCTCATCTCATTAAATTCAGATATAACATCGGCAAGATCGCTATGGAGACATGGCCCGCGGTATCTCTGTAATAGACCCTCGTTTTGTAAAGAGAAATTAGAATAAACAAAAGATTGTAATGTCGACTTTTACGAAAAAAATATTAGTGGTTAAATGATCACACTATTATTATAAATGCGAAATTTTTTATAATTGTAATATCGACCTATAGACTTAGTGCTCCTGCGGAAAAAGCAAACAGATAAACAGACATAGACAAACAGATAAAACTCTCAAAAACTATGGTATACTTTCTTAGATTTACGCGAATATTTGACATTTTAAATAAAACTATCTGTTCGGATTATTTCGCGGATTTATTTTGATTTTGGGTCCCGACTTCTCGAATGCTTTACAACAATCATGGTCACTGGAGACACTTAGGTTATATATACTTATATATACTTAGGTTTTTTTTAAGTTTATTAATTACTAATGTTATTTAGTGTTGCTATTATTATATTTTGTATAACCATAAAGAATATTTTTTTTAAATATTAATTATTTATATAAGCAATATTATTTTTTTATATGTTAACTCTGGACAGAAATTGTACACATCATCTTTCCAAATATACCTAATAATAAATATACAAGGCACAACCGACAAATGAGACGCTATATATGTATCTATATAGAATTTCGGAAAATCAACCGAATAAATATTCAACAAATCTCTTATTTTCTTTATAAAAGCCAAGTTATTATCCCAGTAATTACCGCTTATTATTTTAAACATCGTATAAATTATAATAATTAAGATAAAGCCCTCAAAGGTGTGTTGGTAACGCTTATTAAATGTGAGTAAAATTAACACAGATCTAACCTAATGATATAAGAAATGACGACACGTTTGGTCCAGTTTGTAGAGACCCGACTTGCTGTGGCAGTGGTCTTGGGTTCGATTCCCGCTGGAGGCATGCATTTGTTTGATGAGCATGAAAATTAATTGTACTCCAGTCGTGGGTGTTTATATTTATATTATGTACTAGCGTTGCCCGCTTCTCCGCCCGCGTTCAGATGACCAAAAACCAAATTCTTAGGTTACATATTAGTATAGGTACTCTTACAATGCAGTTTTTGTATTTTTTCTCAGAAATGAGACATTTTCCCGCGGTAAAAAGTATCCTATATGTTGACCTGGATAGCCAGCTATCACTATACCAAATTTCATCAAAATCCTTACAGTGGTTTTTCTGTGATGCAGTAACAGACAGACAGACAAAAATTCTAAAAACTATAGATTCGGCCTCTGTATCGATAATAATGTTTATTTCAATAATATTTTCCAAAAAATATTTAACGTACGTATGTGATGTATGTGCAGTGTATCAACTATCTGGTATCAATAAAACAAGCCTCGTAGCTTACCGTGGAACTTGATGATGCGGTGTGTTAATGTAAAAAAATATATTATATAGCTTTTTATTTTCTTAAATGTTTGATCGAAAAAGGATACGTAATTGTTTGTCTTTTAATAAAATATTTTGTATATACATATATGTTTTTGTGTATGGAGAGGAAAAAGGTTTTCAACCCTTTTAATCTTAATCCCAGGCCTTTATTCAACTCCGCTCAAAGTTGAAAAGTGTGTTATAGCACTAGTTTTGTATATTAAGTAATTATTTCGAAACACACAATACAATTCCATTTGAATCATGTTGTGGTCCAGTATTTTAAATAGTTTTCTACAACAATGCTTTTAATTTATGATTGGATTTTTCGTTTTTTATAAATAACGAGGTACCTACTCGATTTTGATGTATAGGTATATGTTTATTTGTGTTTACGTTACTTGATTTATTCGTCAATTATATATATATATATATATATATATATATATATATATATATTTAAATTCATATATCTTAAGATTATATATTTCATATAGACCCCATATAAATTTAAAATATCTCTCTATCATTAGATAAATTACTTACTAATGTTTTTGAAGTCAGTGTACATTTTTCGTTCATTTCTAAAGTATTAATAGTAAAAAATAGTCTTAAAAAAGAATTTCTAATATTAAAACAGTGTTCTCCGTTTTTGCAGTTGGAAAATGTCCAGATGCTGGATAAGTATAATCTCCGAAATCCTTCGAAAGGCACGCTGTACTTCGCCACGACGCACCTTATATTTGTTGATCATGAAATGCGAAAGGAGACATGGGTTAGTATTATATTTATATATTTATTACGATTTTCTATAAACCAGCAATGATATAATATTATAAAGATTTCTCAGTATCGATAATAATGTATATTTTAATAAGATTTTCCTAAAAATATTTAATTTACAGATTCGACTCAATTAGAATTTTATTACATACTAGCCACTCACTCTCGCTTCGCTCGGGTTCGTCCCTATATTGATTCCCCATACAAACTTTCATCCCCATTTTCACCCCCTTAAGGGGTATTTCCGGGATAACAAGTATCCTATATCCTTCCCAGGGTCTCAAACTATCTTCTTACCTCATCTTAATCGGTTCAGTATATCCAGAGATTACCTTCTACAACCTCACAAACACACAAACTTTACCTCTTTATAACATTATTAGTTATATTGTATAGATGTATAATATAATAGAAATAGAATATAGACAGATTAGGCACTTTTGTTTATACCCACATCTATCAGTAATGGATTTTTACTATTGACGTGAACATGGTTAGATCATAGATGTGGCAACATCGTATCAAAGTCCTTAGGTGAACTTTATTCGATACTTTGACATCTAAGTTAAAATTCAGTTTAAAAATTGTATTTAACACGTCAAATATTTACTTTATTGGCAGCAAAATAAGCTTCAAAGTATTTCTTCAAGAGACCACGAATAACAAAGTTATTTTTCCAGATGCCAAACTAAAAAAGTATAACCGAAAATATCCCTTAATTAAATCTAAAACATGTACAAGTCTTCAGAATAAAAAAAATCGAAACATATACCTGTGATAGGAATAATTTTTCACAAATTAAATAAACGATAGAGTGAAATATCTATACACCACAGATCATATAATACTATACTGATATAATAAAGAGGTAGTTTGTGAATTGTGAGTTTGAGATGTTGTAGGGGGTAATCTCTGAAAATGGTCATGAAATTTTGTATTGAGAATCCAGCTAGGGGCGAATCCGAGCGAATCGAGGGTAAGTCGCTAGTCTATTGATAAAGTTGGACGTGTAACTAAGTCTTAAGATAAATTGAAAATAGAAATTAATTTCTGATATATTTAAAATCAAATATTGCTACAATACTGAGTTAAAAATATGTTGTTCTATGTAGATACGTTCAATTACTAGAACGTATAGGTCTGTATGTAATGATTAATGTGATGATGCACATCATCAATCATCAGCACATCAGCTGAAGTCGAATGTATTCTAAAAGCAGAATAAAAAATACCTTTTTAAATTAAAAAAAAGTATTGTAGGTACCTAAGTAACGTCTAAAATTTTATTTTCGTGATTGAAAGTTAACAAGGATCAAAGATCGAAGGCTTTGGGTTGAAATAACGAATTTAATATTTTATCAGATTTGAACCTTTTTCCTTATGTAAAAACTTCTTTTTGTTTATCTAATTACAAGAAATAAATAAATAATAATAAATAAATATGTTGGGACATTAACACACAGCACTATCCAGTTCCATGGTAAGCTACGAGGCCTGAGTTATGGATACCAGATAGTTGATACACTACGCATATATAAACTTTAAATACATACATATTATAAATATAAGAAAATCTATACAGAGTATATTATACTACATACGCGAGAGATAGTAGCTATGTTACGACGCGACGTGATCCTGACAAGCAAGACGTACGTGACAAGCTACCTCTTGTTTTATTCAATTAGAACTTAGATAGTAAAGACGACATTTAAGCCAGAATATTATGAGGATCTTTTGAAGTAATCTCAAATGGTATAAAATTATAATTCTATTAGAATCTTTGCATAATATTAATATATAATAATTTGTTGGATATCTCCAAGTGTTTTTATTACACCTACGTGAATTATTTACTTTAATGTTTAATTTAACGAGTGTTCGCCAAGTGCTCGAAATGCGACCACTATCATTATTGAAAATTAATAAGTAACTAGCAGAACCCGCGGCTTCGCTCGTGCTAAAACTACAAAAAATATCTAAAAAGGTAGTTTCATTCAAACTTTCATCCCTTCTTTTACCCCCTTATAGAATGAATTTCGAAAAATAATAAAATACGTATTTATTTAATTTTATTGAAGAGCATTAATACCAAGTTTCAAGTAATTCTGATCAAAAATAAAGTAAGTCGGCTGGTTTGCCAATTAAGGTACCAAAATAACATTTTAAGTATATAACTAACTGCTTTAAGTATTGTATTCTCCATAAAATAAGAATTTAATAATTATATTTTTGATATATTATTAAGACTAAGTATTGAAGTCTGAGAGAACCTAGCAAGTTTTCGAAAGACATGAAGTCCGCCAACCCGCACTTGGCCGGCATGGTGGACTATGACCTGATCCCCCTCTTATTGAAGGGAGGCCTGTGCCCAGCAGTGGGACGTTAACAAGGGCTGATTACTTAACAACCCTTAATACTGCAGTCATTACTTTTGACACTAATATACGTATATTTTATTAATTAGATACTTCTAATGCACATATCGTCAGTCGACCGGCTGCCAATCACAACAACTGGTTCGCCCTTACTCGTGCGCACAAAAACATTCCAGTCTGTATTCTTCGTGATACCGCGCGAGAGGGACTGCCACGAGATGCATCAGACTCTACTGAGATTGAGTCAGCCTGGTAAGGAAGTAAAACTATTAACTTACACTTAAGTTATTTTTTTTAAATAATTTTATGATATTCGATCGATACAATGAATCGAATAAAATAAAAACTTTTTAACAAAAAAATAAAAACCGACTTCAAACAAAAGCACTAAAAAGTACAAAATAACTGTTTGGTAGTTTTCATTTACTATACATACCTAATCAAATATTTTCGAAGTCGGTGTGCTTTGCTTTGTATGGGCTGGCACCGATTTCGAAAATATTTGATTAGGTATGTATTTAATAGGTAGGCTTTAATTACTTAGCAAAAGCACACCGACTTCGAAAACATTTGATTAGGTATGTACAGTAAATGAAAACTACCAAACAGTTATTTTGTACTTTTTAGTGCTTTTGTTTGAAGTCGGTTTTTATTTTTTTGTTAAAAAGTTTTTATTTTTCCCTTTTTAGTGTAGATAGTAGTAGCAAAGTAAGGATTTTAACGTGTTAGGCTTGTCAAATCAAACAAAATAAGCCCAAACTCAAAGTATCTACTATTAGCCGTTGAAGAGTTCCACCTATCCACCTTCTGGCCTTGCCATCAAATCAGGTCAACAACACCGAACCACTGTACTATCAACGGAAATAGAAATACTTGCAAAGTTTCAAGTCAATATGACAATTAGAAGTAGGTTAAATTCATCATTAGTTGTTTTTCCACCCTTAGGGGTGGTATTTTTTTTTGAAATTTAAATGGGACCAATCTGGAAGTATACCCTTTCAAACAAAACAAAAATTGTCCAAATCGGTTAATAAATGTCGGAGTTCTGAGGTAACAAACATAAAAAAAAAAACATACAGTCGAATTGAGAACCTCCTCCTTTTTGAAGTCGGTTGATTATAAAAATGGTTCTTAATTAGGTTAAATTTTAAATCGTATCATTATTTAATATGCTAAAAATTATATTTAAGTCAGTAGTGTAAGGACTGAGAGCAACGGAAAGGGGGTTCTATGAGTCTATTTCATATATAATTACAACTATTTGATTACATATAAGCATAGAATATAAATGTTTTAAACTAAGTATATAAGTCAAAAGTGGTATATTATACATATTATCAAAATTTATTATTCAGAGAATATATAACTCTTATGTAAATATATGACTATTTTGTTGTTAATATTTTTGGATTTCGTATTTTAGATGGTATTAGGCTTATTCTAAAAGCAGAATTTCATTACCTTCGTGTTCTATATTCTTTAAATAAATTAAATAAATATGTTAAGACATTAACACACAGCATCAAATGGTTCCATGGTAAGCTACGAGGCTTGTGTTATGGATACCAGATAGTTGATACACTACACATATTATATAACTTTAATTAGGTACATATTATAAATATAAACACCCATGAATGGAATACATCAACATTCGTGCTCATCACACAAATGAATGCCCCCAGCGAGAATCGAACTCGCAACTACACGTCACTACAAACTGAGCCAAAGGTGTCTTTTTAGTAATTTTATTTAGTCACAGTTACAGTGATTATTTATGTGATTTCTTGATATATTTTCAGTTCATTTAGACGAATTATACTGTTTCCACTACAAATCAACACCAGATGACTTACCAAAGTCTGCTGGTTGGAATTTCTTCGATATACAAACCGAATACCAAAGAATGAATGTGCCAAACGAAAACTGGGTCCTTTGCAATGCAAATAAGGACTATGAGGTAAAAACAACTCATTTTTCTATATCTATAGTAATAAATAATATAAAGAGGTAATTTTATAATCTCGAAACTACTGGTAAAATTCTGAAAATTCTTTCGCTAATAGTAAGCTACAGTGTCATAGATTTAACGTTTTAACGTTTAGTATAGATTTCTCAGAGATGAGATACTTTCCCGCAGTAAAAAGTATCCTACATGTTGACCCGGATAACTAGCTATCGTCATACCAAATTTTATCAAAATCTTACCAGTGGTTTTCTCGTGATGCATTCCCAGACAGACGGATAAAAAAATCTAGAAACTATAGATTCGGCCTCTGTATCGATAATAATGACTATTTCAATGACATTTCCAAAAAAAAAATTAATGTACAGATTAGACTCAGAATTTTATTATATGTATAGATATGTAAAGCAATAAAACATATGACAAAATACACCCGAGCGAAGCTCGAATAAGTCGATTGTACGTAACAAATCTTTAACATTGACTGACCGACTAACTGACACTGTGACTATTAAATCTAAATTGTTTAGTTCTAGAAGCCTAAAATAATTATGCATTAGTGAAAATCTTTTATATTTTTTCCGAATTTACTGCAAAAATGTGTAGGATATCTCAGGAAAAAGCCAGCATCATGTTTCAAAACTTATATATTTTAACTACCTTTTTTTTTAACGTTGGGAAATGCATTTACGCACGAGGTGTGGGACTCACCGGCAAAGCCAGTACTACCCACTAAAACCCAACAAAACCTTCCCCCGTCTTAATAGGGCGTCGCAGGATCGCTTACGCATTCAACTACGACGCCCCGACGGCGGGTCTGCCGAAGCAGACCCCAACAACCACGGGGTTGCTCCACAGTCCACTCTGCTATCAGAGAAGTACCAGGAGCAACCCGCATGGTACACCGCCCTCCGAAGAGGGCCACCTCCCACCGCCCACCGAAGTGGGCAACCTCCCTGTGCGTTTCTTAGCTTCGCGACCGGTTGGATTGCCGGGCACTACTGAGCCCCCCCACCACGACAAGGTGAACGCACGTTGGGGGGGATATTTTAACTACCTAGATTGAGTTAAAATTTATTAGAAAACACTTATTTTGATGAATTTCTTATTTCTTATGCTTCAGTGAAAAATCACGGATCGCATCTACCCTCGTCAACTCTGTCGACCAATTTCCTCTTTTGTTTATTTCTTCTTTCTATTTTTAATTGTATTTTTATATTTTTTTTCGGCCCGAACAATCTCCTCATTTTTAATTGCCTATTTACAAAGGTATCATAATTTGTGCGTTCGCGTCGTCAGTGTGGCCAGTATAATCAATTAATAACTGTTTTTTTATAAATTATATTTTTCCGCAGTAAAAAGTATCCTATATGTCGACCCGGATAACCAGCTCTCATACCAAATTTCATCAAAATCTATCTAGTGGTTTTCCCGTGATGCGGTAACAGACAGACAAAAAATCTAAAAACTATAGATTCTGCCTCTGTATCGATAATAAGATTTTTCAAAAAATATTTAATGTACAGATTCGGCTTAGTTACAATTTTATTATATGTATAGATTAAAATGTATATGTTTGCTGTAAACATTCGAAACGTCGGCAACAAAAAGTCAATATAAAACCGAGATAAAGTTAAAATACGTTACATATTGTTATTTCAAATGTCAAATATCGAGTAAATCTAAGAAAGTGAAAATCAAGTAAAATTTTTATTGAAGTTAAGGTAGTCGTTCTTGAAGTTGGAAATATGGAAATTTATGTTCTTCTGGCTTTATTGCCGAAGGAAAATCCCCTACAGGCTTACTGCTTGTTATGTACAATTTTATTATCTATCTAAGAATGAATTTTAATGAGTGGGTTACAACTTGATGTGTTGGAATGTTTTAATTATAACGGAGAAAGGTTCCATTTTCGAATGATATTATTTGTATGGTCCATTTATGTTAATGTATGTATGGAGGCTGGTAGAGATTGCTTTTTTTTGTATGAATATTTATTTAAATATAGATGAGTGAAGTTTTATATGAAAAAAATAATAATTTAATTCTTGTTACATGACTGTTATGAAGTTTTAATATAGTATTTGTTACACATTTAATTAGGTTAATAAACAACTCTCTTAAATACAAATCTAACATAAAAATTCTGTTATATTAATAAAGACAGTGAGACAGCCAGAGACATAAAAATTGTAAAAATTGTATATTTGTTATAAGTACCATATATAATTTCATATAGATTTAGTAAAAAGCTGTTATTTTGACATTACAAAAAGACACTTCAATTTTATTTATCTGTATAGATTAAATGAGCAATTCTTGTATATATGTACATACCTACCTACATCATCACATATATTGTTTCGTGTATTTCTATCATAGAACATTATTTATTTTATATGTTTTCTGAAAAAAAAAACACAAATAAAACTTCTAGCGAAGCTCGGTCGCCCAGATACTATAGTATAAAGCAAAGTAGCTATTTTGCTGCCTGGGCTATGTGCACTTAAATATTTTTAAAGTGCGCAATAAATGTTTATAACCCTTGCAGTATTATTCTAAGAATTTCTTTCGGTAAAGTTTTTTTGATTATATACTTTTATATAGATAATAAAGATATTTGACATAAAGTTCAATCTTAAAACTTTTTTTTTTGTTTTGACAAGTATTTCATGACTGTCAGACATTGCGTAGCTATCTTTTTTGTCTATGCACATACATAGGTACTTTTTGGTAGAATGAAATAAAAAATATATAATTGGCGAGACTTAGTCATAACATTATATATTCTGTCTAGTTTGTATGTTTCTCACACACACACACACTTGTACACGTACGCACGCAAACAACTTCACGGTATATACTTTGTGCTACGATCTCTATATTACGTTTTTTCATCTCTACATACATAAAGGAATTATTACTTTAAATTACTATAATTTATTAGTTATTTTTTGTTTTCAGCTATGTGATACTTACCCAAGTGAGATCTATGTACCTGCGAGAGCTTCTACCGCCATTTTACTCGGCAGTGCGAGTTTCAGGTCCCGGGGTCGCTTACCCGTCCTCGCATATTTACATCACAATAAAGCTGCCATAGCGAGATGTAGTCAACCCTTAAGTGGATTTTCTGCTAGGTATGTCTATTTAATTGGGTAGATTTATTTTTAGATACATACTCGTACTTGAATTTTGATGTTTTGTGCAGTGCTTTTTACTTTGTGGAAATTTAGAGTGTTTTTTTGTTTAATTTAGAAGAAAAATAAGGATACGGCGATAATATTCGCATGTTATATATGTGTATTCTATAATACCTCCAATATATAATATATACTTACTTTATCTTAGCAATTAAATGAAATAAATATTTGTGAAATTGTTTTTTCTATTTTGAATAGAGAAGTTTACATTTTTTAAATGTATTAATTATAAAAATATTAAGTATAATATAACAAAAATATGACAGAATTATCAAAATATCTCAATAAATAGGACTTTATAGTTGCGCTTGTAAGAATAACTTCGTGACGTCACACGACCTGAACGACCGACATTTAATTTCATTTCTCAGTCATTTATTGATAGTTTTCAACCATTTATTAATTTTGATCTATATTACAATTATTCCATTGGGTTAAATATATCACCAACATCATAAAACTTCTCCATTGATGAAATAAGAAGTTTTTACTAATTAGTTATAATACGAACTTTTATTCAGTAATTTATAATTTGGTTATCATATTTATTACAGATGTATGGAAGATGAACAAATGTTGGATTTGATCCGACGAGCGAATCCGAACTGTGGATATATGTATGTGGTGGACACGCGGCCCAGAGTGAGTTACTGTAGATTTTCTAAAACCACTGCTTTAGACATACTTTAGTTAAATTCTAATATTTTATTGTTATTTTACTTCATTTGACGACGACTCAGTTTATAGTGACTCTACTAGCTCTGCCAGCGGTTGCGGGTTCGATTCCCGCTGGGGGCATTCATTTGTGTGATGAGCACGAATGTTTGTATTCCAGGCATGGGTGTTTGTATTTATAATATGTATGTATTAAAAGTTATACACCCATGACGGGAGTACAAACATTCGCGCTATCACAGAAATGAATGCCCCCAGCGAGACTCGAACCGGCGACGGCTGGCACAACAAGTAGGGTCACTATAAACTGACCCAAACGTGTCGTCAATAATTAATACGATACTAAGCGATTTTCATGGAAATTTCTAGATAAACGCAATGGTGAACCGAGCGGCCGGCAAGGGATATGAGAATGAAGCGTTCTATGAAAATATCAAGTTTCAGTTCATGGGCATTGGCAATATACACGTGATGAGGAAGAGTCTTCAGAAATTGGTTGAAAGTAAGTGATCTTCTCAGTGCTCATTTTTCCAAACGACCAATTTACTAAAATAGTTTTTAATACGGGATTTTTGATTTTTAAATGACATTTCTATTGATGTTAAATTAAATACGCAATTTAGTTTTTACTTTAATAAAACCGAAAATATGTACATATTTTATCCACTACTATACTGACATTTTGACTTAATATTGATAAATAAAATTGAGGTTTCTGTTTGTAATGCCAAAATCAATAGCCTTTTACTATATGACTGGTTTATAAACATTCGTGTTAATAACTCAAATGAATGCCACCAGCGGGACTCGAACCCGCGACCGCGGGCAATACAAGTAGGCTCACTACAAACTGAGCCAAACGTGTCGTCAAAACTCAAATTAAAACATTATCAGGCGTTTTACTCGATTAATTTATTTTTATTTGTTGTAAAAATATTTTCGTCAATATTTTGTTATAGCGTGCGAGCAGAATACACCTACGATGTCATCGTTTTTAAACGGCTTGGATTCTTCGGGTTGGCTCAAGCACATCAAGTAAGATTACTTAAGTGAATATGTTTTAATATAGAAATTGTTTATGCATATTCAAAAATATATTTAATATCTATATTAATATTATAAATGCGAAAGTTTGTGAGGATGTATGGATATTTGTTACTCTTTCACGCAAAAACTACTGAATGGATTTTAATGAAACTTTACAATAATATAACCCATACATCAGAGTAACATATAGGCTATTTTTTATCTCGGAAAAATATACGGTTCCCGTGGGATAGATTAGTTTTTGTTTTTTAGAGGCCAACCCGAGTGAAGCGAGGGTGAGCCGATAGTATTAAACGAATCTTAAGATCTTTGTATTATTTAAAAAAAAACTAAAAAGAAACTGAGACTGAGTATGACTGAGAGTGTATTGGATAAATAGTAGGATTTTCTCCCTACAATGTGGTTATATGCTAAAATATTATAAAGAGTTTTTGAGGGTGATTCGATAGTGTAATAACAAATGAACGCTCTCCACCAGATCTATCCTGGACACGTCGTGGTGGATCGCGCGCGCCATCGAGTCGGGCGCCAGCGTGTGCGTGCACTGCAGCGACGGCTGGGACCGCACGGCGCAGGCCTGCTCGCTCGCCGCGCTCTGCCTCGAGCCGCACTACCGCACCGTCAACGGCTTCCAGGTAATGCTCTCTCGCTCGCTCTCACACTGTCTGTCTGTCTCTGTCTCTCTCGCACTATTATTAGTCACGAATAGGTACACGGCGTATGTGAATCTATTTTTGTATATATTATTGAGTAATTTGTGCTTGTTACATACGTTGCTTAGAAGAGAATCGGATACGTCGCGCATAGTCACAGATCGCCACTATACGTGTGCCGCCAAATTGAGGTTCTGTATCGGCATCTCAGCATCTTATGTATGTATGTATGTCACATGAGTTGCTTAGCGGAGAACCACTGACATCGCGCACCATCACGACCCACCGCTACGCGTGTGCTCCCTCCCCAAATAAAACCCTGTATCGGCATTTAATTATCTTATATATTCCGAATATAATGAAAAATTGGTATTCAATATGTGAGTTTAACATCGATCACTATTGTTTCATAGTATTAAGTAAACTATGAAACAATAGATCTATTTTTTCTATTTTAAGTAATTTAATTAAAAGTATTAAGTAAAGATTGTTTTTTTTAGTACTCCGGCTGTCATAAACTTAATTCGCTCGTCACCTTCAGATTTGGTTGTACTATAATAATAAGTAAATGAAGATTCCCCTCCGCCCCAGGCTCTGATAGAGAAGGACTGGCTGTCGTTCGGGCACAAGTTCACGGCGCGGTGCGGGCACGTGGCGGGCGACGCGCGCGAGCGCTCGCCCGTCTTCACGCAGCTGCTGGACTGCACCTGGCAGCTGCTGCGGCAGGCGCCCGAGGTACACAGGAGGTGTATGTAGGGGACATACATACAAGCTTACAAACCTTACCTCTGAAACTACTGTATGAAAATTCTTTCAGTAACAGGAAGCTACATTACAAAAAAATAAATTATTTGAATTTAAAAATTAATTTAAATCACGTTAATTGAATTAACTAGAAAAGTAGCAGTTAATTTGCTTTATTGGCGTGCGCCGCTTAAAGTTTGAAATTAAGCAATAAAATGTATGACAGAAATACTCCATTCCACGAGTGGTGTACTTTTTGTTTCGAATAGTAATCATTCAAAATCGGAAGCTGGTCAATTTTTTCTTAATTAAATAACAAGTCCTAAAGTTAAAAATGCTACAAAAAGTTGTTTAACTTTTGCGTTTGAGTTCAACTAATAAAAATCCTACAAAAGATCGACAAACACATTGTCATCAAAATACGATACGACATCATCAAAACCTAATGAGTTTTATGTGAATGGCAGGCTTTCCAGTTCAATGAGAGGTTCCTGCTGACCCTGCACGACCACGCGCACGCCTGCCAGTACGGCACCTTCATAGGGAACTGTCAGAAAGATAGGCGAGATTTAAGGTGAGTGGAAATGTCTATAGAATCTATACTAATATTATAAAGAGGATTTTTTTTTATTTGTTTGTTTGTACCGAATAAGCTCCGAAAGTGCTGGACGGATTTAGATGAAATTTGGTAAGAAGATAGTTTGTGACCCTGGAAAGGACATAAGATAGTTTTTATCCCGGAAATCATCCTTTAAGGGGGTGAAAATGGGGATGAAAGTTTGTATGGGGAATTAATCTAGAGACGAACCTGAGCGGAGCTAGTCTACTATAAAAATGAAAGATTTTGAATGAATGAGTTAGTATGTTTAAGGCTTAACAGATTTGGATGAAACTTAATTTATTAAAGCTATATGTCTGTTCTGTGAGCTTTATTCTTTGCTAAGACGATGATATGTAGGTATTATCATGTACGCTTTGCAGATCGATAAGTCGTGAGTTCGAGTCCCGGGACGGGCCAAATAGTTACTGGGTTTTTAAGACCGGAGTTGGGAAGTAGCTGGTTTTCTGTGCCTCGTAAAGCACGTTAATTGTCCTGAGTCTTATCTCTCAAACAAATAAGCACTAAGACGACGGAATGTCAAAACGTTGTCTCATCGGAGGAAATAGAGACTGCACATTGTGTTTGCGTACACAATTGTACTATAATATGTCCCTCGCAGTTAGTGTCAGTCGCGGGTTCGATTCCCGCTGAGGGCATACATTTGTGTTATGAGCACGAATGTTTGTACTCCAGACATGGGTGTTTGTATTTATAATATGTATGTAAAGTTATATATGTGCAGTGTATCAACTATCTGGTATCCATAACACAAGCCCCGTAGCTTACCATGGAACTAGATGGTGTTGTGTGTTACTGTCCCAACATATTTATGTAGTTACTCTTAGTGATATTGGCTGCCGTAACCCAAATCGGTTAGGAGGATGTTATATTATTTATTTATTTATGTGAGATGTTTATTAGTTGTTACATATGATTCAGATTATCTGAACGCACATTCTCCCTCTGGGGCTATATGGCGAGTCACCTCAACGAGTACAAGAACCCGCTTTACAACCCCAAGTCTCATCCTGACGTCCTCAAACCTGACCTGAACGCTCAAAGCATTAGGTAAGTTAATATATTGTATGTATAATCTTTTTTTTGTTTAATCACTCAAATCAAAATATATTTTTATTCAATTAGACTTTTACAAGAACTTTTGAATCGTCAATTTTACATTTGAAATTTAAATTAAATATTAGTATGTACGATGGATGCTACCACCGACTCGGAAGGCAGTTCTGCTGAGAAGAACCGGCGTGAAACTCAAAAGTTGCTCTTTTAAATATAATTATAATCTATGCTTAATATTATAAAGCGTCAGTTAGTTTGTTTGTTTGAACGCGCTAATCCCAGGAACTACTAATCCGATTTGTAAAATTCTTGTTGCATTAGATAGCCCGTTTATTGAGGAAGTCTATAGGCTATATATCATCATGCTACTACCCAAGGGAGTGGAGCAGTAATCATAAATGTCAACAAATCGGGCAGACTTCAATACATTATGGTTAAAAGGTTTTGGCGCGGCATGTACTGCCGGCACGAGAGCGGTGTGCACCCGCGCGAGTCGCTCGCGGACATACTGCCGGCTGCCGTGGAACATTCTGGAGCTCTGACACACCATATTGATTATTTGGCTAAGGTATTCACTTAGATGACTAATTGATTTAGTGGCTTGCGTGTTTTGTAATATATTTTTTTTATAAATTTAAATCTCAAATTGAGGTTTCCATTCATTTGTATGTCAAATTGACTTGGATGTTTTTGAAGCTATTTAAAAAAAAATTGAATTAATTCTACGTGATATTGGCGAAGTAATATGTTCTTTACTGGCACGCTTTAAAGTCATTAACAAAACTATTGAATTGAATTAATGACACACATTAAACATGTCATTAATTGATAGATATTATCGTGTGGTGTTGCGCGTTATCTTTTCAATCCCGTATTGATTGATATCTTTAATAAAAAAACTCAACAACCATACTCGGCTCGATTTAGGACTCGAACCCAGGACCTGCAGCCATACATATAGTTCTATTAGTTTTTTATATAGAAAAACAACTATATGTAAAGTAAATAACATGTTCCTTCAAATAATTCAATAATTTCTTTAATAATTTCAATTTCATTATTTATGAATAAAGTTATTATAATTATAATAAAACTAAATGATATATTATATATGTATGTATTATGTTTCTACTACACTGTTGTAAATAATAAAATAATTCTTTTTCATTAGAGAATAACGACGTTCAAAAACCTTCTATCAGGACGTAAAGCCGAGAAGGATCGGGACACGGCAGTAGTCAACTATCAAAATGGTGGCACCGATACTGTCGAGATTGAAACCAAAGTGGAAGGCTTGCAGATAGATAATAAGTGAGTTAGTTTGTTATAATACAATTTATTATCAAATTATTTGAATTATTGTTTTTAATATCTAGTTTTTACTCATAAGCGTAATATTTCCTAACTCCAAGCTGTCACCGAGAACAGAAAGACTCAGTAACTAATTTTGGTCCGACGCTAGACTAGAACCCAAGACTACCGGATCTTATAGCCGTACATGCTAGCTACCATGTCATCGACGCATTAAATATTTGCATATACATCGTGGGAATTTTATGGGATAGCAGCATCGATGAAAAAAGTACTAGATACACAATCAGCGACAAAAAAATATCCTCACCGAATTGGCGCCCATTTGAACATTTGACCGTGCTTTTTTTTTGTGAAAACAACTTTAAGTATTGCATTTAAGGTTCAGTTTATATTGTTGTATATTTATTTGAACTAGAATAATTACCTAAACACAATTGGTGACAGTTTTAAGAGAACTTTTGCATGGGATTGTGTATCTAGTACTTTTTTTTTAATCGATGGATAGCAGTTATATTTCGCTTTCTAAAATAAATATGTCAGGTTTTTGGTTATATAGATATTATATTTAAATTAAAAATATGATAAGTCTAATAAGTAATTCACTGTGGATAAATAAACAGATCCGTATTATATTTAATATTATAAATGTGAAAGTTTGTGAGTATGTATGGATGTTTGTTACTCTTTCGTGCCAGAACGGCTGAACGGATCTGGATGAAATTTGACACAGAGATAGATTATAGCCTGGAATAACACAAAGGCTACTTTTTATCCTGGAAAAATGTACGTTTCCGTGGGATAGGTTTGTTTTTATTTTCCTAGAGGTGAGCCGCCAGTAATTTATAGTCATTAAATAATATTTTTATATATATTTCAGATTACTATATGAGACTGGAGGCAGTCTGTCGGAGCTCGAGTGCGCGAACCACGACCATCCCCTCAAAGACACGGCCACGACTCCGTCCAAACCTAACAAAATACCACTTATTACTGAGGTGAGATGGGTTTATATTTAAAATTTAATTTAACTGTAATTAAACTTTTATAGCAGTGGTAGCCCAGTGGTACCGCGCTCGCTTGTAAAACCGACCGAAGCGGGTTCAAATCCCGGGGTGCGCGTTACCACTGTGCTACCACAGCCTATATATTGTATATTATAGTATTTATTTTATTATCTCTTTAGCAGAAGACAGATTCAAGTATCCCGTCGAGTTTATCACAACTCGAGGCTGAAATTAACACCGTGGCTTTGGATTGGAAGAGTATTAAAAATGTCACCGAGTGCAGTTGCTCTACACCACTCGACCATTTTAGTAGAAAGGTATGATTTACCTATGGGCATAAAGACCGACGTTGACGAAACATTACATATTTTTATTATTTTTACGTAGTATTCTTTAAAACTTACACAATTAATGCTTAAATGACATTTTTGAAAAAAAAACGCTGTATAATATTAGTTGTAATGATAAATATGTGTGTGTGGGTGTATATTGTCTTGTCCGTCTTCCACGCAGCAACAACTGCAGTAGAACGACATTCGTCAAATATAACTAAGATATTTCTCGAAGCCGAAACTGTCTGTCGAAATCAGAACCTCGCACTATTTAGAGTATGTTAAGAATTTATTTTATTTATCTATATATACTATGAAATATATGTTATACAAAAAAAAGTAACTGAATGTCGACGAAGGATAACTTATCTCTTTAAGAGGTTTCTTCCAGAAACCCTTCAGAAGTGAGAAAGTGAGTTAATATAATATTTCTAAAAGAACATTTATACGTTTAAAAAATTAAATGTATGTAAAATTATAGCAAAATAAATTATAAGGTAAGACGTCTTGTATGGACCATTCGCCACTGATACCTACGTGTATATCTAAATGTATACATACATAATATATACTTACATATACGTACTTATTACCTACATATATACTTTGATATACATACTTACGTATAGAATTTATTAAATTTATTATGAGTACCTAACATAAAATACCATATTACCTAGCACCACTGCTGGGGCTGCGGGCGCTGCGTGTGCACGCGCTGCGTGTGTGCGCGCGCGCCGCTGCCGGCGCTGCGGGCGCCGCGCGCCGCGCCGCTGTGCGCCGCCTGCGCGCCCTCCGCGCCCGCCTCGCCCGCCACGCCCACCGGTACACCTCACATTTGATGTCTACTTGCTATATACATACTCTCATCATTCTCATTCTCGTCATTTTTAATTTACTGAAAACCTTTTGGGAATACACTATTTACAACATAACAACAACATCTGTAAGAAAAAAATTAATATATCTTAAATTTAACAAAAATAAAAATATTTTTATTGCACCTTCTAAACGGTAATAGTTCAGCATTAACAAAAGTACGTGTCTGGTGGAGGGGGAGGGGTGGAGGGGTGTAGGAAGCCGCGCTTCCTCGTTTAAACTTGGCCAGATGCTAGAACTTTACCGTTTAGAAGGTGCAAAAAATTTTTTTTTATTTTTGTATGAAAATAAAAATTTAAGAAATATTATTTTTTCTTGTTACAGATGTTGTTGTTATGATGTAAATAGTATATTCCCAAAAGGTTTTTAGTGAATTAAAAATGACCCTGTATAAAAAAAAATAGTGTGTGTATGAATATGTACACTGCAAGAAGTAAAACTTCTATAGGTTATTGGTACTCTTTATGATATTCAATTTATGTTTTAAATAATTGGGATACGTGAGATACTAAAAATAACGCAGAATAGGCATATTAGAACCACATATTCATAGAATATCATTTAAAAAGAATATAATATTATATATCATTTGTCAGAGAATAACGACAACAAACAGTAACTGTTGAGTTTTTCGCCGGCCCTTGTCAGCAGAACTGAGAAGCCGATGGTGAATTCCTCACGGACTTACATTTAAATTTTGAAAATGTAAAAATTAACGATTCAAAGGTGCATGCTAAAAGTATATTTAAATAAAGCATATTTTGATTTAATTTGATTTGTTTGTTGTTGAATTGAACAACTCAGAGTTAAGAAGTTAGTGGTGAATATACAATACAGAGCCTCATAGCAGATTTTTTTTTTAAAACGGTAAAATTACGCTTTCAAATATGATCACATTATTTCGTATTCCTTTACTTAAAGTAATAAAACCATAATATACCTTTTTGGTATAGATATTTATGTTAAATGAACGTTATATAAACGTAAATAATAAACTTAAAAAACAAATTTATATAATGCCATTGATATTATGAGACCCTTTTATCCATAGTGATAACTATACTACGTCCCATCTACGTTTCCACTAAGGGTTAGTTCACCAAAGGTTGTCTGTAAGAGATTGCTCATAGCAATAACACCGCCTTTGCATACCTTTTTGTTATTTGTCTTTTCATTTTCTGTACTCTTCTTTTGTGTGTTCAATAAAGTATTTATCTATCTTACTAATACTACACTATTACTATAGTTTATTAAAATTGTTATTGTCGGTTTCAAAAACAACCACTAGGTATATGTAATAGCCGCCATTTCGTCTGAGTTCTTTTTTTAATAAGTATGTATATTCTTTTCAGGTCTGGTGATGCCGGCCACTTAATTTTTTTTTAATTAAATTGTTTTAGATTTATAAATCAAATATTAATGAATGTAAATTAATTTTGTACCTTTATTAATATATTTAAGACTTTTGTTACAAATTTTTGAAAGTAAGTAGCTTTCTTTATGGTTAGGTTTGTAGAATAATTTATGATTAAGTTTAAAAATGTCTTAGAATTTTAATATTATTTTTCTTTTTTAACAAATTGATATATTCTATTTGTATGTAAATAAAGGAAACCTTTTAGAGTATTAGTTATATGTATATCAGATTTATCTTTATTTATGAATGTTGCAGGTAAATTGTAAAAACCGTTAAATTATAATTTCGCTAATGAAATTATAATTACCCGAAGTTTCGTCAATCGTCTCATTTTCTTACATTATCACAACAATTTTAGGTATATTATAATTTCACTAAGCACATTCCCAGCGACATGAATGACTGGAACATTGTTGAAAATGGTTCAACTCTAAACAAAACTTTTGTTTTAAAAAAAAGTAGCATTCAAAACGTCGGGAACGAAAATCAAAATAAATCCGCGAAATAATTCGAAAAGATAGTTTTATTTAAAATGTCAAATATTCGCGTTAACACTTTTGTTATTATTACCAAGATGATGAATATTATTATTAACTTTTCCGTGGTAAAATTGATCGATCTTTTTATATTTTTTTTACTATTTTTATAATGTAAATATATTTATTTTAGTAATTATTATGAGAACAGTAGATATGTAATTAAGAACTTAAATATATCAAAAACTCATCAAACCTTCAACAGTTAAGGAGTGGTAATTAAAATTGTTTGATTTTTTATAATATTTGTTGTAAAGTTATGGATGGCCCTTTGCACTATCGAACTCGATATTAACTTTAAAAATACTAGAATATAATTGGCGACATTAAAAAAATAAAGATGTGAAATAAACGAATATGGGACGACCAACTTTTTCTTACTAAAATCCGTCCCCAGTTACGAATTTTGTTATCTTTGCTGTTTAAAAAACAAATAGGAAGCATTTGTCGTATTGTACAATCACTAAAATTCCATAATGTTTTTCAAAGTTATGCAAAAAATATGTGAGAGTATATTTTTAAAGTTCCATACTAACTTGCGCTGTCCCTTTAACGTAATCGTCACCTGAATTACGATACTGTGTAAAAATGTTCCTAGATGAGCCTTATTTTTATTTAAATAGTGTTCCAGAGTTTATAAAATCAATAGAAAGTTATTTACAGAAAATATACAAAAATTAGATTTTCAAAAGTTTGTTCCCTCCTATACATCAATTTCTGCTGAGTCACTAAGTACAAGTGTCCATAAGAGTTAATATTAGCTTGACCAATGGGGATACTGCCTTGGAACCATGTGATCGGTGTCTCCCCACGTGGAAGTATAAGTAACTAACATTGCCCGCGGCTCCGCCCGCGTTCAGATGACCAAAAACCAAATAAAATAGCGCTATTCTTTTTTTTTTTCAAGATAAGCTATTTTTAATAGTTTTTACCTTATTTACTAAGTTACATTGCTAAAATATATATAGTATCATCGTGGTTTTATTCTAACCAGTTTTTTCTCGGAAATGAGATATTTTCCCGCGGTAAAAAGTATCCTATATGTTGACCCGGATTACCAGTTATGACCATACCAAATTTCATCAAAATCCCTCCAGTAGTTTTTCTGTGATGCGGTAACAGACAGACAGACAAAAATTCTAAAAACTATAGATTCGGCCTCTGTGTCGATAATAATGTCTATTTCAATTAGATTTTCCAAAATATATGTATAGATCATGAACGAATTAACCACTGGACCAGACATATAAGCGGACGTACCTTTACCGGTCTTGACAGTAACCAGGGAATTTTAGCCGTGGTCGTTTGTTTTTTGTGTTAGTCTCAAGCACATAGTTGTCAACAAATCATCTCCCAAAAATTGCTAAATGTTCTGTTAAATGGTGTAAAAACTATAACGGCGGAAGCAGCACTATTTCTTTTTACTTGTAAGTACATTATTTTATTACATTTATTGTTATTTATCACAAAATTTAATTAAATGTAAAATAAAATGTCATATTATCCAACTATGTTAAATATAGTCGATATTTCTATGTATTGTTGACATCTGACAACCATCATAAAATGGTTTGGTGGTATGGTTTCAAAAATCAAGGAAATGATGAAAAATAAAGTACAAAATGAGTCCGTGGAATCTGATTCGTCAGATCTGTCGTGACAAAGCAGAAGAAAAATTTTCTCTGTGGGAAGATCACCACAAATTAGTCCAAAAGAGCTGGAAAACGGTGAAATCTGATGATTCTATTTCAGATGAACTATCTATTTACTTACGAAACCCAGTAGGCAGATTAAATGAGAACCCAGCTCCCTAAACTTCATACAATTGCATACAAATACTTAACCATGGCAGGAACTTTAGTCCCATCTGAACGTTTGTTTTCTAATAGTAGGGGAGCCCAAGAGGGGATTTTCTGTAGTTACTCGAGCGCGGCAGATTAACATAAAAGAGGTTACCTTGCACTCTATTGAGTACTTTCACCACAATAAAGTCTTCTATATAAAGGGGCGCGTCTAGGGAAGCCGATTAAAATATTTAAAAAATGTTTTGATAAGGTAGAAATACTTGAAACCGTCAGATTAAGGTGTGGTAGGCTAGTCACATCCTGAAAAGTGTCCAATTCAATAATCTGCCGATTTGCACAAGCCGAAGAGGCAAAAATCGACTATAAAGTTTATGATGATTTTTGCCTCTTAGGCTTGTGCAAACCGGCAGATTATTAAATTGGACACTTTTCAGGATGTGACTAGCCTACCACACCTTAATCTGACGGTTTCAAGTATTTCTACCTTATCAAAACATTTTTAAATATTTTAATCGGCTTCCCTAGACGCGCCCCTTTATATAGAAGACTTATATTGTGGTGAAAGTACTCAATAGAGTGCAAGGTAACCTCTTTTATGTTAATCTGCTGCGCTTGAGTAACTACAGAAAATCCCCTCTTGGGCTCCCCTACTATAAAGCGGCACAAATCGTCAATCAACAACGAAACAGACTGAAAAGCAAACGTTTAAATAAACTGTTGTTTTTGCAAAGTCTCTCAAAAGAACACTGGGAATAGGACATGGCAGTCTTAGCAAAATTATTGCGGATGTTTTTTTTGTTCTTACGTAAATAACAATAAAGATTTTTCTAATAAATGGCTTTTATTTTTTTTAATAAAACAATGTTTGAGTTATTGATGGTTTGCATGAAAAAATGTGTTGAAGTAGCATATCTGGTCTGTGTCCCGTGAATTCTATTTCCTAGTTTTTGTTGTTATAGCGGCAACAGAAGTATATAACCTGTAAAAATTTCAACTGTCTAAATATCACGGTTCATGAGATACAACTTGGTGACAGCCGGACAGCGAAATCTTAGTAACAGGGTTCCGTTTTTACCCTTTGGGTACGAAACCCTGAAAAAGTACTCAATAAAATAAATCAACTAAACAAGAAGATCCTCAAAATTTTCAAAATCAAAATTAAAAGCTTTAAGCCAGCGTGTACGTAGGTTGAAATTAAAAGTAGCCAACATCAAAAGTGTAATAAATGATTTAATTAAGAAAAATAAGGTGTCAGAAGAATGCATTCAAATGTTAAAACAGTATGATGACTTCCAAATGGAACTTTTCAATAGAGTCCTTCAAAACAAGGGCAACAAAAGTTTAAGTCATGATAAATACCCCCCACAATTACGTGCTTTTGCTATAACTCTTCATTTCTATTCAGCTAAAGCCTTTGCATATGTTAGGAATAAATTTAACTTAGCACTTCCTCACCCCTCGGAGTTATTCGATCCTGATACAGTACAGTCAATGCAGATCCAGGCTTTTCACAAGAAGCCTTCAATAGCTTAAAGCAAAAATCAGAGATAGCATTGAAGAATGGAGAAAAGTTAGTTTGTGCACTTATATTAGATGAAATGAGTATTAAAAAAGGATGCCAGCGTGGCCGTGACCGTGTGATTCGTGGATATGGTGATATTGGGTCGTCTTTACCGGTTTTCTTCAGAGTTACAAGAATGTAAAGATGCCTTAGTTTTTATGGTGGTTCCGCTTAAATATAATTGGAAATTACCCATTGCATATTTTTTGATAAAAGGTACCAAAAGTCATTTGATTAAACAAGCTTTAATTAGCCTTCACGATGTGGGTGTTGAAATTTGTTTTTTAACATTAGATGGTCCACCAGAACATTTTTCGGCTGTCTCACAATTAGGTGCCGACCTTATTTTTTTAATCCAATGAATAAAACTCTTAAAGTGCATGTAATATTTGACCCGTGTCACATGTATTGAATATTTGTAAGAATGTGGCAACATTAATATTTTAATTATTATAGTTTGGTAATTGAATTTTTTTGTATGGCAACATTCTCTCTGTACGCCGGTCAAGGCAATCATCCATGTTTCTGTATCGTCTAAAAAGAGAAAAATAAAACAACGCAATTAATCCAACATTACACCTTTTATTTCGCTCCATCCGCTGCTAATATACCTGATAAGGTTATGGGCCCAGTCTCCCGGAGCGAAAAATAGGAGTATTGTATTGCGGTGCAGCTGTGGTAAAACGGCGGTGTGGTACTGCGGTCAAGCAGTCACGTTCGGTGCAAAAATGGACGGCGAGGGCGATATCTTTGGGGCGAACAATCGCTTCTTACTAGAAAATGCCAGTAACTGGCATACATGGAAATTCTAAGTAAAAGTCATACTAAAGGCGGTGAATGCCTATGACTTGGTGGACGGCTTATTAAAATGCCCAGAAAATGACGACACAAAGTTAGCCACGTGGAAGAGACTAGATGCGAAGGCTCAAGCAGTCATCGTAGGCAGACTAGGCAGCACAGCTATGCTGCATGTACAGAATTGTGAAACAGCCAAAGAGATATGGGACAAATTAAATACAATTTATGAACAAAAATCTGATGTGTCACTCCACATATTGCAGCAGCGTTTCTTTGAAGATGATGTTCAGAAGATGTATCAACATTCATAGCCAAAATAGAAGCAATCGTGACACAAGTAAGGCAAGCAAAAGGTGAGATTGCTGAAAACATGATTGTTACAAAAATTATAAGTTCGCTAGGTGAAAATTTTCGACACTTTGTCTCTGCATGGGACTCCGTTCCAATAGAAAAGCGAACCCTGTCTGAGTTGACAGCCAGGCTTATTATAGAAAAGCAAAGAAACAAAATGTACCAAGAGAGTGGAAGCAGTAGTTCCACAGCATTCAAGACTGACACAAAAACAAGAAAGTGCTTTATCTGCGGTAAAGTGGGGCATTATAAAAAAGACTGTAAAGCTAAAAAGGTTGAAAACAGCTACAAGTCTGAAAACATTCCATTTTGTAAACAATGTAAAAAACGTGGACATACAAAAGAAAAATATTGGTTCAATAAGGACAAAAAACAAGAAAATATAAATAATAAAACGCGTTTGTCATGTCAGCGTGTGGACTTGCGTCAAAAAGTATAAACAATGAGTGGTTCTTAGATAGTGGTGCTTCCGAACATATGTGCTCTACAGTAGACAATTTTATAAACTATAAAAAGTTGTTAGTGCCTAAAGACGTTGTTATTGGGGATGGGACAATAATAAAAGCATTAGGTTATGGTGACATTGACCTTGAAGCATATGATGGTCAACAATGGATCAAAACATTAATAAGCAATGTTTTGTATGTGCCGAGCATCAAGGTAAACCTATTTTCCATGAGTGCTGCTCTGGATAAAGGCTACAAGCTGGAATCAACTGCTACTGAGTGCCAGTTTATAAAAAACAATAGTGTCTATGCTATAGCGAAGAGACATGGTAAAATGTACACTATGTTATTCAAAAAGCCCGATGCTTGTGCCATGGTTGGAAAAGTGATGTCAAATTTAAGGGAATGGCATACTAAACTAGCTCACCAAGACATTAACCAAGTAAAAAGCATCTTGATGAAACAGAATATAAAGTTTAAAAATAGTAAAGAAGAAACCTGTTTGCCATGTTTGAAAGGAAAACAACATAAGTTTCCCTTCCCACTGAGTACCCATAGAGCAACAAAACCAGGAGAGGTTATCCATATAGATATTGGAGGCCCAATAGAAGAAACTTCACTAGGAGGGGCAAAGTTCTTTTTACTCATTAAGGATGATTATTCCAAATATAGAAAGGTGTATTTTCTGAAGAACAAAAGTCAGTCTATAGAATATTTAAAACAGTTGTTGAAGATGATGATGATGGAATATAAATCAATTAGACATTCCTCTTATGCAGCACTTTATTACAGTGATTATAATGTATGCGCTTGCGCTAGGCTCGCTCGCTGAAGAATGAAGTGCTCCGCCGCGCCGCGGCCGACGCGTCCCGCACCGTCTCCCCTCCAGTCCCCGCTCTCGTTTCGCTAGTGATGTGCGTTAACTTTAGTGATGGGCGTTACCAATCTGCCCCCCTTGAAAGGTGGTTCTTTCAAGACTTTCAAGACCGTCGTCCACTGGTAGAGGGCACACTCTGTTTAAGCCTCGGCGCTCGATGCCGCGGTAAGTGATAAAATCCGCCACTCTGCAGACTCCATCGGATCCAGGATATAACTGATGGACCCTTGCCAATCTCCACTTTAGGGGCGGTAGATTTTCTTCTTTAAAGACGACCATATCCCCTGGTTTTAGTTCCTCCTTCTTAAGGCGGCACTTCGTTCGTTCTTGTAAACCGGATATGTACTCATGGCTCCATCGGTCCCAAAAATGGCGTCGGAGTTGGTCGATTAGCTGGTACCCTGTTCGTATGTTACCATTCCAAAACAAACACTGGAGGAAAATAATACATGGGAGGAGGTGGCAGAAGTTCCTGACGGAGAAAACATAGTAAGTAGCAAGTGGGTATTTAAAGTCAAGGAGGTAGAAGGAAAAGCTTTGTATAAAGCTCGCTTAGTGGCCCGAGGATTCGAGCAGAAAAACTGTGATGACCAGACATACTCACCTGTTGCTAAATTAACTACTTTCAAAGCCATGATGGCTGTAGCTACCCAGAAAAGACAACCAGTGTATCAGATGGACGTTACTGGGGCATTTCTTTATGGTGACATGAGACAGTTTTTATGAGATTACCAGACAATAAGGTATGTAAATTAAAAAAGTCAATCTATGGTCTTAAAACATGTTAAAAAATATTCGTAACTGTTTAGGTGATATAAGAATATTAACATGTGGTAACGGTGATGAAATTAATTGGAAATATATTGAAAGTTTAGCAGCATTACAAGAAAGGGAAGGATTAAGGCTAGGCAATAGTCTGAGGAAACGCAATATAGAATACAGAAAAAATATAATGAAAGAATTCATAGCTGCGCAAACATTAAGCAGTAGTGTGGCAGACGCCATTGAATTTTGTGACCAAGTATTAAACCTCCCTGATTTCAAGGGTTCAGGTCCTACGGTAAAATTTATTAGATGTATTGATCGGATTTTTGATTTTCTTAATGTCAGAAATCCTTTAGGTAAAGGTTTTAAAAGCCCTCTTAGGACTTCTAATGAAAACAGGTGGAGGAAAAATATTCTGGAACAAATTAATTATCTAAGCGAAATTAAACTCCATGGTAAACCTATAGCACATTCAAGACGTAAAGCGGGTTTCCTAGGCTTTTATAATGCTGAGCTTTCTGTTATAGATATTTACGAAAAGTATGTAAAATCAAATGGACCATTAAAATATCTTTTAACCTATAAAATGAGCCAAGATCATTTGGAATTATTCTTTTGTGCCATTAGGAGTAGAGGTGGGTGGTGTCCGAATCCGACAGCAGCACAGTTTGTCAGTGCATATAAACAACTAATGATCTATCATGAAATAAAAAATTATGATGGCAATGTTAAAGCAAACGATATTTCAATATTAACTTGTGCTTCAGTTGGTTCACGACCTCGCTATTCCTTGAATGCATTGTATGACATAAGTGTGTATGGACAAGCTGAGTATAGTAGACTCGAATTGAAATATTTTGAATCAACTGAAAATATACAACCATCTGTTTATGATAAACTACAAGAGTTTTTACATTTTGGTTGGGCTGTTCCAAACAATGTCAACGAAACAACGAAGCAATGTGTGGGATACATAACAGGTTTTGTAATTAGATCTATCAGGAACAAAATAACATGTATTGATTGTTTGAGCGCTTGTGAATCAATACCGTCCGATGCTATATCTGATCGACGAAATGGTATCGCACTAATTATCCAGAAAAATAGAGGTGGACTAATTATTCCATCGCAAAGCGTCGTTTCCATATACTTGTTGGTGGAATCACTTTTTCGACAAGCATGCAAAAAGACCAATGGGAAGCCGCCGGTGGAAAAAAAATTTCCGGCAGTTCTCGCAGCAAAAGTTATGAAAGAATTGCTACCAAAATCAAATACTTTATTTCCAGAACTACGCGTTCATTTTTTGGAAACAATGATGTTTGAAACTTTAAATAGTCACTATGATGTATTGATTAAACAAATCATATTTAAGTATATCGATGTTAGAATTTTTGCAACAACGAAAAGTTACTCTTTGTCTATTACCTACAGGTCAAAGTATTCGAAATTTCTTAACCCGTCAAATAATTTGGGCACGTCAGTAATTAAAAGTATAAATTTAATATATAAATCGTGTTTTATTTTCCCCATTTCGACTTTGGGGCATTTCACGTGAAGTGGACAGGAAAAAAAAGTGAGGTTCTGAAAATCGATCATATTCGGCCCATTTATACTTCTAATATGTATGAATGTGAACACAAATTTTTTTTTGCATAATGTATATTTCACAAGTTATCGGTTTCTGAAGAATTGTCGTAATTGTAATATCAATTTTATGAAAGTAGTTTTTCGAATTTCACAAAATTACAATTAAATATTTAAAAATACTGATCTTTAAAAAATACTGTTCTTTTTTACAATAAAATGAAATTAAGAAAAAAAAAAATTTCATGTCCAAAATCGGAAGTAAACTTTTCAAACCTGAATTTCAGGCACTTCGACCAATTTTTTTTTCTTCTTTTTTTTTAAAATATAGCTTAAAGTATATTAAAAATACACAAGAAAATTCAAAATGGGATCTCTATTTGTTTAGGAGTTAGATTAATTAATGTACATACGCGTCGCAATGGGCGTGATATCTGGCGCTAGCTTAGATCGGTTGGTGTGCGCGAAACAACATGTCTTGTATAATTGCTGTCGTATAATAATTATAACATAATAAAACAACATTGTAACAACGTTAGAACTAGTTTATTTTGTAATTTTTAGAACTTTACAATGGGAATCTATGCTAGAACTGGTCCGTTTCACAAGAAGGCCACTGGTTGTTGGAATAAAGCTGTGAAACTTTTTGGTCCCCGGAATGGTGACTGTAGACGCAAACCGGGGTTGCAAAACAATTCTCTGGCGTTCTATATCGTCTTTAGAGCAGAAGTAAATAGCTTTTTGTTTTAAAGATGATTTTGCCCAATCGTATAATCGTATTGGTGTTACAATTGCTTTACTTGAAGGTAACTGTAGACTTGCACGCGCAGCTAAACGTTTAAGATTCCCTCCTAGACCATCACATGGCCCCTTTCCGTGAGACGTTGCATGAAGATACAACTCTGCATCTGCATTAAAATCTTCTTTGTAATAAAATAGATTCACAAAGTTGAATCTGTTTTTAAAATGTTGGGAAGTATATAACCCGTCGGTTATGTATATAATTTTAGATCCAACTATTGATTTTTCTAAAAGATGCTTGTGTAGTACCTTTTGGAAAGCATAGAAAGTGGCTGTGTCATGTTTCAAGTCGTCAGAAATCATAACAATGCTGCCGTGCTTTACTTCACTACCGTCTCTGTAATAAAAAACCGACGTTAGAAGCGTTGCCTGTTCGTTATTCCAATGAAACGATTGAGCAGCATCTTGGACAACAAAACTATAATTTTCTGCAAAATCACATTGTACGAGAATTTGACCTTCATTGATAGTCTCCTTAAGAGTTTTGAATAATTTATATTTGGGTTAAGTATTATTAATATATATATCCTACTAATATTATAAACGCGAAAATTTGTAAGAATGTATGGATGTATGTTTGTATGTTTGTTACTCTTTCACGCAAAAACTACTACATAAATGCATTTTTATGAAACTATGCAGTAATGTAACTAAGACATCAGAATAAAACATATAGGCTGTAATTTATAAAGATTGGACATACCGGGCGGGCGAAAGCTAGTATATTATATTAATAATACTTATTTATTTGTGTATTTTTAATATACTTTAAGCTATATTTAAAAAAAAAGAAGAAAAAAAAATTGGTCGAAGTGACTGAAATTCAGGTTTGAAAAGTTTACTTCCGATTTTGGACATGAAAAAAATTTTTTTTTCTTAATTTCATTTTATTGTAAAAAAGAACAGTATTTTTTCAAACTGCATTGCTATATTAAATATTTAATTGTAATTTTGTGAAATTCGAAAAACTACTTTCATAAAATTGATATTACAATTACGACAATTCTTCAGAAACCGATAACTTGTGAAATATACATTATACAAAAAAAAAAAATTTTGTGTTCACATTCATACATATTAGAAGTATAAATGGGCCGAATTTGATCGATTTTCAGAACCTCACTTTTTTTTCCTGTCCACTTCACGTGAAATGCCCCCTTTGTTACTGAATAAATTCATTATTCCCTGTAAATTGTTAATCTATCTATACATCTTTAAAATTCTGAGTCAAATCTGTACATTAGACATTTTTTGGAAAATCTAATTGAAATAGTCATTTTTATCGGTATAGAGGCCAAATCTATTGTTTTTAGAAGTTTTGTCTGTCTGTCTGTGACCGCATCACGAGAAAACCACTGGACGGATTTGCGTGAAATTAGGTATAATAATAGCTGGTTACCCGGGTTAATACATAGGATATTTTTTACTGTTGGAAAATATCTCATTTCTGAGAAATCTCGAGTAACTGTTAAAAACCGACTGTAAAACATCACGCGGTATGTGAAATCTGAGAATTTAGTTTCTGGCCTTTAAAACGCGGGCGGAGCCGTAGGAAATGCTAGTATAACATAAGTAGTATTATGATTAAAGTTTATTTATTGTAAAAAGTTATCGATATTTGCTCGCTGATATCGACACCACTAGTTTTAGTACCACAGACACTCGCTACGTCCGACAGCGCCAAAATGGCGATTATCAAACGGGCACAAAAAAACTTTGACAGCAGCCAGTCCATATTGATAGAGGTCAGTGCGTACAACAAAACGCAGTTGTCAAAAAATAGCAAACGTCACTGTGAATTACCAGGCCTAGAACTTGTCATTCAGATTACAGGCCTGGTCAACTTTGTATGGAGCGAATAAATACCTACGGGGGCTGAATTTTTGGGTGAATGTGTGATTCACATATATACAATGTTAATGTTTGTGTGAAATGTTGCTATTAGAAAAAATATTTAAGACAATTTGTATAGTAACACCAAAGAAGCCATCTTGATTTTTGTCAAGTTACCGGCTAATGAACTATGAAGTCATATTATCATTTGTGCGTAGTGTTGATATTAATTATTAATATTACGTATTTGCATTTTTAATTTCTTCTAAAACGTCGAGTTGAGCTTCTGTTCCCCCGTTAGAGTGATAAAAAGTGCAGTGATTGTCTTGATTCAGAGAAATTGACTGTATTCTGTAGTGCCTGAATCTGCTGTTTCAAATAGAAACGACTATTTTAAAAACAATGGCGGATAAAGAAAACAAAAGGAAATGTTAAATAAAACTATCTTTTCGGATTATTTCGCGGATTTATTTTGATTTTTGGTTCCCGACGTTTCGAATGCTTTACAGCATCCATGGTCACGGGAGAGACTGAGGTGTTACATGTCTTAAAGATATAGTTGTTACAGACAGCCTACCCACAATTAACAAAATGAAAATTGCACCAATTATATTACAATATTTTTAACTTTAAACATTTTTATAATTTTAATTATAATTGAATATGGAAAATTATTTATTTAATTTTTGCTATTATTTTTATAATTATTACAATTTTAAAATATTAATTAGTAATCTATATTTAGTGTTGTCATTATTATATTTATAACCATAAATAAAAATATAAAAATATAGTATTAATTATTACAGCCATATAATTGTTCTATGTGTAATTTAAAAAAGTTAAAATTAATTAAGGATAATCATTTTAATTTAGTTTGCTATTATTTAAAAACAACTTACTAAGCAACACTATTAATATATACTTTTACAAATGAAAAATATTAATCTGATAAGCTGTCATTTTGATCTACACAGTATGAACTTACTACATCTGCCTGTCTGTTATGTTTATATTTATTATTTGATTTTATTATATTAATAACAGGATCCCATGACGATGGTAGTACCCAGCCATCTTCCCTATTGAAATTTGGATGTTTTTTAATTTCTATGGCTTCTCGAATCATTCTAGGGCGATATCGGTTTTCTTTCGCCAGGATTTGAGGTTTATCGAAACGAATATAATGGCTTGGGCGGTCCTGGCTATGTTTGCAGACAGCAGATGTTGTATTGCGACGGTGCTTCACATCAGCTATGTGTTCTTTGACCCGGGTTCTAATGGATCGCTTTGTTTGTCCAATGTAAGAGAGCCCACAATCACAATCAAGCTTGTAAACTCCTGCATCTTGTAGAGGGATGTGGCACTTGACAGGTGGTAAGAACTGACTAATTTTCTTTGGCGGCTTGAAGTAAGTTTTAATTGAAGCTCGCTTTAGAATGTAGCCAATCTTGTCAGTGACTCCTTTCATGTATGGCAAGACTGCAGGGACGCGCTCGACTGTGGCTGGTTTCACTCGGTCACTGTGACGCAGGCGCGGCACTTGCAGCTTGTTGTCACGCAGAATTTGCTTGACATGTTGCAGTTCTCCGGCCAGGTGTTGCTCGTCACAGATCCCGCGCGCTCTCTGAAACAGAGATTTTCCCACGGTAGCTAACTGTGAAGGATGGTGGTGAGATTCACCGTTCAGGTACCTATCAGTATGGGTCTTCTTTCTATACACAGTATGACTCAAGGTATTATCAGGGTTACGTTTAACTAATACATCTAGGAAAGCTAAGGTTTTGTCAGATTCTAATTCCATTGTAAATTGTATTTTAGGATTTATAGAATTAAGGTGTTCTAAGAATACAGTTATTTTATCAGATGGTAATATTGTAAAAGTGTCATCTACATACCGCTTGTAGAAACGAGGGGTCACGGGTGATGTGTTCAGCGCAGTCTCCTCGAAGTCCTCCATGAAGATGTCGGCTACGATGGGTGAGACTGGCGAACCCATGGCCACTCCATCCACTTGCCTGTAGAATTCACCATTCCACAGTAGATAGCCGGATGTTAGGCAGTGTTTTAAAAGTTCAATGTATTCTATTGACATGTTGTGATCTAGTAGCTTCCTAGATATTATTTCAATACAGTCTTCCACTGGTAGGCTGGTAAATAAAGACTGTACATCGAAACTAACCATTGTTTCATTGTCCATGAGTTTTAGGTGTTTAACTTCATTGACAAAATGGTAAGAGTCCTTTGTGAACGCTCTTGTTAATCCTCTGAGTGGTGAGAGTACTTTTGCTACTAGTTTAGCCAATTTGTAAGTCGGTGAGTCGATTTGACTCACTATTGGACGTAGCGGAGCGTTAGTCTTGTGTATTTTCGGAAGTCCATACAACTTAGGTGGTTTTGCACATGATGGAATAAGATTCGAAACGTCGGGAACCAAAAATCAAAATAAATCCGCGAAATAATCCGAAAAGATAGTTTTATTTAATAATGTCAAACATTCGCGTAAATCTAAGAAAGTATTATGTGAACCAGTACGGACTGGAAACCACAAACAAGATACGCCGGTTAGAAGATCTAAAGACAAAGCGCGCAAGATTATTAACATCGTTAACTTTCTTGAAGAGATGTCGTGATCATCGTCTCATTCCTACGTGTGTGAAAATATCTTCCAAAAAGAACATACGAGGAAGCGCTAAGATCGTAAACCAGGCAAGTTTTAAGTTGTTACGGACAGTGATTCGACAAAATCGCCGCGATCTACGCAGAAACGACCGGGACATTGAACAGACGTCTAATATTGTTAAGACAGTATTGACACCATCTGATTTCAACGATTGCATTGACACTTTAAATAAGCGTGAAACAACCAAATATAATCAGTGCAAAATTAAACACATTTTAAAATATCAAAAACTCGTTGAAAAATTAAACATCAAAAAGAAAAAGAAAACCATAGAGTATAACGGAACGCGCCCGTCTACCACAGATACACACTCGTGCGGACCTCAAGCTGTTGTCAATCTATCAAAACAAACGTTAGACGAACCTACCATTCGGGTACTAAATAAAGGTTTGAATTTTGCTGTAACGCCTACGCGCATTCCTAATGAAAACATTATTTGCGCAGTTGAAGATGCCCTGGCCCAAAATATTATGAAAACTGAGGATATGGAGGCCATACGTCAAGATGTTTCGTCTTTATTACGTCGTAGTACTAGGCCCAAACCAAATCTCAATAAACAAGAGTATTTAGCGTTGAAGAACCTACGCAATAGGTCAGACATCACCGTTCTACGCGCAGACAAAGGAAATGCAACCGTTGTGATGGATACATCAGATTATAATGATAAAATAAAACAACTTTTGTCGGACGAGAGCACGTACAAAAAGGTTAAAACGGATCCAACTACCACCGTTTTAAATAATACTAAAAAGCTAATTAAGGAACACTCCGACACATTAAATCTTGATGTTAAAAATCTTATTCCATCATGTACAAAACCACCTAAGTTGTATGGACTTCCGAAAATACACAAGACTAACGCTCCGCTACGTCCAATAGTGAGTCAAATCGACTCACCGACTTACAAATTGGCTAAACTAGTAGCAAAAGTACTCTCACCACTCAGAGGATTAACAAGAGCGTTCACAAAGGACTCTTACCATTTTGTCAATGAAGTTAAACACCTAAAACTCATGGACAATGAAACAATGGTTAGTTTCGATGTACAGTCTTTATTTACCAGCCTACCAGTGGAAGACTGTATTGAAATAATATCTAGGAAGCTACTAGATCACAACATGTCAATAGAATACATTGAACTTTTAAAACACTGCCTAACATCCGGCTATCTACTGTGGAATGGTGAATTCTACAGGCAAGTGGATGGAGTGGCCATGGGTTCGCCAGTCTCCCCCATCGTAGCCGACATCTTCATGGAGGACTTCGAGGAGACTGCGCTGAACACATCACCCGTGACCCCTCGTTTCTACAAGCGGTATGTAGATGACACTTTTACAATATTACCATCTGATAAAATAACTGTATTCTTAGAACACCTTAATTCTATAAATCCTAAAATACAATTTACAATGGAATTAGAATCTGACAAAACCTTAGCTTTCCTAGATGTATTAGTTAAACGTAACCCTGATAATACCTTGAGTCATACTGTGTATAGAAAGAAGACCCATACTGATAGGTACCTGAACGGTGAATCTCACCACCATCCTTCACAGTTAGCTACCGTGGGAAAATCTCTGTTTCAGAGAGCGCGCGGGATCTGTGACGAGCAACACCTGGCCGGAGAACTGCAACATGTCAAGCAAATTCTGCGTGACAACAAGCTGCAAGTGCCGCGCCTGCGTCACAGTGACCGAGTGAAACCAGCCACAGTCGAGCGCGTCCCTGCAGTCTTGCCATACATGAAAGGAGTCACTGACAAGATTGGCTACATTCTAAAGCGAGCTTCAATTAAAACTTACTTCAAGCCGCCAAAGAAAATTAGTCAGTTCTTACCACCTGTCAAGTGCCACATCCCTCTACAAGATGCAGGAGTTTACAAGCTTGATTGTGATTGTGGGCTCTCTTACATTGGACAAACAAAGCGATCCATTAGAACCCGGGTCAAAGAACACATAGCTGATGTGAAGCACCGTCGCAATACAACATCTGCTGTCTGCAAACATAGCCAGGACCGCCCAAGCCATTATATTCGTTTCGATAAACCTCAAATCCTGGCGAAAGAAAACCGATATCGCCCTAGAATGATTCGAGAAGCCATAGAAATTAAAAAACATCCAAATTTCAATAGGGAAGATGGCTGGGTACTACCATCGTCATGGGATCCTGTTATTAATATAATAAAATCAAATAATAAATATAAACATAACAGACAGGCAGATGTAGTAAGTTCATACTGTGTAGATCAAAATGACAGCTTATCAGATTAATATTTTTTCATTTGTAAAAGTATATATTAATAGTGTTGCTTAGTAAGTTGTTTTTAAATAATAGCAAACTAAATTAAAATGATTATCCTTAATTAATTTTAACTTTTTTAAATTACACATAGAACAATTATATGGCTGTAATAATTAATACTATATTTTTATATTTTTATTTATGGTTATAAATATAATAATGACAACACTAAATATAGATTACTAATTAATATTTTTAAAATTGTAATAATTATAAAAATAATAGCAAAAATTAAATAAATAATTTTCCATATTCAATTATAATTAAAATTATAAAAATGTTTAAAGTTAAAAATATTGTAATATAATTGGTGCAATTTTCATTTTGTTAATTGTGGGTAGGCTGTCTGTAACAACTATATCTTTAAGACATGTAACACCTCAGTCTCTCCCGTGACCATGGATGCTGTAAAGCATTCGAAACGTCGGGAACCAAAAATCAAAATAAATCCGCGAAATAATCCGAAAAGATAGTTTTATTTAATAATGTCAAACATTCGCGTAAATCTAAGAAAGTATTAAAAGGAAATGTTTCAAGTGTGGGTGCTCACCAGCCGAGGATAAATAACATTAAATTGTTTAGATTTCCTAAACCTGCTTTAAGGAACCTAGTTCGGTAGGTATTATTAAACTTGTACATTAAATAAAAAGATTACAACGTATTATTTATGTAATTAAAAAATATGCTATAATTAGTGACTATTATCACTAAACGCAACTTCCAGTCAATTATATTGAAACATTTTATGGAAGAAAGTTTATTAAAATATGTACCTATCCTCAGATTTATAAATATACTTTTAATGTTTGTTGTTGTTAACTTCCCTTAATTTTTATTTTCAGCTGTGAATTATGGACAAAATACATGTTCCCAGAAAGCGGAGAATCTTCATTCACATTACAAATGAAGTTACACAATGAACACAGAATACTGTGTCAGAAACATTTTAATGGTGCGGATTTTACTGATGAGTCTAAGAAGAAGCTACTCAGAACTGCTGTACCATGTGATGTAAGTAAAAATATTCTAAAGTTATATTGAACAAGACAGAATGGAAAAATTAGGTTCAACTGTACAATCTGCACTGCTGAGTTGAGACTTAATTATTTTTTCACTAAAAGATCTCTCTACTAGAAGCCTGTATATAAAATTTGAGATAGCAAAAACATTTTTTTTAAATAAATTTTAAGTTGCTTCTTAGTATGTAATTTTACCATGTTTATACATGCACTTATCAATTTTTTCACTAAGTTTGTTGCAATATTCTATATTTAGAGTTAATTTTAATTACTATTGTACTAAAATATTTGTTTAAATATTTAAAAACTTGATTTATTCGTAACTTATAACAAATATACTACTAAAAGTTGTACTGAGTATATAAGTTATGTCAATGATAATGGTGATAATGAACAGGACAACACTCATGCTCAATTACAATATTAGTATATAAATTAGGATTTATTTCTTTCAGAATGTATATGAGTTACCTGCATATTCTGCAGAACCTTAAGCTGGTCCTTCACAAAGAGTTTCTTTTACAGACTTAACAAATGTATAATGTCTTCCCAGTGTTGAAAACACTGAGCCTATTGCTGGAACTCCACTACTGAAGGAGAAACCAGAAAAGGAGAAAATGTTATATGCAAAGTGTAGAAAATATTTGCAAACAATTTGCCAACTGCATAATCGCATAAAAAAATCAAATCCAGTAGAGTTTTACAAATAATCAGTGAAGACATGGCTGTAAAAAAATTATCAGCCAAGATATCTCCAACATTTGCACTATTACTGCAAGGGCAATTAAGAAATTATAAAAAGAAAATCACTGGTCGGAGGTGGACTAAAGAAGCAAAAATTACAGCATTGAGAATGTTTAAAATATCACCTACATGTTATCGTTTATTACGAAGGCTGTTCCATCTACCTGCACCTACCACACTAAAAACTTTACTTAACAGAGTACCATTTAGTGTTGGTATCAATCACCCAGTTTTTGAAGTAATGAAAAAACACACACAATTGCAAAAGCCATCAAACAATGAGTACACCCTGATGTTTGATGAAATGTCCTTAAAAAAGCACCTTCAATATAATCCCAAGGATGATGTGATTGAAGGATACCAAGACCATGCATCACAAGGAAGGTCTCCTTTGATTGCTGCATATGCCTTAGTATTTATGATTACTGGTATAAGGCAGAGAGTAAAGCAGCCTATTGCCCATTTCTTCTCTAGTGGATTTTCTACTGCAGATAGGCTTGCAGTACTAATAAAAGAGGTACTTATAATATTCCATTTTTTGAATGTAACTTTATAAATTACTAGCTTCCGCCTGCGGCTTCTCCCGCATGGTATGCCGATAAAAGTTGCCTATATTCTACTCAGGGTTCAAAGTATCCCCATACCAAATTTCCTCAAAATTGAACCATTCTTTAAAGTTAAAAATTTGTAGTTTGTATATGTTACTTAACTAAAAATGTTCATAAACTTCATTTTGTTTTTAATTTCAGGTCCTACATCAATGCCTTAAAGCTGGAATAAATATTGCAGCCATTGTATGTGATATGGATGGGGTAAACAGGCGAGCTTTAAATATCTTGGGTGCTTCTCTACAGCACCCATACATAATTGTTGACAATAAGGAGATTATTACTTTATTTGATCCACCACATTTGTTGAAATGCTTCCGAAACCTCTTCATAAAATATGATATAGACTGCTCAACAAATATTTCCTCTAATGTTGTGATAGGAAGAGGTGAGATTAAGTTTTATTTTTCTACAGAGCATATTAATCTAACATTTGGGAAACTAACTGAAGAGTCTGTTGTTATTACTATTATTTCTAAAACTTTAATCTTTACAGGTATTGCTAAATGGTCCCATGTGAAGAAATTTTACGAAGCAGACAACACTAATCCGAATTTTGTTTATGCTCCTGTTTTGAAGAAAGAGCACCTTAATTCCAATACCAGACAGAAAATGAAAGTGAAATTAGCTACACAGGTGTTAAGCCATTCTGTGTCGGGAGGAATGTATGCAAAAATATCTGCAGGTATGTAATAATAAATCTATACTATAATAATACATCTATACTAATATTATAAAGAGGTAAGTCAAATTTGTTTGTATGTAGGGGTAATCTCCGAAACTACCAGTCGGATTTAAAATTGTTTTTTTCGCATTTGATAGCCTATAGCTAGCACCAGAATTACGGTAATTCTTGAGGAAGGCTAGGCTATTTAACATCAAGCTGGCGGCCCTTAGTAACCGCGAAAATGAAGCAATAGTGCGACGCGGTGGGTTGAGGATCGAAATTTCACGCGGACGAAGTCGCGGGCGGTGGCGTAAACCCTGCTATTCCAGATATACTTTTAAACTATGTATTCTTGTATAATCTACTAGCTTCTGTTGATTTGCACAAAATCATCTTTCATTTCATTCCAATCGGAAATTGTTTAAAGATTTAAACAATAATTAATTACATATTTATTTATAATATTTGCTATTAAAAAAAATCTCTACAATATTGTAAATTAATTGATATATTTTTTTAATTTACAGGAGAACTCACTACAAATGCAACTGTCACTGCAAATCTTATAAATAGTATGGACAAATTATTTGACACACTGAACAGTGATTGTTCAGACTTGCGAAGAGGGAAACCACATGCAACAAATTTAAGAAAAACAGTCCACTTCTCAAATGTTTTGAGGAAACGAAAAAGTTCTTTTCAACTATGAAATATATTGGAAGCCCACGTAAACCACCATCACAAGAAGGCTGGATATGGACCCTAAACGCCATTGAACGATTGTGGAGGAACTTAGTAAGGTCCCACAACATAACCAGTCTAGCTACGAGAAGACTGCAGCAAGATGCTCTTGAAAACCTTTTTGGTTGTATTTGCGGGAACTGTGGTTCTAATACCAATCTAACGTGTGGTCAATTTGTGGCTGGTCTTAAAACAGCAGTTTTGAGTAATTTATCCCACATTGGTATGAAAGGGAATTGTGAAAATGATAACAATATAATAATTAATAACTTTGAAAAAATGTTATCAGTTTCACAGCCCACACGCATATATGCAGAACCTGAATTTACCTCAAAAATACCTAACCTAAGATAGTGCAGAAATTCAGGCATGTGCATATGTGTGTGGGTTCATACTAAAAAAGTTTCCAAAAGCTTGTGAAAACTGCCGAAATATTTTTTATGCAAAAGAAATAGATAGGCATCACTTGTTTGTCAAGTTCCAGGAGTATACTGAAATTAAAAAATGTTTGAATTATGTAACCATTGATATGGTTAATTGTGTGGATTGCTGTGCTTCCCTAATTAATAATTATCTTGAAGAAAACGGGCACACAACCTTTCTAAAAAAATATAATAGATAACATTAAAACCATCATCACCAACCATCAATTCATGTATGGATCATAAATTTGAAAATATAAATAACATTGCGCAAACAGTTTTTGTTATATGCACGAAACGATTCTGCGTTGTCAAAAATCGCACATTTTTGAAGAAGCATCAGCTGCTGCACTTAGGCGCAAAATGAATATAATCTTGCACAAATAAAATTTATAGATGAGCAACTTGATTTTCTTCTATAGTTGTGCTAGAGGAAAGAATAGCCTGTCAGCATTTTCGTCAGCGTTGGCATTGAGACTGACCTCCTGGGTGGTTATTTTCTCACATTTTAATATCGACGGTTAAAAGGTAATAGGTAATAAGCGACATTTTGGTCGCAAATGAGTTATGAATGCCATCCTACTTAAAATTTTTAGCTTTTTCGAATGCGCTTACTCCCGTGTCTCTACGATGGCTTTTTCGTCACTTATGCCCAAGCAAAAAACTGCGTTTTCGAAGTGTCATTTTGGTCTAACCGACCGAGTTTTAGGCCTTATTTATCCTAAAGGCACTTGTACCCCTGTAAAAATGGTATCAATTTTGGTTTATAGTCGGTAAGGTATTTTTACTTCTTACTGGCATAGAGAATCCGGGCGCTTAAGACTCTTTACAATTAGCACCGGTTTTGAAAGTTGGAACTAATGCCTCTTTAACCTTTTTCGTCAAAAACATTAAGCGTCGGTTAAGCCTTACTAGCATTTTCAAGTTTAAATTACAGTTGTCGCTTATACGCAATTACTAAATCTTATTTGATATTAAACTGTCGGTTATACCTTACTACCATTTACAAGTTTACGATATAGTTGTCGCTTATACGTAATTACTAATATGAAATTTTATATTAAGGTGTCGGGTATATCCATTTACCATTTACTATTTTAATACTACGTTGTCGCGTACGCCGTATTACTATACAATGATTATTTGTTAATTGGTGCTTACGCCAATATTAATGACTTTGTAGACAAGTACCTATTAAGCGAGTCGCTTATTTCCAAAATCAGCCGGCCGCGTGCAGTGACGGCGAGAGCAGGTGCGCTTGCACATTAGATTTCGAAAAGTGCACCAAAGTTCCTGTCAACGGTATGTTATTTATTTCTCTGACCTATAAATGGTACTAACGATTGATTACTTACTAAATAAGTGACTTTAACTGATATTTATTATTATGAATATATCTTTTTAGGTTAAAATGCAAAGAAGAGGTAGAAAGAGACATTCTGGAAATGGCTTTAAAAACATCGGACATTCGAAATCAGAAAAAATGTCGCAGCAGGCTTCTTTCTGAATTTGATAAGATGGTAAATAATTAATTGTCTTGTATTTGTCTTGTTGAACATTAATTATAGTTTATGTAGGTATCTATCATGTATCTAGGTTAGATCTTATGAAGAAATATAATATTATTATTTTTATTTTAGTACCGTTGAAACTTGCATCCTCTGTGGAAAACGAGAGTGATATACTTAATTTGTATGACAAATGAAGTATGCAGATTTAGAATTAACACTAAGCTTGGGCGTTATGGTTAATACCTATCTATGCATTACTTTACTAACGTTTTTTTTAGGGTCTCGTTGCGGACTCTGCGCCTGCCATCCTCACGAGCTCCGTGCCTCACGCTGCGTCTGCCATCCTCACGATCTCCGCGCCGGACGCTGCATCTGCCATCCTCACGAGCTCCGCGCCGGACGCTGCATCTGCCATCCTCACGAGCTCCGCGCCGGACGCTGCGTCTGCCATCCTCACGAGCTCTGCGCCGGACGCTGCGCCTGCCATCCTCACGAGCTCCGTGCCTCACGCTGCGTCTGCCATCTACACTAGCTCCGCGCCGGACGCTGCGTCTGCCACTCTCACGAGCTTCGCGCCGGACGCAGAGTCTGCCATTCTCACGAGCTTCGCGCCGGACGCTGCATCTGCCATTATCATCAGCTCCGTGATGGACGCTGCGTCTACCTTCCTCACGAGCTTCGCGCCGGACGCTGCATCTTGTATCCGCACGAGACCAGCTCTGGACGTTGCGTCCGCCATCCTCACGAGCTCCGCACCAGATGCTGCGTCTACTGCCTGTAACTCCACGCCGCCAGTCTCCGAGTCAAATCTCTTAGGAATATCACTCCGAGATGTTCCCAGCATATCGTTTGCGACTTCACTTAACAGTAATGATTCACCTACAACGAAATTGTCTAGCGAAATATTAAATATTGCAAACTCCGAGTCGAACGTCATTCGATCTAATGTTTCCAAGCAACTGTTGAAAGTTCTTCCAGGTACATCTTCGGGAACCAACGCTAACAATACTCAAGCATCGACATTTCGAATCACCCGTCCAAGAAAGAAAGACTCTTATTTAGATTATATGTCAGACGACGAGTTAGCCTTGTTAAATGCCTTTGGTGATGCAGGAAGCTCAGATGAGTGGGAGCCGGAAGGAAATGGTAAGAAAAGGAAGAAAATGACTCTTGAAAAGGAAGAAAATGACTCTTGGTTATCTATGAAAATGGTACGCGTAATGTTTATTGCTATTATTGGGATGAAAGCCAGGGTAACCGCGGTGCGAATGAGATAGCTACAATATTAAGCAAATACATAATGAAGCTTGACGAACGCGGGAATATAAGACTTCTTCTTTATTGTGACTGTTGTCCCGGTCAAAATCGGAACAAAATTGTTCTTGCTATGCTGAACGAGATTCTGCAACGTTGCAGAACTATTGAATCTATTCAAATATTTTTTTTTACTTACTGATCATACCTATATTCGTAGCGGGCGGTGATTGGAATGCCAAGCATGTTCACTGGGGATCCAGAATCACGACAACCAGAGGTAGGCAGCTAAAATTAAGCTGTGATGATATCAATCTCACTTCAATATCTACGGGTCATCCGACGTACTGGCCAACAGACCCAAATAAGAGGCCAGACTTGTTAGATTTCTACGTAATAAAAGGTCTATCAAAATACTATCTCAAAGCCGAAACATGCCTTGACAGTAGTTCTGACCATACTCCCGTCCTACTTACAATAAGCACAACTATCATATGCTACGATTCACCAGACTTCCTATATAACAGTAAAACGGATTGGGATGGCTTTAGAGATTCTATTGAAAACGAACTAGACCTTAACATTTCTTTGAAAACACCCGAAGAGATAGATCATGCAACGGTCTCTATTACTAACCTCATACAAAAAGCTTGCTGGCTCAATACTCCAAAAATAGAGCATAAAGACAAGCTCAAAAATTTACCACTCGAAATTCGGACTAAAATATTAGAAAAAAGAAGGTTGCGAAGAATCTGGCACCAAAGTCGACACAGGGAGGATAAGGCAGCTTTCAATAAAGCCATTAAAGAGCTCAAACAGATTATTGACAACGTAGAAAATGCGACACTTGAGAATAAGCTAGAGAACCTTACAGCAACATCGTCAACGGAATACTCTCTCTGGAAATTTACAAAATCACTGAACGCATCACAAGAACCAAAGGCGGCAATTAGGGTACCAAGCGGATGGGCAAAAACAGGAAAAGAAAAGGCTAATGCGTTTGCTAGACACCTGACTGACGAATTTAAAGCGAACGAAACAAATAACGATAACGTCGAGAAAGACATTGATGATGTACTACAGCAAGATCTTCAGTTATCCCTTCCTATAAGACCAGTTAGCATCAATGAAATTAAAAACATATTAAAAGCTTTAGAGAACAATAAAGCGCCAGGGTTCGATCTGATAACGAAGGAAGTTTTGATACAGTTACCTCAACGTGCTCTAGTAATCCTGACTTACCTTTTTAATGGAATTCTTCGAGTGCAGTACTTCCCAAGAATATGGAAAGTTTTCTATAATCAAAATGATTCATAAACCTGGAAAGCCCCGGGAGGAACTCACATCATACAGGCCAATCAGTCTCCTGCCGATTCTGTTAAAAGTGTTTGAGAAGATCCTTCTAACAAGACTCTATCCCGTGTTACTTCAAAATCATGTAATACCTAAACACCAGTTTGGATTTAGACAGCAACATTCCACTATAGAACAGGTACATCGGGTCTATGAACATATACGCAGATCACTTGAAAAGAAAGAGTACTGCTCAGCAGTATTTCTTGACATCCAACAAGCATTCGACAAGGTATGGCACAAGGGCCTCCTCTATAAAATAAAAAGGTTCCTGCATCACGACTTTTTCTTGCTGTTTAAATCTTACCTTGCTGATCGCATATTTCAAGTTAGAGAAGAAAGAGAATCGTCCGAATTCTGTAATATAACAGCTGGAGTACCACAAGGATCCGTTCTTGTATTCTCTTTTCACTGCAGACCTTCCAGAAATGCAAAATATTACCATATATAGTATTATAATATTATTATATAGAAACTCCATATCAATGTTTTAACCATTTTATCACTGAAGATTTTATCAAAACATTTGTAGAGAAGACAAATTTATATATAATACAAAGTAATCCCAGTTCATCTATAACATTTACAGAATATGATTTGTATAAGTTCTTTGGTATATTATTATACATGTCAGTAATCAAATTTCCTAGCACAAGATCATACTGGTCGCCAAAGTTTGGATATGAGCCCATTTCTTCAACAATGCCACTGATCAAGTTTGAGAAAATAAAGTTATCATTACATTTTAATAACAATGATCTTCACAAACCTATAGGTCATCCAGAACATGACAGGCTTTATAAAATCTGCCCTGTTATCAAGCATCTCAATGAGAGGTTTGCCACAGTACCAATGAATCAAAGACTTTCTGTGGATGAACAGATGTGTTCTACCAAAATAGGGCATTTTTTAAAACAGTATCTGCCTAAGAAGCCCCATAAATTGGGCTTCAAATTATATGTTCTCTGTGATTTGATGGGATATGCCCACAAGTTTGAGGTATATTCTGGACAAGAAAATACCGTTGGTTCCTATAACTTTCCTTGATATTTTGAAATTGATAATAGTTGCATATCTTATGCACAGCTCAGTAAATTTAAGAAAATAATTTCTTAGCAGCTTTTCATTGTGAAGTTCCAATTCAAAGGACAAAGCAGTTTTTAGACTTAAATGAGTAGGTAATGTAAATTACAATTATAGTTAGGAGTTTTTTAATCAAATGAACTGAATTAGTATATTATACAAATTTGTATTTATTATCAAAAATTAAACAATCAGTCTTTTAAAAAAGGAATAGTTTTATATCTAAGATAGATTATTTTATAAGCAATATGTAAATCAACATTATTTAATTGTTGTGTTGAGTAGTTTAACGTTTTATTATTATATAACAATTATTAACAGCCATTTATCATTATTTAACCACATCTAATTGTATCACAGCTAATAATTAAGAGCTAAACATATAAAAATTCTATTCTTTCTTTCGTCATGGCGTAGGGAAGTGACGACCCCACCGCCCGCTGGCAGGTTACACTACCAGTGCAGTCAGTCTATGGTTGATCCGCCATGCCTTTACACAAGACCACTTCGGTGTAGGAGGCGAGCACTGTCCGTAGACAAACGCTCCGGTTTTTACAGCAATGTGGCAAGGCACAGGGGAAGTGCCTCAAAGGGCGCACGCCAGGATTCGTACAGTGGCGTATGGCCAATCTCCTGCAACCTCTGCTTTCTGCCGGTCGTATCGGCCATCCGGTCCACCGGCACTGGGAGGCCGAGGTCGAGAGAGTTCTTTATATATATATTTATATGATGGGACATTAACACAGCACCATCTAGTTCCATGGTAAGCTTCACGAGGCTTGTGTTATGGATACCGGATAGTTGATACACTACGCATATTATATAACTTTTAATACATACATTATACATACATATAAACACCCATGACTGTAGTACAAACATTGGTGCTCATCACATAAATGAATGCCCCCAGCGGGACTCGAACCCGCGACCGCTGGCACAGTTACAAGGGTCACTAAACTGAGCCAAATGTGTAATAAATGAATATTCCTTTGCCTCCAGGTTCATTTGCGTGGACACAGTGGAGCAGTCTACCGGCAGCTTCAGAAAGCCAAGCTGGCGTTCGCCGACAGCGTGCTCACCGGCGTCAAGGACACCATCACAAATCTAAACATTGAAGATCTTATGATGCTGTTGTTATTTAAATTATCATAAAGAATAAAGAAGATTGAGTAAACTATATTTTTTTATTTATTTAGTACTGAGCTAAATATGTGACAATGCATGATGATGTAAAGGGTATAGCGAGGTAAGGAGCACGAAATGGCCCCCACGGCCCATGACGGAATTATCATTTGTACTGGTATTGGCACTCTAAAACAATACGAAATGTAAGGTCGTTGACCCCTGACCTTGACCTGTCTTTGAGATATTCGAGAAAGTTCGTATGCGCGCCGATTTTTTTGATCTTAGCGCTTCCTCGTATGTTCTTTTTGGAAGATATTTTCACACACGTAGGAATGAGACGATGATCACGACATCTCTTCAAGAAAGTTAACGATGTTAATAATCTTGCGCGCTTTGTCTTTAGATCTTCTAACCGGCGTATCTTGTTTGTGGTTTCCAGTCCGTACTGGTTCACATAATACTTTCTTAGATTTACGCGAATGTTTGACATTATTAAATAAAACTATCTTTTCGGATTATTTCGCGGATTTATTTTGATTTTTGGTTCCCGACGTTTCGAATCTTATTCCATCATGTGCAAAACCACCTAAGTTGTATGGACTTCCGAAAATACACAAGACTAACGCTCCGCTACGTCCAATAGTGAGTCAAATCGACTCACCGACTTACAAATTGGCTAAACTAGTAGCAAAAGTACTCTCACCACTCAGAGGATTAACAAGAGCGTTCACAAAGGACTCTTACCATTTTGTCAATGAAGTTAAACACCTAAAACTCATGGACAATGAAACAATGGTTAGTTTCGATGTACAGTCTTTATTTACCAGCCTACCAGTGGAAGACTGTATTGAAATAATATCTAGGAAGCTACTAGATCACAACATGTCAATAGAATACATTGAACTTTTAAAACACTGCCTAACATCCGGCTATCTACTGTGGAATGGTGAATTCTACAGGCAAGTGGATGGAGTGGCCATGGGTTCGCCAGTCTCCCCCATCGTAGCCGACATCTTCATGGAGGACTTCGAGGAGACTGCGCTGAACACATCACCCGTGACCCCTCGTTTCTACAAGCGGTATGTAGATGACACTTTTACAATATTACCATCTGATAAAATAACTGTATTCTTAGAACACCTTAATTCTATAAATCCTAAAATACAATTTACAATGGAATTAGAATCTGACAAAACCTTAGCTTTCCTAGATGTATTAGTTAAACGTAACCCTGATAATACCTTGAGTCATACTGTGTATAGAAAGAAGACCCATACTGATAGGTACCTGAACGGTGAATCTCACCACCATCCTTCACAGTTAGCTACCGTGGGAAAATCTCTGTTTCAGAGAGCGCGCGGGATCTGTGACGAGCAACACCTGGCCGGAGAACTGCAACATGTCAAGCAAATTCTGCGTGACAACAAGCTGCAAGTGCCGCGCCTGCGTCACAGTGACCGAGTGAAACCAGCCACAGTCGAGCGCGTCCCTGCAGTCTTGCCATACATGAAAGGAGTCACTGACAAGATTGGCTACATTCTAAAGCGAGCTTCAATTAAAACTTACTTCAAGCCGCCAAAGAAAATTAGTCAGTTCTTACCACCTGTCAAGTGCCACATCCCTCTACAAGATGCAGGAGTTTACAAGCTTGATTGTGATTGTGGGCTCTCTTACATTGGACAAACAAAGCGATCCATTAGAACCCGGGTCAAAGAACACATAGCTGATGTGAAGCACCGTCGCAATACAACATCTGCTGTCTGCAAACATAGCCAGGACCGCCCAAGCCATTATATTCGTTTCGATAAACCTCAAATCCTGGCGAAAGAAAACCGATATCGCCCTAGAATGATTCGAGAAGCCATAGAAATTAAAAAACATCCAAATTTCAATAGGGAAGATGGCTGGGTACTACCATCGTCATGGGATCCTGTTATTAATATAATAAAATCAAATAATAAATATAAACATAACAGACAGGCAGATGTAGTAAGTTCATACTGTGTAGATCAAAATGACAGCTTATCAGATTAATATTTTTCATTTGTAAAAGTATATTAATAGTGTTGCTTAGTAAGTTGTTTTTAAATAATAGCAAACTAAATTAAAATGATTATCCTTAATTAATTTTAACTTTTTTAAATTACACATAGAACAATTATATGGCTGTAATAATTAATACTATATTTTTATATTTTTATTTATGGTTATAAATATAATAATGACAACACTAAATATAGATTACTAATTAATATTTTAAAATTGTAATAATTATAAAAATAATAGCAAAAATTAAATAAATAATTTTCCATATTCAATTATAATTAAAATTATAAAAATGTTTAAAGTTAAAAATATTGTAATATAATTGGTGCAATTTTCATTTTGTTAATTGTGGGTAGGCTGTCTGTAACAACTATATCTTTAAGACATGTAACACCTCAGTCTCTCCCGTGACCATGGATGCTGTAAAGCATTCGAAACGTCGGGAACCAAAAATCAAAATAAATCCGCGAAATAATCCGAAAAGATAGTTTTATTTAATAATGTCAAACATTCGCGTAAATCTAAGAAAGTATTAAAAGGAAATGTTTCAAGTGTGGGTGCTCACCAGCCGAGGATAAATAACATTAAATTGTTTAGATTTCCTAAACCTGCTTTAAGGAACCTAGTTCGGTAGGTATTATTAAACTTGTACATTAAATAAAAGATTACAACGTATTATTTATGTAATTAAAAAATATGCTATAATTAGTGACTATTATCACTAAACGCAACTTCCAGTCAATTATATTGAAACATTTTATGGAAGAAAGTTTATTAAAATATGTACCTATCCTCAGATTTATAAATATACTTTTAATGTTTGTTGTTGTTAACTTCCCTTAATTTTTATTTTCAGCTGTGAATTATGGACAAAATACATGTTCCCAGAAAGCGGAGAATCTTCATTCACATTACAAATGAAGTTACACAATGAACACAGAATACTGTGTCAGAAACATTTTAATGGTGCGGATTTTACTGATGAGTCTAAGAAGAAGCTACTCAGAACTGCTGTACCATGTGATGTAAGTAAAAATATTCTAAAGTTATATTGAACAAGACAGAATGGAAAAATTAGGTTCAACTGTACAATCTGCACTGCTGAGTTGAGACTTAATTATTTTTTCACTAAAAGATCTCTCTACTAGAAGCCTGTATATAAAATTTGAGATAGCAAAAACATTTTTTTTAAATAAATTTTAAGTTGCTTCTTAGTATGTAATTTTACCATGTTTATACATGCACTTATCAATTTTTTTCACTAAGTTTGTTGCAATATTCTATATTTAGAGTTAATTTTAATTACTATTGTACTAAAATATTTGTTTAAATATTTAAAAACTTGATTTATTCGTAACTTATAACAAATATACTACTTAAAGTTGTACTGAGTATATAGGTTATGTCAATGATAATGGTGATAATGAACAGGACAACACTCATGCTCAATTACAATATTAGTATATAAATTAGGATTTATTTCTTTCAGAATGTATATGAGTTACCTGCATATTCTGCAGAACCTTAAGCTGGTCCTTCACAAAGAGTTTCTTTTACAGACTTAACAAATGTATAATGTCTTCCCAGTGTTGAAAACACTGAGCCTATTGCTGGAACTCCACTACTGAAGGAGAAACCAGAAAAGGAGAAAATGTTATATGCAAAGTGTAGAAAATATTTGCAAACAATTTGCCAACTGCATAATCGCATAAAAAAAAATCAAATCCAGTAGAGTTTTACAAATAATCAGTGAAGACATGGCTGTAAAAAAATTATCAGCCAAGATATCTCCAACATTTGCACTATTACTGCAAGGGCAATTAAGAAATTATAAAAAGAAAATCACTGGTCGGAGGTGGACTAAAGAAGCAAAAATTACAGCATTGAGAATGTTTAAAACATCACCTACATGTTATCGTTTATTACGAAGGCTGTTCCATCTACCTGCACCTACCACACTAAAAACTTTACTTAACAGAGTACCATTTAGTGTTGGTATCAATCACCCAGTTTTTGAAGTAATGAAAAAACACACACAATTGCAAAAGCCATCAAACAATGAGTACACCCTGATGTTTGATGAAATGTCCTTAAAAAAGCACCTTCAATATAATCCCAAGGATGATGTGATTGAAGGATACCAAGACCATGCATCACAAGGAAGGTCTCCTTTGATTGCTGCATATGCCTTAGTATTTATGATTACTGGTATAAGGCAGAGAGTAAAGCAGCCTATTGCCCATTTCTTCTCTAGTGGATTTTCTACTGCAGATAGGCTTGCAGTACTAATAAAAGAGGTACTTATAATATTCCATTTTTTGAATGTAACTTTATAAATTACTAGCTTCCGCCTGCGGCTTCTCCCGCATGGTATGCCGATAAAAGTTGCCTATATTCTATTCAGGGTTCAAAGTATCCCCATACCAAATTTCCTCAAAATTGAACCATTCTTTAAAGTTAAAAATTTGTAGTTTGTATATGTTACTTAACTAAAAATGTTCATAAACTTCATTTTGTTTTTAATTTCAGGTCCTACATCAATGCCTTAAAGCTGGAATAAATATTGCAGCCATTGTATGTGATATGGATGGGGTAAACAGGCGAGCTTTAAATATCTTGGGTGCTTCTCTACAGCACCCATACATAATTGTTGACAATAAGGAGATTATTACTTTATTTGATCCACCACATTTGTTGAAATGCTTCCGAAACCTCTTCATAAAATATGATATAGACTGCTCAACAAATATTTCCTCTAATGTTGTGATAGGAAGAGGTGAGATTAAGTTTTATTTTTCTACAGAGCATATTAATCTAACATTTGGGAAACTAACTGAAGAGTCTGTTGTTATTACTATTATTTCTAAAACTTTAATCTTTACAGGTATTGCTAAATGGTCCCATGTGAAGAAATTTTACGAAGCAGACAACACTAATCCGAATTTTGTTTATGCTCCTGTTTTGAAGAAAGAGCACCTTAATTCCAATACCAGACAGAAAATGAAAGTGAAATTAGCTACACAGGTGTTAAGCCATTCTGTGTCGGGAGGAATGTATGCAAAAATATCTGCAGGTATGTAATAATAAATCTATACTATAATAATACATCTATACTAATATTATAAAGAGGTAAGTCAAATTTGTTTGTATGTAGGGGTAATCTCCGAAACTACCAGTCGGATTTAAAATTGTTTTTTTCGCATTTGATAGCCTATAGCTAGCACCAGAATTACGGTAATTCTTGAGGAAGGCTAGGCTATTTAACATCAAGCTGGCGGCCCTTAGTAACCGCGAAAATGAAGCAATAGTGCGACGCGGTGGGTTGAGGATCGAAATTTCACGCGGACGAAGTCGCGGGCGGTGGCGTAAACCCTGCTATTCCAGATATACTTTTAAACTATGTATTCTTGTATAATCTACTAGCTTCTGTTGATTTGCACAAAATCATCTTTCATTTCATTCCAATCGGAAATTGTTTAAAGATTTAAACAATAATTAATTACATATTTATTTATAATATTTGCTATTAAAAAAAATCTCTACAATATTGTAAATTAATTGATATATTTTTTTAATTTACAGGAGAACTCACTACAAATGCAACTGTCACTGCAAATCTTATAAATAGTATGGACAAATTATTTGACACACTGAACAGTGATTGTTCAGACTTGCGAAGAGGGAAACCACATGCAACAAATTTAAGAAAAAACAGTCCACTTCTCAAATGTTTTGAGGAAACGAAAAAGTTCTTTTCAACTATGAAATATATTGGAAGCCCACGTAAACCACCATCACAAGAAGGCTGGATATGGACCCTAAACGCCATTGAACGATTGTGGAGGAACTTAGTAAGGTCCCACAACATAACCAGTCTAGCTACGAGAAGACTGCAGCAAGATGCTCTTGAAAACCTTTTTGGTTGTATTTGCGGGAACTGTGGTTCTAATACCAATCTAACGTGTGGTCAATTTGTGGCTGGTCTTAAAACAGCAGTTTTGAGTAATTTATCCCACATTGGTATGAAAGGGAATTGTGAAAATGATAACAATATAATAATTAATAACTTTGAAAAAATGTTATCAGTTTCACAGCCCACACGCATATATGCAGAACCTGAATTTACCTCAAAAATACCTAACCTAAGATAGTGCAGAAATTCAGGCATGTGCATATGTGTGTGGGTTCATACTAAAAAAGTTTCCAAAAGCTTGTGACAACTGCCGAAATATTTTTTATGCAAAAGAAATAGATAGGCATCACTTGTTTGTCAAGTTCCAGGAGTATACTGAAATTAAAAAATGTTTGAATTATGTAACCATTGATATGGTTAATTGTGTGGAGTGCTGTGCTTCCCTAATTAATAATTATCTTGAAGAAAACGGGCACACAACCTTTCTAAAAAAATATAATAGATAACATTAAAACCACAATAAATTTTAATTTCCTCAATTCATGTATGGATCATAAATTTGAAAATATAAATAACATTGCGCAAACAGTTTTTGTTATATGCACGAAACGATTCTGCGTTGTCAAAAATCGCACATTTTTTGAAGAAGCATCAGCTGCTGCACTTAGGCGCAAAATGAATATAATCTTGCACAAATAAAATTTATAGATGAGCAACTTGATTTTCTTCTATAGTTGTGCTAGTGGAAAGAATAGCCTGTCAGCATTTTCGTCAGCGTTGGCATTGAGACTGACCTCCTGGGTGGTTATTTTCTCACATTTTAATATCGACGGTTAAAAGGTAATAGGTAATAAGCGACATTTTGGTCGCAAATGAGTTATGAATGCCATCCTACTTAAAATTTTTAGCTTTTTCGAATGCGCTTACTCCCGTGTACGATGGCTTTTTCGTCACTTATGCCCAAGCAAAAAACTGCGTTTTCGAAGTGTCATTTTGGTCTAACCGACCGAGTTTTAGGCCTTATTTATCCTAAAGGCACTTGTACCCCTGTAAAAATGGTATCAATTTTGGTTTATAGTCGGTAAGGTATTTTTACTTCTTACTGGCATAGAGAATCCGGGCGCTTAAGACTCTTTACAATTAGCACCGGTTTTGAAAGTTGGAACTAATGCCTCTTTACCTTTTTCGTCAAAAACATTAAGCGTCGGTTAAGCCTTACTAGCATTTTCAAGTTTAAATTACAGTTGTCGCTTATACGCAATTACTAAATCTTATTTGATATTAAACTGTCGGTTATACCTTACTACCATTTACAAGTTTACGATATAGTTGTCGCTTATACGTAATTACTAATATGAAATTTTATATTAAGGTGTCGGGTATATCCATTTACCATTTACTATTTTAATACTACGTTGTCGCGTACGCCGTATTACTATACAATGATTATTTGTTAATTGGTGCTTACGCCAATATTAATGACTTTGTAGACAAGTACCTATTAAGCGAGTCGCTTATTCCAAAATCAGCCGGCCGCGTGCAGTGACGGCGAGAGCAGGTGCGCTTGCACATTAGATTTCGAAAAGTGCACCAAAGTTCCTGTCAACGGTATGTTATTTATTTCTCTGACCTATAAATGGTACTAACGATTGATTACTTACTAAATAAGTGACTTTAACTGATATTTATTATTATGAATATATCTTTTTAGGTTAAAATGCAAAGAAGAGGTAGAAAGAGACATTCTGGAAATGGCTTTAAAAACATCGGACATTCGAAATCAGAAAAAATGTCGCAGCAGGCTTCTTTCTGAATTTGATAAGATGGTAAATAATTAATTGTCTTGTATTTGTCTTGTTGAACATTAATTATAGTTTATGTAGGTATCTATCATGTATCTAGGTTAGATCTTATGAAGAAATATAATATTATTATTTTTATTTTAGTACCGTTGAAACTTGCATCCTCTGTGGAAAACGAGAGTGATATACTTAATTTGTATGACAAATGAAGTATGCAGATTTAGAATTAACACTAAGCTTGGGCGTTATGGTTAATACCTATCTATGCATTACTTTACTAACGTTTTTTTTAGGGTCTCGTTGCGGACTCTGCGCCTGCCATCCTCACGAGCTCCGTGCCTCACGCTGCGTCTGCCATCCTCACGATCTCCGCGCCGGACGCTGCATCTGCCATCCTCACGAGCTCCGCGCCGGACGCTGCATCTGCCATCCTCACGAGCTCCGCGCCGGACGCTGCGTCTGCCATCCTCACGAGCTCTGCGCCGGACGCTGCGCCTGCCATCCTCACGAGCTCCGTGCCTCACGCTGCGTCTGCCATCTACACTAGCTCCGCGCCGGACGCTGCGTCTGCCACTCTCACGAGCTTCGCGCCGGACGCAGAGTCTGCCATTCTCACGAGCTTCGCGCCGGACGCTGCATCTGCCATTATCATCAGCTCCGTGATGGACGCTGCGTCTACCTTCCTCACGAGCTTCGCGCCGGACGCTGCATCTTGTATCCGCACGAGACCAGCTCTGGACGTTGCGTCCGCCATCCTCACGAGCTCCGCACCAGATGCTGCGTCTACTGCCTGTAACTCCACGCCGCCAGTCTCCGAGTCAAATCTCTTAGGAATATCACTCCGAGATGTTCCCAGCATATCGTTTGCGACTTCACTTAACAGTAATGATTCACCTACAACGAAATTGTCTAGCGAAATATTAAATATTGCAAACTCCGAGTCGAACGTCATTCGATCTAATGTTTCCAAGCAACTGTTGAAAGTTCTTCCAGGTACATCTTCGGGAACCAACGCTAACAATACTCAAGCATCGACATTTCGAATCACCCGTCCAAGAAAGAAAGACTCTTATTTAGATTATATGTCAGACGACGAGTTAGCCTTGATAAATGCCTTTGGTGATGCAGGAAGCTCAGATGAGTGGGAGCCGGAAGGAAATGGTAAGAAAAGGAAGAAAATGACTCTTTGAAAGGAAGAAAATGACTCTTGGTTATCTATGAAAATGGTACGCGTAATGTTTATTGCTATTATTGGGATGAAAGCCAGGGTAACCGCGGTGCGAATGAGATAGCTACAATATTAAGCAAATACATAATGAAGCTTGACGAACGCCGGAATATAAGACTTCTTCTTTATTGTGACTGTTGTCCCGGTCAAAATCGGAACAAAATTGTTCTTGCTATGCTGAACGAGATTCTGCAACGTTGCAGAACTATTGAATCTATTCAAATATTTTTTTTTACTTACTGATCATACCTATATTCGTAGCGGGCGGTGATTGGAATGCCAAGCATGTTCACTGGGGATCCAGAATCACGACAACCAGAGGTAGGCAGCTAAAATTAAGCTGTGATGATATCAATCTCACTTCAATATCTACGGGTCATCCGACGTACTGGCCAACAGACCCAAATAAGAGGCCAGACTTGTTAGATTTCTACGTAATAAAAGGTCTATCAAAATACTATCTCAAAGCCGAAACATGCCTTGACAGTAGTTCTGACCATACTCCCGTCCTACTTACAATAAGCACAACTATCATATGCTACGATTCACCAGACTTCCTATATAACAGTAAAACGGATTGGGATGGCTTTAGAGATTCTATTGAAAACGAACTAGACCTTAACATTTCTTTGAAAACACCCGAAGAGATAGATCATGCAACGGTCTCTATTACTAACCTCATACAAAAAGCTTGCTGGCTCAATACTCCAAAAATAGAGCATAAAGACAAGCTCAAAAATTTACCACTCGAAATTCGGACTAAAATATTAGAAAAAAGAAGGTTGCGAAGAATCTGGCACCAAAGTCGACACAGGGAGGATAAGGCAGCTTTCAATAAAGCCATTAAAGAGCTCAAACAGATTATTGACAACGTAGAAAATGCGACACTTGAGAATAAGCTAGAGAACCTTACAGCAACATCGTCAACGGAATTCTCTCTCTGGAAATTTACAAAATCACTGAACGCATCACAAGAACCAAAGGCGGCAATTAGGGTACCAAGCGGATGGGCAAAAACAGGAAAAGAAAAGGCTAATGCGTTTGCTAGACACCTGACTGACGAATTTAAAGCGAACGAAACAAATAACGATAACGTCGAGAAAGACATTGATGATGTACTACAGCAAGATCTTCAGTTATCCCTTCCTATAAGACCAGTTAGCATCAATGAAATTAAAAACATATTAAAAGCTTTAGAGAACAATAAAGCGCCAGGGTTCGATCTGATAACGAAGGAAGTTTTGATACAGTTACCTCAACGTGCTCTAGTAATCCTGACTTACCTTTTTAATGGAATTCTTCGAGTGCAGTACTTCCCAAGAATATGGAAAGTTTCTATAATCAAAATGATTCATAAACCTGGAAAGCCCCGGGAGGAACTCACATCATACAGGCCAATCAGTCTCCTGCCGATTCTGTTAAAAGTGTTTGAGAAGATCCTTCTAACAAGACTCTATCCCGTGTTACTTCAAAATCATGTAATACCTAAACACCAGTTTGGATTTAGACAGCAACATTCCACTATAGAACAGGTACATCGGGTCTATGAACATATACGCAGATCACTTGAAAAGAAAGAGTACTGCTCAGCAGTATTTCTTGACATCCAACAAGCATTCGACAAGGTATGGCACAAGGGCCTCCTCTATAAAATAAAAAGGTTCCTGCATCACGACTTTTTCTTGCTGTTTAAATCTTACCTTGCTGATCGCATATTTCAAGTTAGAGAAGAAAGAGAATCGTCCGAATTCTGTAATATAACAGCTGGAGTACCACAAGGATCCGTTCTTGTATTCTCTTTTCACTGCAGACCTTCCAGAAATGCAAAATATTACCATATATAGTATTATAATATTATTATATAGAAACTCCATATCAATGTTTTAACCATTTTATCACTGAAGATTTTATCAAAACATTTGTAGAGAAGACAAATTTATATATAATACAAAGTAATCCCAGTTCATCTATAACATTTACAGAATATGATTTGTATAAGTTCTTTGGTATATTATTATACATGTCAGTAATCAAATTTCCTAGCACAAGATCATACTGGTCGCCAAAGTTTGGATATGAGCCCATTTCTTCAACAATGCCACTGATCAAGTTTGAGAAAATAAAGTTATCATTACATTTTAATAACAATGATCTTCACAAACCTATAGGTCATCCAGAACATGACAGGCTTTATAAAATCTGCCCTGTTATCAAGCATCTCAATGAGAGGTTTGCCACAGTACCAATGAATCAAAGACTTTCTGTGGATGAACAGATGTGTTCTACCAAAATAGGGCATTTTTTAAAACAGTATCTGCCTAAGACGCCCCATAAATTGGGCTTCAAATTATATGTTCTCTGTGATTTGATGGGATATGCCCACAAGTTTGAGGTATATTCTGGACAAGAAAATACCGTTGGTTCCTATAACTTTCCTTGATATTTTGAAATTGATAATAGTTGCATATCTTATGCACAGCTCAGTAAATTTAAGAAAATAATTTCTTAGCAGCTTTTCATTGTGAAGTTCCAATTTGGTTAAGGACAAAGCAGTTTTTAGACTTAAATGAGTAGGTAATGTAAATTACAATTATAGTTAGGAGTTTTTTAATCAAATGAACTGAATTAGTATATTATACAAATTTGTATTTATTATCAAAAATTAAACAATCAGTCTTTTAAAAAAGGAATAGTTTTATATCTAAGATAGATTATTTTATAAGCAATATGTAAATCAACATTATTTAATTGTTGTGTTGAGTAGTTTAACGTTTTATTATTATATAACAATTATTAACAGCCATTTATCATTATTTAACCACATCTAATTGTATCACAGCTAATAATTAAGAGCTAAACATATAAAAATTCTATTCTTTCTTTCGTCATGGCGTAGGGAAGTGACGACCCCACCGCCCGCTGGCAGGTTACACTACCAGTGCAGTCAGTCTATGGTTGATCCGCCATGCCTTTACACAAGACCACTTCGGTGTAGGAGGCGAGCACTGTCCGTAGACAAACGCTCCGGTTTTTACAGCAATGTGGCAAGGCACAGGGGAAGTGCCTCAAAGGGCGCACGCCAGGATTCGTACAGTGGCGTATGGCCAATCTCCTGCAACCTCTGCTTTCTGCCGGTCGTATCGGCCATCCGGTCCACCGGCACTGGGAGGCCGAGGTCGAGAGAGTTCTTTAATATATATATTTATATGATGGGACATTAACACAGCACCATCTAGTTCCATGGTAAGCTTCACGAGGCTTGTGTTATGGATACCGGATAGTTGATACACTACGCATATTATATAACTTTTAATACATACATTATACATACATATAAACACCCATGACTGTAGTACAAACATTGGTGCTCATCACATAAATGAATGCCCCCAGCGGGACTCGAACCCGCGACCGCTGGCACAGTTACAAGGGTCACTAAACTGAGCCAAATGTGTAATAAATGAATATTCCTTTGCCTCCAGGTTCATTTGCGTGGACACAGTGGAGCAGTCTACCGGCAGCTTCAGAAAGCCAAGCTGGCGTTCGCCGACAGCGTGCTCACCGGCGTCAAGGACACCATCACAAATCTAAACATTGAAGATCTTATGATGCTGTTGTTATTTAAATTATCATAAAGAATAAAGAAGATTGAGTAAACTATATTTTTTTATTTATTTAGTACTGAGCTAAATATGTGACAATGCATGATGATGTAAAGGGTATAGCGAGGTAAGGAGCACGAAATGGCCCCCACGGCCCATGACGGAATTATCATTTGTACTGGTATTGGCACTCTAAAACAATACGAAATGTAAGGTCGTTGACCCCTGACCTTGACCTGTCTTTGAGATATTCGAGAAAGTTCGTATGCGCGCCGATTTTTTTCATAATTTTTTTTCCGAAAATCTATAAAAGCTAGAAGGATGGGACCAATTGCGTATAATGAGGGATACTTTGAAAAATATTCTGTATTTTTTTCAGAGTTCTCGTGAAATGACAACTGTGTAAAATAATTAAACAAAATATAAATATTTTTTTTTTAGTACTGTTCTATTATGTCTACCGCGCCAAAAAAAAAATATAATACTCTTTGATTTATATACTTATACCATACAAAAGCTGATCAAAATCAAAGAGGCGCTTCTTGAGTAATATCTAAAGAAAACTTGTTCGATCGTGTACAGTGGGCGCCCGCCCAGCCGCTTCGCGCGGACTAGAAAACAAACGTGTTTATTCATGTTCAATAGATTATTATAAGTGTATTCGTGTCATTACAAATACGATTTCACGCATGGTTGCTTTAGTCTTCCGTGTTAAGGAAACCACACACAAATATAAATTACCTAATAGGTCATTCGGTGAGAATAATTGCGTATGCCTGTCGCAAGTTGTATGGTGATAACCACGGGTGATAACAATGTTTGTGAACTGTATTATTTGTGACACTTTCGTGCATAAAGTTCGCGGAAGAAAAAAAGTTATCACTAGTGAAGAGGACGCTAGACTATATAGTGACTCGAGTAAAAAAACAGTTTCTGTTGGTGACGTATTGTGTGGAAAGTGTCGGCTAATTATTTACAATAGCAAATCAAACGTTGCATCAACTTCTGCGGCATCTACCCTGGTAGAGTGTGAAGGCGAACAGGAGTCTGGTGAACACTTAGCAGTTGGGGAAACATCTTCTAATGCTTCATTCCAACAAGAATGTGAAATGAATTTACCATGCAGTTCCGAAAGCGACCACGATGATGATGATGATGGCGATGATGTTTTTTCGCATGTTGCCCAAAACGACGAATTTATATATGTACATATACCACGTGTTGTATCCACCCACAAGTATTGTTGTATATGTCGATCCACAACAAACTTAATGCGAGTACCTTTTGAAGCGCGTTACGAGGCTTATACAAACATTGGGATTTTTATACCAGAGGATAACCGTTGTTGCTGCACACATATAATAGGAAAAAACTTTTATAAAGACGAGTTGGTGCACCTACGTGTAGTATCTAACACCAGTAAAATGAACTCTAAAGAAGTTGCTCATTTTTTAAAATCACTTTCAGAAAGAGCAGGGATGTCGCTTTTCGACAAAATTGAAAAGTCTGAAAATCAGATAAGGATATTGACAGGGCTTTGTCGGCAAAACATTATTGAATTAAGACAGCTATTGACTTCTATGCGAAACACAAGCATACGCACTGTGACTCAAGCGTTAGTTGTATTCTTGTTTAAATTAAAAACTGGAAATTCTAATTCAGTGATAGCAGGAGTGCTGGGTTTACCATACGAACAACATGTGTCGACATTTTTTAAGGAAGTATTAAGAAGTTTTAAGACTGATATTTTGCTTCATTTTGGATTAACCTCCGTTTCTCGAGAAGATTTAATAAAGAACACAAGTTTAACAGCTCGAATGTTATTGAACCTTAGAGATGATCAGCTGGTATTGATATTTGACGGCACTTATATCAGGCATCAAAAAAGTTTTAACAATGAATACCAGAGAAAATCGTATTCTGGGCAAAAGAAAACCCATTTATGCAAACCGTTCACAATCTGTACTACGAACGGGTTTATAGTTGATTTTGCTGGGCCATTTTATGGAACGGAAAATGATGCCACTATTATGAAGAAAGTGTTACAGGATGCTAAACTTAAAACTCTATTACGTCGGAATGATGTATTTGTCGTAGATCGTGGATTTCGTGACGCCGTTGGCGACATCACCAAAGAAGGCTACACCGTGTTAATGCCGGCGATTAAAGGTAATCGAGCCCAGTTACCTACCGATGAAGCCAATATGTCACGACAAGTGACTAAAATCCGATGGGTAGTCGAAGCTGTGCACGGAGCTATTGCTCAGAAATATAATTTGCTTCATAACAATCTTTATAATAAAATGCTTCCAAAAGTAAGTCTATTATGCAAAGTTGTTGGATTTTTACACAACAATTTCAGTAAGCGATTGGATTCTGATACAGGCTTAAATGAGACAATTGTTCAATACTTTAAAGAGCGACTGGCGTTACCAAATTCTTTAAGTGAAGAGGTAGAAAAGCAGCACTGGAATCGAAGAAAAACGGCTTTTCAACAACTGGTGTCATCAGAAATTTTAGATTTTCCAAGACTAAACGAAGAACAATTAAGAATATTATTTACAGGTTCCTGTCAGCTCTCATTAGCTGTTTCATACCTCGCTGAAATAATGGACGACAAGAGCAATCTCTATATATATTACGTCAAACAAACCCCAACTATCATCATGTTAAATGTTCGTTCCAGACATGTAAATAGTAAATATTACCGATTGTTCATTGATTATGTTCCTAATATGAACAGTGTCGAAGGAATCCGAGGATATTGTTGTGATTGTCCGAATGGAAACAGGACAGTTGGATGCTGCGCTCATGTCGCAAGTGTAATATATTATTTAGCTCATGCGAGATATCTATCTCGCATTTTACGTCCTGCTGAAATTCTGTCGAAAATATTTTCAAATTATGCAGTCAATGTTGTGATAAATGAAAATAGTGATGATGATGATTAAAATTATGTTCAACATGTAATTATAATAATTAATCCAAAAATGACCTCTTTAATTAGTTCCTACCAGCCGTACGCACACTAAGTAATTCTCATAATTACTCAAGAAGCGCCTCTTTGATTTTGATCAGCTTTTGTATGGTATAAGTATATAAATCAAAGAGTATTATATATTTTTTTTGGCGCGGTAGACATAATAGAACAGTACTAAAAAAAATTATTTATATTTTGTTTAATTATTTTACACAGTTGTCATTTCACGAGAACTCTGAAAAAAATACAGAATATTTTTCAAAGTATCCCTCATTATACGCAATTGGTCCCATCCTTCTAGCTTTTATAGTTTTTCGGAAAAAAAAAAATGAAAAAAATCGGCGCGCATACGAACTTTCTCGAATATCTCAAAGACAGGTCAAGGTCAGGGGTCAACGACCTTACATTTCGTATTGTTTTAGAGTGCCAATACCAGTACAAATGATAATTCCGTCATGGGCCGTGGGGGCCATTTCGTGCTCCTTACCTCGCTATACCCTTTCCATCATATTGTTTTTTACATAATACATATTGTTATTTACACTAGGATTTTGTTAAATATTTTTCCTTTAATCTAGAGCATTAATTACATCACCCTGATTTATTTAAAAAAAATAGAAAAAATCATGCAAAGAAGGGTTAACATTAAACATCTCAATCGAATATCAGGTTGAAATATCGTCGGCTTAATTCGTTAACCTGCTAAGTGCCATTCTGCAAAGTTTACAGGACGAAGAAAAAACTGAATTATATCATTTCATTTTTTAGAAATCAAAATTCTGAAAATACCGTTAGTTCCTATAACTTTCCTTGATATTTTGAAATTGATAATAGTTGCATATCTTATGCACAGCTCAGTAAATTAAAGAAAATAATTTCTTAGCAGCTTTTCATTGTGAAGTTCCAATTTGGTTAAGGACAAAGCAGTTTTTAGACTTAAATGAGTAGGTAATGTAAATTACAATTATAGTTAGGAGTTTTTTAATCAAATGAACTGAATTAGTATATTATACAAATTTGTATTTATTATCAAAAATTAAACAATCAGTCTTTTAAAAAAGGAATAGTTTTATATCTAAGATAGATTATTTTATAAGCAATATGTAAATCAACATTATTTAATTGTTGTGTTGAGTAGTTTAACGTTTTATTATTATATAACAATTATTAACAGCCATTTATCATTATTTAACCACATCTAATTGTATCACAGCTAATAATTAAGAGCTAAACATATAAAAATTCTATTCTTTCTTTCGTCATGGCGTAGGGAAGTGACGACCCCACCGCCCGCTGGCAGGTTACACTACCAGTGCAGTCAGTCTATGGTTGATCCGCCATGCCTTTACACAAGACCACTTCGGTGTAGGAGGCGAGCACTGTCCGTAGACAAACGCTCCGGTTTTTACAGCAATGTGGCAAGGCACAGGGGAAGTGCCTCAAAGGGCGCACGCCAGGATTCGTACAGTGGCGTATGGCCAATCTCCTGCAACCTCTGCTTTCTGCCGGTCGTATCGGCCATCCGGTCCACCGGCACTGGGAGGCCGAGGTCGAGAGAGTTCTTTAATATATATATTTATATGTTGGGACATTAACACAGCACCATCTAGTTCCATGGTAAGCTTCACGAGGCTTGTGTTATGGATACCGGATAGTTGATACACTACGCATATTATATAACTTTTAATACATACATTATACATACATATATATACATACATTATACATACATATAAACACCCATGACTGTAGTACAAACATTGGTGCTCATCACAAATGAATGCCCCCAGCGGGACTCGAACCCGCGACCGCTGGCACAGTTAGAAGGGTCACTAAACTGAGCCAAATGTGTAATAAATGAATATTCCTTTGCCTCCAGGTTCATTTGCGTGGACACAGTGGATCAGTCCATCCGGCAGCTTCAAAAAGCCAAGCTGGCGTTCGCCGACAGCGTGCTCACCGGCGTCAAGGACACAATCACAAATCTAAACATTGAAGATCTTATGATGCTGTTCCTATCATATCGTGTACGAAAGGACCAGATCGGAGAGACAAGACCCTACAGCGTGTATTCGTTTGGGGGATATGTCAATGTCCCAGAGGCTTAGCATAACACCAGAAATCACGTATTCAACTACGGTCGTTTAGATAGATGGAAAATCATGGAGTACACCGCACCATTTACGGATAAGTGGGAGTACCGTTTAGCATGGCTAATGCATCACATCAAGTGACCTTTACTGGACATATTGAGCCACGCTCCGCACTTGTAATCTTCGGAGCAAGTTGAGTGAACATGTATATACTCTTTTAGTTTTTAGTTTTATTTTAGTAAAATCCTATGACAAACTTTTGAACCTATGCCTAAATCCATGCCTGACTTATGCCTGCCAAACGTGGGCTCTCAATAAAAATACAAGGAACAAAATAGCAACATGTCAAAGAGGTATTGAAAGGAGCTTCTTAAATTTAAGGCTGAGAGACAGAGTGGAAAACGTCACTATCAGAAAACACACATAAACCAAAGACGTTATCAAATCAGCACTAAAATTAAAGTGGAAATGGGCAGGACATATACAACGAATGGAACCAGACAGATGGGCGCATATACTAACGAACTGGACTATACGAGACTCAAAACGCAAAAGAGGCAGATCTACGAGAAGATGGTCTGACGACATAGAAAAAAATAGCCGGCAAACTATGACCAAGACTAGCGAGAGATAGGAAGAACTGGCAAACTTTGGAGGAGGCTTTTACCGCATAAGCGTTCCTTACACAATTGTGCAATATACAAGTACATATATATATTATAATAATAGAAATAACTAATTAACCTACTAACTACCGAAAACATTACTAATATAACTACCACATTACCTATGTACTAACACTATTAAACTATACCTAATAGTAGGGGAACCCAAGAGGGGATTTTCTGTAGTTACTCAAGCGCGGCAGATTAATATAAAAGAGGTCTATTATAAAAATCGACTATAAAGTTTATGATGATTTTTGCCTCTTAGGCTTGTGCAAATAAGCAGATTATTAAATTGGACACTTTTCAGGATGTGACTAGCCTACCACACCTTAATCTGATGGTTTCAAGTATTTCTACCTTATCAAAACATTTTTTAAATATTTTAATCGGCTTCCCTAGACGCGCCCCTTTATATAGAAGACTTATATTATGGTGAAAGTACTCAATAGAGTGCAAGGTAACCTCTTTTATGTTAATCTGCCGCGCTTGAGTAACTACAAAAATCCCCTCTTGGGCTCCCCTACTATAATAAGGCACAAAATACAAACATACACATACATAATACTAACACACAAAACTATAACTTAGATCCTCACGCATTCACACACACTCTTAACAACGACTTTAAAATGTCTATATAAGATATAAAAAACACATTTCACTTTAAAAAAAGCTTAATAAACCAATATGTAAATAAATAAATAATATATACAATATCTACCTTTTGAAAGTGTGTTTTGAAAGTGTGAAAAAATAAAACATACAATAATATCTGTTTTAACATATAAGCATGTCATGCATTGAGAATGAAACACTCAAAATTTAATAAGATCCACTAGTAATACTATTTAAAGTCCATTTCACCAGCAAGTTTTAAGTTGTATTTAATAACTATTAGTCTAGAATTTTTGGAGTCCCATTTATTTTAAAAGGAAAAAGAAAAGAGTCTTTAAAAACATAGGCAAGCACAGAAACACAAATTGCACCATGCTCTGTTGCTTGAAATACAATAACTGGGACTGGTCAAGGCAGCAGGCAGCGTGGGGCACTCGGATGGGTGCTCACAGCTATAGTAGTAGTGCACCACGTATCTCTCCAGTGTATAGGGCGGAGTGCTAAGTCCTGATGTGTTCTCGATGTGAGCGGACTGCGAGCCCAAGCGTGCGTAAGCGTGGAGCGACTTTATTCCGGAATAAAATGGCGATGGTGCGGTGCCAACTCTGCGAACCACTACGTAGATTGCACTCTGTCGAATCCCGTTGATCACGTCGGGGTCACCAATGTCGTCAATTGGAGACAAATGAAAAACTTGATTTTGTAACTTAGGAACGCTAGTTTATTGTAATTTGCACATGGATTGTTACAAGGTAATATAAAATATATATTTGTATGCAAGCGTCTTAGCGACGGCCAGGAGAGTGTTGCCTCCCATGATGGCGGAAACGGCACAGATTTTATACAGATTATAAACAACATAAATAGACGTTCGAAAACTTATGATTTGGAATCTAAATTATTTGTATGCTAATTTTGTATATTCATAATAATTATTATACGCTTGTTACGGAACTCGAATCGTCGCATCAGCTTTGCTCTACAAACCTCGCGCAGCGACGACAAGACAAGGTCAGGCGCAAGTGCAAGCGCAGCAGCCACCTACATTTCATCAATGCCAATGTCACAACTTCCTACAATAATGTAGTATAAAAGGCATTACTTGGCTGCATCTTCACTGATTTGATCTAACATCGATCGACAGTCATTTTAGTAGTAAGAACTTTTAGTTAATAAATTAATTTTAAGTTAATTTGCATTTCTTTGCATCCCCTGGCTGCCTCCAAAACATAACTCGCTACATACGTATATGTCGCACGCTTAATCATATACTGACCGATTAGTGTTTCGGTCAAAATTTATTTAAGTATACCAAGAAGTTTATTTTAACACCATCTTTCGGCCGATCTCGGAATTTTTATGATAGCTTGTTTCTAGGCGGAGTTATACCCATATCTGTCTCTTTCACACGCAAACGTTTCGGCAAATGTTTTTACGAGACAGACAAATATCAGTATGCGTCAAGCACTAAGATCGCGAACATCACGTGTTTTTATTTAAAAGTGTCAAATTAGTAATTAAGTCGCTTTAGTGTAAAAATCAAAGGTAAGTTTTATTGAAATTATTTATAAAAATGTGACCAATTGTTAAATATGCCTATTTAGTACAAAATAGGATCGAACTATTCATGAATTATTTAGTGTTAGTTCTGTTTTATACAAAAACATGTTAACAATTCTTTGACTGATTGTGTATTAAGCCTATATTTTATAAAAAACTTCCGTTTTGCCGGTAGTGTTTTGTCGGCTTTAGGAATTAGGTCAGTTTTTTACAAAAGTGTTCTTGAAATTTGAAGTCGTACTTTGTTATGATTCTTTATTTTATAAAACACAATTGTCTAGTATAAAATTGTTGAATGCATATTAGATATTGTGTCACTTATAGATAAAAATAATTTGTTTAAAAGAAATAAGAAAGTAACCTAACTTTTTTTCAGAATGTCTTCAAGGTCGAAAAAGATAATGGAATTGATTAATTTTACAACTGAACCTGCTCATGATACAAAAGCTCAAATTCAAGATCCCATTCTGAACCCAGACCCTAGTCAATCTCCTATAGATGAAGATAGTTCAGTTCAGAATGATGTAGTTGATGTCGCGGTAAGTACTTGTAATTATTATTTTATTCTTTTGACTGGTTTCTCCCTTTTTAATATGGTATTTTTATTTTAAACTAGAATTGCGCACGCGACTTCGTCGCGTCTTTAAGTTTTCCTGTCATTCTCTATTTTAGGTACCCCTTAGGGGGTGTAATTGTGAATACTAGATGAATCATGTCTTTTTAAACCTTGTATTTCGTCATCTACTTTTGACGCTGACTATATTATAACTACCTATGTATGTACTGCCTGTCTAGCTATCTATCTACATACATACACACTTGCATGATTAAGAAGAGAAAACAATAAATTGTTTTTTTACAGATGTTACGTGATATTTTTGTTAACTACAATGTTTCACCCGTACATTCTGGTGAAATAAGTGCAGATATCAGCGACAATGACGATCCAACCTATGATAGTCAAATAAAAAAAAAGAAAATAGAACCAGTACATCCTTCATCACGTCGATCAACATCTAGCTCCAGCAGATCCTCATCCTCCAGTTTAAGCAGCTCCGGCAGTTCCAGCAGTTCCTCATCTTCATCTTCTGATGATGATACTGTGGTACAACCTTCTACTTTCGATCACGTGGATGATAATACTATCAATAACACAGATACTACAGCTAATGGACAGTCAACAAACGGACAAGCAACAAGTAAAATTGAAAACTCTGAAATGAACGAACTCAACATAGAAGAAGAAATAGAGATTATTAAGAAGAAAGGTAGAAAGCGCACAAGTAATCCTCAAAAATGGAAACAAAACTTAAATAAAATTCTAAGAAATTCTGGACGATCTTATGAGACTACGAAAAAGAAAACTGTTGCGGCTCGTGAAGTGAAACCACCTTGTACAGACAAGTGCAGGCTTAAATGTTATGAAAAGTTTACATCTCTTCAAAGACAGGCTATTTTTGATACCTATTGGAATATTGGTGAACTCAATCTGTGTGCTTAGTGTGAGTTTCATATGACAAATCGAATGACTTAACCACGTTGTAAATCGAACATACGTTGTCACGAAGTAAAATGAATAAGTCTGAGTGCGAGTGACGAGCTAGTCATTCGATTTAAATGACGTTTGCTCACCAAGTTTAGCGTTTATATTTTTTCGTATATTGGTAGCACGTAGCGCATATGCGATAAACCGACCAAATTAAAAATAATGATTTTCTAACGCTATTTGTATGGAGGCGATGTATTATCTAAATAGTCGAGTTATGTATGACGTAACTTGTTGGATTTTGTTGTATAAACAAACTGTGCGACGTGCGTGAGTTATGTAACCCAACATATGGTCTATTTAGATATCCTTCTCGGAAGGATCTCTCACTGTAAAATGTATCGTCTCTTTAGGAATCATTCTCAAAAGAATCTGTTAAAACAATGCACATTTAAGACAATTGAAGTATCGTTTTTTTAGAGACATTTCTCAAAAGGATCTATTATTATAAACAGTGTACATGTAAGACAATTGAGTTGTCCTTTTTTTTAACTATGAACCCAAACACACTCCCACTCTCATTTAAAATATAAAACCGTGGAAATTAAGAAAAGAAAGTTATTTGTAACTATCCTTTCGACGAAAAACATCGTTTCATCACAACCCATAGTCCGGTAATGTAACTCCTTTGTACCAATTATTGTTTTTCAACTCTCACGATTTAAAATGAAAACAAGTCAGCATCAATTTGAATTGTTAGTAACTTTTATGGAAGAGTAAGTACCTAATCAAGTTATTTAAAATATTGAAATTGAGTTGATGAAGTGAACTTTTTATATATTTTGTGTTTTTGTTTTCTTATTGCTAGACATGGAGATCTTACTAAGCCGATAACCAATGCAAGAGGTAGAGTCGTGACCATTCAGCATTGGGAGGAGCTAGCATCACTGCTTAACAGTGATGGCAGTGGTGATACAAAAACCACAGATAAGTGGAAAAAGGTTTTCATGGTGATAAGTGATCACTCCTATATGTATATTAGAACTCTTTATAATATATTATCAATATTCTATATATCTTTTTACATGGTGGATGTACCTACCATCGGGCTAATCTGTATCTATGCAATAAAATCTAACTAAGATTATTATTTTGTTTAGTTTATAATTGGTTGAGGGCCTGGGTTATTTATTAAAATTATGCTTTTTCAATGTTAAAGGTGTGGAGCGATTTTAAAAACAATACCAAGAAGAAAGCTGCGCGACTGCATAGAGCAGCTAGTGGAACTGGTGGTGGGCCTGCAGTGTATATCAAACTCACAGAGTTAGAAAAAAGAGTGCTAAATGTTATTGGCATACAGGCAGCAACGGGTTTGGTAGTGCCTGAGGCAGGGTTTTCAAAGGTTATTAACTTTTAGGAGCACATTTTTAATAAGCACTTTTAATTAAAGCAATTGTTTGTTTCTATATTATTTACATTATATTAAATTTAGGATATTGTTGCTGCAACAGGTGTGCTTGATGTGGCACAACCCAGGACTCGGGAATCTAGCACAGAACAATTAGGTATACAGGAAGACCATAGCTATCCAATCAATGAATGTAAGTTGTTTGGTATAGGTAGATATTACCTATCATTTTATAAATAAATAGAGGATAGGTTTGAATATATTTTTATTTTTTAGGTATTGAGCCATGGAATGAACCTGGACCTTCTAGCAGAGTGCATGTCGAGCCTCTTTTAAGCCAGGTTCATATAGAGTCAAGACCTCCTAGCCAAGCCTTCAATGTAGAAATTGAAGTCACAGAAAGTAAGTTAATTGTTACTTAAATTGTACTTAATCTAAATTATAAAGTGAAAATATCCAGAGAATGTGGTGTATAGAATTAAAAAAGTCTTATTTATTTTACAATATTAGCAGTGTTAGCTTGCCAACCTAAATATCAAATATTTTCTTTTGTCAGATGCTGAAGAAGTCTTACCCACTTTATCTCCAGAGACTCAAGTTTCTGCCCCTCAGCCTCGTATGCATCCTGCTCCGTATGGGCAAACTACACCACGCCGTAGTGAAAGATCTTCACGAATACGATCCTCACCTCGAAGACGTGTGAGGCTCACACAAACAGAGCAGGCTGCACGTCAGTTTGTAAATTCTGATTTTGAATGGAGAGCATTCAGGATGCAGCAACATAAAGATTATATGGAGATGAAAAGGGAGCAAAATAGGATAAGAGAAATGGAAGTGCAGACTCAGAGGGAATGGCAAGCTTTAGGTTTAAGAATGTTAGATATATTAGATAAACTAGCTAATAAGTTTTGTAAAGATTAGATTGGTAAATTAGATAATAATTATTTATTATTTTTTGTTATGATTAGATTATTTTTTAATAAAGTTAAGGTAATATAATAATAATAGTCAATTATTTAGTTCAATTTATTCTTACTTCAGTATGGCAAACTATTAGGATTAAAAATTAAACCATTAAATGTTTCAGATTATTTTATTTAGCACTGTTTCATTTAACACCCAGTTTATATACATACTATTAATACATAGATATACATGGTACAATATTGTTTGTAGTAAATTACTTTTTTTTTTTTTTTTTTTTTTCGCTGGGGAAACCCATCATGGGGACCCTGCCGGCCGTCAACGGGCATGGTACTGTGAGACTCCTACTCACTAAAACCCGCAGCGGAACCCGTCGCCGCAGTGCAATGGGGCGTTCCAGGGTCGCTTGCGCACACACTACAACACCCCTGCGGACGGCCCGAACCATGCGGGCCAACCTCGCCTAAATTAGGATGCTCTCGATTCACAGAGCATCCTGACCGCCCCGATGACGTGCAGGGGAGTCAACGAGAGACCCCCCCGCAGTAGCTCCTCTAGGATGGCGGGAGAAGACGCGCATACCGGCGTTTCCACTCCCCCAGCCGACGGCAACGAAAAGGGTCTGCTAAGGCGTTAGCCTCGTGTTCCCTCTCCGCCGTCTCCTTCAGTGAGATGACGGTCTCGCTGAAGGAGACCATCGCCGACCAGGACCTCGCGTCGCGCACCATGGCCTCCACAACGCTTTGCAACGAGAGGTCTCCACCCACTACCGTCATCAGGGCATGGCGCTGGGGAGCCCAAGAGGCGCATAACACGAGAGTGTGGTGCAAGGTGTCCTCGGACGCACCACACTCGTGGCATACGGCAGCCTGAAACAGATACTTACCAAAGCATTCTAGCGTCCGTCCAGGGTCAGGGTAAATTACAATATAACTGCCACCAAATATTAAAATAAACTTATAACCTGACATTTATTATTGCTGCTGTAATCTTCTTACTAATTGATCCCTTAATACCCTCCCTCTAATTAAATCATTGGTAGAATTTCTCTCTCTCTCTGTGCTAATCCTCTCATCATGGTCTTGGATGTCATCATGTTCTAAAGCTGAAAATTAATAAATGATATTTTATTGAATATAAATAGCTTTTACATATGTTATTGAATAACAAACAAAAACTTTTTAACAAAAAAATAAAAACCGACTTCAATCAAAAGCACTAAAAAGTAAAAAATAACTGATTGGTTGTTTTCATTTACTATACATACCTAATCAAATATTTTCGAAGTCAGTTAAAAAAAGTTTTTATTTTTCCCTTTTTAGTGTAGACAGTAGTAGTAAAGTAATAATTCTAACGTGTTAATCTTGTCAAATCAAACAAAATAAGCCCAAACTCAAAGTATCTACTATTAGCCGTTGAAGAGTCCCACCTATCCACCTTCTGGCCTTACCATCAGATATGAATACCGAACCATTGTACTATTAACGGAAATAGAAACACTTGCGAAGTTTCAAGTCAATATGACAATTAGAAGTAGGTTAAATTCATCATTAGCTATTTTTCCACCCTTAGGGGTGGTATTTATTTTTGAAATTTAAATGGGACCAATCTGAAAGTATACACTTTCAAACAACACAAAAATTGTCCAAATCGGTTAATAAATGACGGAGTTCTTAGGTAACAAACATAAAAAAAAAATACAGTCGAATTGAGAGCCTCCTCCTTTTTGAAGTCTGTTGAAAATTATAGTAAAATCTTTATTATTAAAATAAATAGTTAATAGTTTTCAAACAAACAAAGGTAGCTAGGTATAATAAGTTTAAACTTACATTTATTTTAAGTCCAAAAATAAACAAGTTTTAAACTTACATATCAATATTTTTTGTAATTCCATACATACCTGTGATATCCACATCGTCTACAATACCATATTTAATGACTATGTTATTTAAAACACAACAAGCCAATATGATTCTTGAACATTTTAAAGGTTTATAATGTAGAACCCTGTCTTTATTCAGGCATCGCCAACGATTTTTTAGCCTTCCAAAGGTATTTTCGATGACAACTCTAGCAGTCATATGCTTTTGATTGTAATTTGCTTGAGGTGTGTTAGGAGCAGCATCTAAAATTGGAGTCATCAGCCATGGCCTTTGTGGATAACCTGGGTCACCTGAGAATATAAAAATAATATATACAAATGTCATACATCCTATGTTACCTTCACACAAATTTTGATCCTAATTTTATAAAACAGTTTCTTTAATGTTCATAATACCCTAAAACATGACATAATTCTGGAATAAAAATTGGTTGAATTACTTATAGTAGATTTTTACCTAAAAGCCACACTGTTTCCCCATTTCGGTGCAATGACTGCATATATTTATTGAGATCACTGTTTTCCCATATAAATGAATCATGATTTGCACCTCCAAATTTTGCATTAACATTAAGGATCCGATATTCATCATCACATACCTGTAAAAAATATAATATTAATATGGATAGGTAATAAAAACCATTCATACTATGATTGTATATAAAGGAAAAGGTTAACTTATTTACCATTTGAACATTTAAAGAATGATAGTGTTTACGGCAATAGTACTGATGCTCTTCTTCTTTTGGTGGCCCATGTATTCTAAAATGACTGCAATCAATGCAACCAATAACCCCTGGTATTCTATATTTATCAGAAAACCTAAAATAAATTATATTGTCAAATTAACAATTTATTTATAACATTTAAGTAATTGCATAGTTATGAAAGCATAAGTACCTTTGACTAATTGCTTGTCTGGCATTTGGAGTGTCAGGAAACTGAATATATTTATTTAACATATTCTTATGTATTAATGCTGTGGTTACTTCTTCAATATAAACACTGCACATTTTTTGGGAGATATTCTTTGCAGCTCCAACTGGCCGCTGGTAAGACCCCGTTGCAAAGAAAAATAGTGCAGTGAGTACCTAGAATATAACAATTGATAAAAAATACACCAAGCGTGCATATTTATGATTTTAAATGATTTTACCTTTGCTTCCAAGGTAACTCGTTGAGTAGATTTCAAATTAGTTAATTGTCTTAATTCTTTGCACAAGCCTTTTAATGCTTTCTTCGAAAGGCGATAATTTCTTTTAAATTCAGTCTCCGGAAGATGTATTAACGGATTATCTGAAATGCGAGCTTCTGCACGAACGCTGGCTAGATTATTACGCTCATCTTGTGCTGTTGCCGTCGACAACATCCTCCAAGCGTAAAAATGACGAGCTGCCATCTTTTACTCCAATTAAAACAACACAATAATATGAATTTTGTAAAAATATGTTCGTATTTTAATTAGCGTTTTCACTCTCACTAACAAAATTTAAGTGACAAAAAAACTCGCTCGCAAGTGAGGAAGTTTACAATTGAACTGTCAAAAGTGACATAAATTGCAACTCACACTCGCAAAAACGCCATTCCAGCGCGTTTAATTCCTCACTTCGACAAAGTTAGTCGACGGTCGCAATCATAAAGTTAACAATCAAACTCGCACTCACAAAATATGTTTTACAAACTTTCCGCTAGGTGGCGCTGATCCAACTCCATACAAATTTGCGTTTACTTTAACGCGATCGAGTAGTCAAAAAAACTCACACTAAGCCCACTGCAGCGATCGTTTATTCAGTCTTGTATGTCCGATGTTACTCCTAGGTATAAATATACAAACGCCATGCGCCCGAGGCAAGCTAATAAAGCTTTTCATTTTATAGTAAATGGTAGACCAATCCGGGTTTGTAAACCATTTTTTGTTGGTACGCTGAATATATCCGATCGTGTTATTCGTACAGTAATCCAAAAGTGTCAAAACCATGGAGTTTTGCAAAATGATCGAAGAGGTAAACACGACAACCACACCACTACTGATGAAACACTGATTTCAGACATTAAAACTTTTATAGACTCAATACCAAGGGTTCCGTCACACTACACAAGGCAAACATCTACTCGCGAATACATAGACGGGGGTAAAACTATTACAGATCTCTTCAATGACTTCAAGGTAGCGCAAGAGAAGAACAGTAAGCCCTATGGTAAGTATTGCATGTTTTACCGTACATTTACTAAGGAATATAATATTTCATTTTTTTTTTCCGCGAAAAGACCAATGCGATCTTTGTCTAGAGTACACAAATTCAAACGCAGAGCAAAAAAGTATGATTCATGATAAGTATATAGCTCATATAAAAGAAAAAAAGCTAAGTCGTAATGAAAAACATGATGACCGTCTCAAAATAGACGACAAAAATAAAGTCTTAGTGTTCGACTTGCAGGCGGTGTTACAATCGCCACGAGGCGATACATCAGCTTTTTACTATAAATCTAAATTAAATAGTTATAACTTTACCATCACACTCTTAAACAAAAAAGTTGAACCCCAGATTAAAGATTCCTATACTGATGTAGAGTGCTATTTCTGGAATGAAACTGATGGCAAACGCGGTGCTAATGAGATAGGCTCCTGTTTATTGGATTGCTTTGAGAGACTATGTTGTGAAGCAGGGGTAAGTGCTAGTAATAGTGCTGGCCTGAACTTGATTCTGTATTCAGACAACTGCTGCGGTCAAAATAAGAATAAATACATAGTAGTGCTTTATCTCTATGCTGTAACCCATCTGAATATAGAATCAATCACGCACAAATTTTTAATTAAAGGTCACACTCAAAATGAGGGTGACAACATTCATAGCCTGATCGAAAAAGAAATTAAAAAGAACTTAAAATCAGGACCAATTTATTGCCCCCACCAATATGTATCCATCATCAAAAATGCCAAAAAGACTGGTCAAAAGTTCCGCGTACACGAACTTACATACGAATCATTTTTAGACCTAAAAAAACTGCAGGAAGATTGGGGATACAATTTTAATGAAACCGAAGATAAAAATGTTTTATCATGGAATGATATCAAAGTTATAAAAGTAATAAAAAGTGAACCTTTTTCATTCTATGTGAAAACATCATACAACAAAGATGCAGAATTTGCAAAGATAAACATAAGAAACAAGAGAAAAAAATTGAATCCCCTATCAGAGCTGACAACAGTAAAAGCATACACAGGCAAACAAAAACTCGGTGAAAATAAAAAGAAGGATTTAAAAGAGTTACTTGATAAAAATTTGATACCCAATTTTTATAAAGATTTTTATGATACGATTCTGTAATCAGGGTGAATACTTGCAAGGTGATAAAAATATTTTGTATGTTAAGTTTAGTCTTGTAATGACTGATTAAGTGCCTAATATTGAGAAAATTGATCTCTTAATTAATAAATAAATACAATTAGGTATTATCGTGTTGTTAAATAGATGATAAGTGTGACTGTTGATATTTCCTTGAGAATTTTTATTCAGATTTACGGTTTGTTTTTTAGATTATAAATAAAAACTGGTTCCTAATATTGTAAATTTAATATTGATCTCTTCGTTAAGTTTAATTCGTTAATATTATAACCTAGGATAAGTTTTTACTGCTTTATTTTATTAAGTTTATAAATTACATTATTAGGAGTCAAAGACTCTTTCAGAGTTGATTTTAAAGTGCCTACCTATTATATACAAATTGTGTACTGTGATTAGGTATTTGAATATTGTACTAGGATTAAGTTCAATTCGATGTTTAAGACACAGGTCAGCATTTTATTTGAACTTTACTATGTTTTTGATTCTTTTTATTAATGAAAATAATAAATAAAACGAAATATTTTTTATACTTATTTTTTATTTTATATACCTTATAGACTCATAAATCATAACAATAAGAACATACATTGAATAAAATACGGACTCATTTCTAAATATGTCACCAGTATTAAAATTTTACTTCATAGTATAAAGACCCATACCTTAATATTGAGTATTATTTAGTTATATATTAAATAAAACACGGACTCATTTCAAAATGTGTCACCACTATTAATTCAATGTAACTTTATCTTTTATATTAAACTGACGCATCTTGAGGAACAATTTTTTTAACCGATTAATTTATAGTAAAAAATCTAAATTTATTTAAAATTATATTCAAACATTAATACTCACTTTATCAACTATATCTACAATACATTATTTCATTATATAAAGCTATTTTCTTTGAGTATTATATTCCATTTTGTAAGGTAAGTCAGGTTTGCTAAATTGTTTTTCGCGATTTCCCGAAAAACGTCTTTTTTGAGTTATGTCAGTATATGATTAAGCGTGCGATGTATATGCTGCAAAAACACATGAAGGTATTATTATTACTAAAAATGAAGTCTAAAAATTAAATTGTATCTACTTGTGTTCACTTTTTCATAACTATTGCAAGGTACTTACTTCATTACGTTATTCATATGTTAGCCTGTTTTTACACCAATTCAGTTTCTTCTTGTACTTGTTGCGATTATTTCCCATAATTGCGTATATTCACAAAAATCCTTTTTAAAAAAATATTTTGTTTCGCATTTTGTATAGTACGTAATCGTGTGTGGTTAGTGCAAGCAACACAAACTCTCCGTCCAAAAGCCAAAGCGAGACTCAATTAGGATCCAGGGGCAGGCAGGATGACTATCTCAAAAATGGCGAATTTGCCCGACACAAGAAAATACACAAAAAAAAATTCCATCATATTATTGCATCCATTGAGAGAAGTATGAATAAATATAATACTACGTATACAAAGGAATTCCTTTATTTAACCTGAAATATTTCACATTTTTTTTTCATTTACTATTATACTATATGTCAACATTTGCTTCAAACTCTTCATTTTGTTCATTTTCATTATACAATGATTTTAATGACATCTTTTTAATAATTTCTTTCCTTGGTTAAGGAGACACAGTGTCCGTGTTCCTTTATACCTTCTTTTGTTGTTTATTTATTGCCTACACTTTTGTCGAAATGCGTCGTCAGTTTTTTGAAGATTATTTTCATTTACTATATTGGGAAATTTATTTGCAATGTTTACTGTGGCTACAAAATCTTTCTAATCTTTCTAAGAATAAATCTTGATTTTAATTTCAAGAATTTTTGTTGTGATTGGTGACACTAAAAATAATACTTGTTGATTTTCCTTAGCCCTAAGAATAAAACTTTATTTAGAATAAAGAAGATTATAAAAAACATCTTTTTTATTTAATTAAGTTTAAAAAAATGGTAAACCTCTGGTACAAATCTGTCAACAACTGGAATCTACTGGTCAAAGTAGGGTACATTCCAGTTCCCCCTAACATGCGTTCACATCACATCACATTGTCGTGGTAGGGAGGGGGCGGGGGGGGCTCTCAGCAGTGCCCGGCAATCAAGCCAAGAAACGCACAGGGAGGTGGCGCACTTCGGTGGGCGGTGGAAGGTGGCCCTCTTTGGTGGGCGGTGTACTATGCGGGCTGCTCCTGGTACTTCTCTGATAGCAGAGTGGACCTTGGAGCAACCCCATGGTTGTTGTGGTCTGCTTCGGCAGACCTGCCGTCGGGGCGTCGTAGTTGAATGCGTAAGCGATCCTGCGACGCCCCATTAAGACGGTGGAATGTTTTGTTGGGTTTTAGTGGGTAGTACTGGCTTTGCCGGTGAGTCCCTCGTGTCCTCGTGCGTAAATTCCCAACATTAAAATAATAAAAAACCTAAAGGAATTAAGTGTTTTCCTTTTCAATAATTAGATAACGTACAATATAAAAAATAAACTAATACAAATATCAGAAATAGGTAAAATAACAACATTTCAAAGTTATTTTTTTTCCTTAAATGGTTTGAGACCGGTACATCCACGCTATATGGAAAGAAAATCTTGACGTGCAACCTTGTGGTAGTTTCACCGCTGTGGCCTACCACGTCACAAAATACGCAAGTAAATGCGAACCACATGATACAGGTGATGTAATACGAGAGGCTATTTCGAAGGCTAAGATATTATGATAAGTGGTGATGTTTGGAAACAATTATTTTCAGTATCAATGACTATTTTACATCAACGCTTAGAGAACATGAAGCACTGGTTTTTACAATAATATTTTTGGTCCTTAATGTATTATGCCCTAACGAGCTGGTGTGTTCAAGTCTTGCAGAATTCGCCGTCCGTTTCGAACCCATTTCAAACACAATCAGGTCAGAGGAAAATGGAGAACTGAGAGATAGATATTACGCCAGTGAGTTTTATGCAGGACAATACGAGAATGCGTGTAAGAAATACACCGGCTGTTTTACGTACGCGCTATTATACAATTATAACAAGTTGCGCAGAAGCGATATATAGAAAATATATATAGAAAAGAGAGAAATTATTTTTGACGTATATTGTTTTACAAAGAGAGAGTCTGGTAATAATGCAGTTAATAATAAAAAAATATACATTAAACGTATTAATTTAATTTTTTGTAAGTAGATTAAACATTCTACACTGAATCAAACATATTTGATCATGATGCATTTGAAAGAGCCAAAGTATGTAATGTTCGTTTAAATAAAAATAAATTTAAAGAAGTTAAGTATTTTGGGCATATTTTTTCTTCTGATGGCATGAAAGTTGATCCAGCTCGTGTAGAGGCTATTGTTAATATTAAAAGTCCAAATAATAAAAAAGAATTACAAATTTTTCTAGGAATGATAAATTATCTAAGGCAATTTGTGCCAAATCTTGCTAATATTGCATCTCCATTACAATTGTTATTGAAGAAAAATGTCGATTGGATCTGGACAAATGTACACGAAACAGTTTTTAATAATATAAAGAATAAAATAAGCAAAGCCCCAGTTTTACAAAATTTCAATACTCAAGTACCAATTGTAATTCAGTGTGATGCCTCAAAAGATGGGCTTGGTTGTTCTTTATTACAAAATGGTAAGCTAGTTAGCTTTGCTTCTAGGAGTTTAACATCATCTGAACAGTTTTTCACAAATAGAAAAGGAACTTTTAAGTGTTGTTTGGTCAACAAGGAAGTTTAATTATTACATATATGGACAAAAGTGTACAATATTAAATGATCATAAACCCTTAGAATCTCTTCTTAAAAAACCCATACATGAAGTTCCTTCTCCAAGACTACAAAGATTAAAACTAAAATTGTTAAAATATGACCTTGAATTTAAATATTTAAAAGGAAAACTAATGTTTATTGCTGACTTACTATCTCGCTCATGTTTAAAAAGTAATAATACGGATGATTCTTATATGTATGAAGTCATTCATTGTGTAGGTCTTGCTAAATACTTACAATGTACAGAGGAAGCTAAACAAAAATTTATATTGGAAACTAGTAGATTTAGAATTAAAAAAGTTGCTAGAGTTTACTAAGGAAGGTTGGCCTGACAATGTTAAACATGTTCCTAGTGAGTTACAACATTATAAATTTAAATCAGATATAACCTGCGATGAGAATCTGTTATTTATAAGAGAAAAACTTGTAATACCTAAGACTTTGAGAATAGAAATCTTAAAAAGTTACATGAAGGGCATCTTGGAATGTGTAAAATGAAAAGCTTAGCTAGGGAATTATATTACTGGCCCAATATGAGTGATCACATAGAACAGTTTGTTAGAAAATGTTTTGTATGTCAAACACATCAGAATAAAAATATTAGGGAACCTTTGTTATCACATGACATTCCAGAGTTACCTTTTTTAAAATTAGGAGTAGATATTTTGGACTTCAAAAATAAAAATTACTTGGTCATATATGATTATTTTTCCATATGGATTTGTAAAACTTATTCATAATAAAAGGGCAAAATGTATTAATAATGCTTTTGTGGATATTTTCTGTAATTTTGGTTCGCCAAATGAAATTGTGTCTGATCATGTTGCATTTGATTCCAAATAATGTAAAGAATTTGCCTCAGAATGGGGATTTAAATATCTATATACCAGTCCCAGATCCCAGATCCCACAATCAAACGGAATGGCAGAACGAGCTGTTCAAATTGCAAAAAGAATGTAAAAAAAATGTTATGATGATAAGTCTGATCTTAGAATAGCATTGTTACATTACAGAATGTCACCTGTATGTGGTACTAACTTTTCTCCTGCACAATTAATGATGAATAGAAATATAAAAGCTAAATTGCCTGTTAGTTTTACATATCTCAAACCTAAATTAAATTTGAATGTAAAAGATTTTTATAAGAGTCAAATTAGGAATACTAGGTACTATAATTCAACTACTAGATGTAAAAAGGAGTTTTATATTGGTCAGAATATTATGTTTTTAAAAGATCCAACTGTAAATGTCTGGCTTCCTGGTATTATTGAAAAATAAAATGGAATAAGATCATATAATATTTTAGATAATAATGGTGTTAGGTATACTAGAACATCTTATCATATTCGACCTGGATGATTTGTCTATTTTCTTTAAGTTACTGGTGAATGGACGTGCAGTTGGAATGGTTAAAAAAATTCTTAAGATTTAGAATATAAGTTAATAAAATTGAAAAAAAAAACGAAACCCTTGTAGGTAATATCTTTATTAAAATACTCGTATGTAGAATAAATACATAATAATCTGTACTTTAATTGTAAAAAGAGGGGAAAGAAAAGTTGTAATGTTATTTAAGTATCAGTTGTGAAAAATAGTTGTGTCAAAACCTAAACATACTTAAGTTGTGTTAAAATGTTAATTTAATTATTTTTGTTTTTAGAAAGGGAAAGATGTAATATATGCGTGTATTCGAACATAACACAAGTACAGACGTTTGTAAATGACAGTGCAATTACTAACTAATTTGGTACAGACTGTATAGTTTTTAGAATAATGATCTGAGTAATATGGTGGCGTCACTGGCCAAGAGACAGCATCTCGATACTAATGATAAGTAATGAGCTCTGTAATAAACTTAATAAATAATATTAATATATGGTGTGTTCCTGAATGAACACTGGATGTTTTATTTGTAAGAATACTACGATATAGTTAAATAGTATGCCACATACCATTCCGTAATGAAGGTGAGTTACTGTTCGTAAACGAAACCGCTGAAGATAGTTTTATAAGACGCCAAAGAAATCTTTACCTTCGCGGGGCAACGTAAGAACAATTTGGTCATGCTGAACAAATCATTCATCTGGCTGTTGCCCAAGGTACCGCACTTTATAGTGTGCGTGAAACCGATATCAGCAATGCTCCCATGTTGTGTTGGTGAACAGATTGTAAATGACGATGATAACTTTATTGAAGACGTGGGAAAACGAGCCGTCATGTCAGATGAACTGTTTCTGGGAAACGTTCGAGGATTAAATATCCAACAGAAGAATTTATTTCAGAAATTTTTAACGGCAGTCAAAAACGATTTGCATTGACGAGAAAGTCAGTTGTAACTTTTTATCACAAGTGCTGCAGACAGGGTAAATCATTTCTCTTGTAATTGGAGCATATTAAGCGTTGTTACGAACCAACAGTAGATATACTACTGAAGCCCAACCTAGTGAAAATTGGGTCATTAACTGGGGTTGCTGGTCGTCAGACTTTTGGCAAAACGCTTGTAGTTAAGTGTCAATGTATATACTACTATCTTACCAGCAATTCATTCCGTTATATAATGTATAATCTCAAGTAGGTTTTCCTTAACAAAAGAATGCGAGTATGAAGGAGACAAGAAAGAGAGGTTGACAGGCAGAATGAAGGTTGTTATTTTTATATTATGCAAAAAGAATTTAATAATATTCACAAGCAAATTTAAAGAACTTTAACAACACAGAAGTGATAGCTAAAGAGAAGTATTAGCATTCAGCGCGCGCGTCTAGCTCCCTAGCAAGTTGTAGGCCGAGTGAGTGACGGTCAAGCGACAGCGGCGGCGACGCGGGCGCAGCGAAGGGACGCGCTATTGTCTTCCTCGAGTGGCGTGATTTTATAGCGTGGTTCAAACTTCATAAGCGGAGCGGATTTGATGTTTGGTCTAACTGAAGCGAGTTACGCTACACAGTATTTTCTTGCCTCCGATTGAGAAAAGAAACACTATGACATAAAAAAATATTACAGTACGAAGACTCGAGAATGAACGGCGTAAATGGCACTATATAAATTGGCTAATCATAGACAAAATTTCTATGGTGTCCTATGGGTAGAGCGGGGCTTATTGAGCATAGGGGCAAGTTGGGCAATCGAAATATCTCGAAAACTATTCACCGTACGTATAGGCATTGTATGACGGAAAGAGGGAGGCGCGGGAGGGGTAAACATCACGCGATCGCTAGTGGCCGCTGGGTAAGCGAGTGAGGCGCACGGGCGTTTTGTTTATTTTAAGACCAAAAAGTAAAAACGTCATTTATCGCAAGTTTTCGTCTGTATTAGTCAAATGTTATTTGTTTTTAATCAGGTAAGTGTTAATCTTCCATATAATTATCGTACTTTTGATATGCAGAGAGGTTCTGGGTATAATTCTCACGGTTTTTTTATAACCTCACTTTTATTTTGAAATTCTGGGTTGGGGTTAGTTGAGCATAGTTGCTCAACTTACCCGATGATTCAAACAACTAAACGAATGAATGTTTTATTTTTTGTTAGGATGCGGACTTACAAGAGAAAAACTACAAGATGTTCTTACACTACTGAAGATTTAAAAAATGCTGCAAAGGCTGTGAACGATGAAGGTAAAAGTGTTCATGCCACCGCAACAGAATTCGGTATCAAACGGATGACTTTGACAAGATATCTGAAAAAATTAAATGAAGGTGGCGATTCATCCATGGGCTATGCAACACCGAGACAAGTATTTTCTTCTACACAGGAAGATTCACTGAAAAAATACTTGCTACAAATGGCATCAATCTTCTACGGATATTTTCCAAAAGATGTCCGTCGCCTTGCCTACGAATGTGCTAATAAATTTGAAATTGAAATTCCACCCAGCTGGGCTGCAAATAAGATGGCCGGAAAAGAATGGCTTACGATGTTTTTAAAACGAAATCCGGAGCTATCCATACGAAAACCAGAACCCACCAGCCTTGGTAGGGCAACATCATTTAATGCACAGAATGTTAAAGTTTTCTTTGATAAATTAGCGGAAGTAATGGATAGATATGGATTTACAGCGGCAGACATTTGGAATATAGATGAGACACGAGTATCCACTGTGCTAAAGCCAAATAAAATTGTAGCTGCCAAAGGTAAGCGCAACGTTGGCGCAATGACTTCTGGAGAACGAGGGACTAACGTTACAGTGGTAACTACTGTATCTGCTCTTGGAAAATGTTTGTATTTCTGAGAAAACAGTTTAAGACACACTTTCTTAATGGTGGTCCCCCTGAATGTATAGGAACAGGCAATGCCAGTGGATGGGTTACAGACGAAGAATTCTATCAGTTTATGCAACATTTTATAAAACATGTGAAAGCGTCCATGGAGCGCCCGGTTTTGTTAGTGTTGGATAATCATTCCTCTCACTTGAACGTGAAGACACTAACTTTAGCCAAAGAGAATGGGAGTTATAATGCTGTCCTTTCCACCGCATTGTAGCCATAAGTTACAACCGTTGGAGGTGTCAGTTTTTGGACCGTTCAAAAAATATTGCGCTGCTGCTCAAGATGCGTGGCTTCGTAACAACCCCGGGAAAACCCTTACTATTTATGACATACCAAAAATAGTCGCAGATTCGTTGCCGTTTGCTCAGACAAGTATAAATATTGTTAACGGTTTCTGAAAGGCATCTTCCCGTAAACATAAACATTTTTGGTAAACATTTTTGGTGAGGATGAGTTTTCCCCATCATTTGTAACTGACTGTCCTGGATTAGAAAATAGCAAGCCGGGAAAAGATTATCTAGAGCAACCTGTGATGTCCAGCACTGAATCTAATCCCACTCCTTCTACCTCCACAAGCCAAGCTGAACCCGAACCTGGTCCAAGCAATAAAGAAAATGAGTCGGTTAACCTAATACAAGTATTTTCCCCGGAAATTGTAAGACCATTCCCAAAGGCTGGTCCTAGAAAAGTAGGTAAAAGCAAAGATTGTAGGTACTCCAACTGTCTTTGTAGTGGTAATAAATTTATTTTTATTACCGAATTCAAAAGAAGGAGGCTATCAATTCGACACGTAATATTATTGGAATTGCATAAAATTCACAAATAATAATTAGGGCTTCCAAACCAATATACAAACTGTTGTTTTTTACCGTTGTTTCCCAGCCGGTATTACTAGTGCCCGCAATGCGCGAATGGAAGGCTGTTTAAGGGTCAAAAAGGGTTAAAAATTCACATTTCACGGAGTCACGGTCTTCCTTCTTCAGTGCAGACAGTCTCCGTGAATTCTCCGGTAAGTGATTCGAATAATCAAAATTATAAAGACCCTTTCGAGATCCTAATTCCAAAATGTCACGAATGTATCCCCCTTATAAAAAGAATACTCAGAGGAGCAAGAATCTCGCTAGCCAGATCTCTGTCCAATGCAATACAAAAGTGCATTTCGTTTAATTCTAATTCGAGTTGGCAAAATTTATTTCTATTTGCATACACATATTTGCATGTGGACAAAAATCAAAACGGCTCTTTATGTTATAAATTAAAACAAAACAGTTCAACTGTTTTAAACGAAATCAGAACTCAAAATTATAACTCTCGACCCCGAAATTTCGATCTAAAAAAAATTGTTAAAAATAAAGCCATGGATGGAGATCTTAAAAATGCGGCTCGCATTCTCTTCTCTAGCGATACTCTTGCTCCCTTTGATAATGATACGCTACAAGTCTTGCATGATAAGCATCCTTCACCAAATTCGGATCCTTTGCTCCCGATTCCTCTTCCTGATTATTCCCAATCTTTACAGATTAAAGATGAAGATACCTGACGGAATTACACCACAACATCTTAAAGATCTTGTGAGTGCGTCAGCAGGTGACGCCGGCAGGGTTCTCTTGGGTGACATTACCAAACTGTGTAATTTTATGTTATCTGGAAAGGTAATTTCATCATTCACTCAATACCTTTATGGTGCAAGACTTTGTGCCTTCAATAAAAAGGACGGAGGAATCCGGCCTATAGCTGTTGGGTCTACATTTCGCCGTTTGGTTTCTAAATATTAGCATGTAGGCGCATAGTATGCAACTTAAAAGCAAAATTTCAACCAATACAACTTGGGTTCGGTAGCAAAGGAGGTTGTGAAGCAGCAGTACATGCCACTCGTACCTTTCTCGCAAAGGGTAAGGAGGAGATATTGCTTAAAGTTGATGTGAAGAATGCTTTTAACTCTTTAGATCGAGCAGCTCTGCTGAACGAGGCTCATTCGAACTTACCTGAAATTTATCCATACATTTGGCAATGTTACAATACACCATCTAAATTACTATTTGGCGATCAAACTATTATTTCGAATGTTGGCGTTCAGCAGGGGGACCCACTAGGTGACTAGGCCCAGCTCTATTTAGTCTAGGTATCCATTAATACATTTCAAATCTGCGGTCTAAATTAAATATTTGGTACCTGGATGATGGAACTTTAGGTGGCAAAGCGAATGATGTCCTTAAAGATTTTCTTCTTTTGAAAGAAAATTTTAATAAAATTGGTTTGAAACTAAATTTATCTAAATGTGAAATTTTTTTCTCGGAAAATATTTCCATAGAAAAGATTTCTTTGGCAAGAGACATTTTCCGAAAAATTGCTCCTAATATTAAAATAGTCGATAAACATTCCCTTTGCCTCCTTGGTGCTCCACTTCTTGATGAAAGCATCCCATTAGTAGTAGAGGAAAAAATTAAAACATTTTTAGACAATACTCACAAATTGGGCTCTCTAAATTCTCACATTGCTTTTACCATCCTTAAATATTGCCTTTTCGTTCCAAAATTAACGTATATTCTTCGTTCAAGCCCAATTTGGAAATTTCCTGGCCTAACCGACAAAATGGATGTCACTTTAAAAAAATCCTTAGAAAAAATTCTAAATTTATCTTTCGATGAATGTTCATGGACCCAAGCATCCCTACCTATTAGAAACGGTGGCATCGGCGTGAGACAAATTTCAAGTATAGCCCTTCCAGCTTTTCTCGCTACTGAGCATAGTGTTCGAGAACTCTGTTCTCAAATTTTGAAATCTAACCAAAACATAACTGGTTCTGCTGTACGAGGCCTTAGAAAAATGGAAGTTAAAATGTTCTAATGTTGACATACCAAAGGAAGTTTCCATGCAAAAACTTTGGGATGCGCCATTGGTTCATTCTACATTCCAAAATTTGGCTCAAAATCTTTCGAGTGACGTAAACCGTGCCAGATTTTTAGCTTCATCTGCCAGAGAGTCGGGGCACTGGCTACACGTCCTACCTTCAACTAATCTTGGTACACTTTTGGATAATGATAGTTTTCGTATCGCTTTACGTCTCCGGCTGGGTACACCGCTGTGCACTGAGCAGATGCCCTGTGGAAAAGAGGTTGACTGTTATGGACTCCATGGACTCTCTTGCAAAAGAAGTTCAGGGAGACTTTTCCGTCATGGTTCCCTAAACGATACCATCAAAAGGGCACTTGCCACCATTGACATTCCTGCTCTTATTGAGCCATCTGGAATAAGTCGAGATGATGGTAAGAGACCTGATGGCCTGTTGCTGGTTCCTTGGGAAAGGGGACGGGCCCTATTGTGGGACGCTACATGCGTTGACACATTGGCCCCGTCCCATGTCAGGGAGACCGCGTCTAAAGTGGGAGCTGCGGCGGAGAAGGCTGAACTACTTAAGTTGCGTAAATACACCTCCCTTAGTCAAAATTATGTTTTTATTCCATTTGCTGTAGAAACCCTTGGCCCATGGAGTCAAAGTGCTAAGCTCTTCTTAAAAGACATAACACCCCGTCTTATCACCTCTACTGGTGACAGGAGGGCTGGCGCATTTTTTCGCCCAAAGAATCGGCATTGCCATTCAACGGGGGAATGCGGCAAGCATTCTTGCCACTATTCCACGCGGACATGACTTGTACAGTAATAACTAAGTGTACATATGTTTTGTATATATAATTAAGTATATTTGTAATTTTCTTTTTTGTAAATAAATGCTATTATCTATACCTATATATAATAAATATACAAACTTTTGGAGGTGTGTATGTTTGTCCACGCATATTTCCGAAACTATTGATAAGATTTTGACCATTTGATTTTTATTAGCTTACATTTACTACAACATAGGGAACTGTGCACGTTTCATTAAAATCGGCTCAGTAGTTTTCAAGATATGGACCAAACTTTCGTGTGAAGTCGGTATATTTTTGTAAAAATGCCACTGGTTTGTATATATTTTACTATTAACACACATATTTTTTCCGTTTCCGACTGTCAGATTGTAAACATCATAGTTTTGCAGCTCCTAATAATATCGCGGTTAAAAACATCTACGCTCACTTAGTGATACGACAACATCACGGAATATAAACTAGAGTGCTGTGAATACTGTGGAAGTGTTGATTTCACGTAATTCTGAATATTGGATTAAGTTTCTCAAGCAAAGCACTAACTGAATTACTACGTTAGAAATTGTGTCATTGTCAATACTCAATAACGTCGGAATTTCAATTGACATTTGACATATACCAGTGTTGCCATACCAAGAAAAATAAAAAATACTACTTAATACGTTCCATTATATTCAGATCTAACTTTATTAGAAAATGGATGATCAATTTCAACTTCTATTTGACAAAATGAAAAATGAAATGCAAAATCAAACAATGGAATTACAAACTTCTATAACTAACAAAATAATGGAGAGATTGGAGGAGAAACTGCAACCTATCATAGCAGAAAATAAAATCCTAAAAACAAAATTAGAAAACCTCGAGAAAGAGGTGGAAAGTTTGAAAAGAGCAAAGAAACAAAATAATCTAATATTTTTTGGCATAAAAGAGGACGAAAAATCTACTATTACTACTACTACTACAAAAAGTGAAGAGGATTATTAAAACCGACTTAGGAATAAATTTCGAGGATAACGAGGTAAATAATATTTATAGAATTGGAAAGGAAAAGCCAAGCGATAAGCCACGACCCACCTTGGTTTCCTTCGTGAATGAATGGAAGAAAAATTAAAAGGAAATTGAAGAAAAATCTTAAAGATGTATATATTTCAGAGGATTATACTAAAGATGTTCTAGAGAAAAGGAAAATGTTGCAACCGCAACTGATAGAAGAAAGAAAGAAAGGAAACATCGCATATCTAAAATTCGACAAAATAATAATAAAAGGGAAAAGTAACATAAACAATGACAAACGGAAAAGAGAAACATCATTATCTCCTCAAACGATTACCCAACCAAGAAAACAAGAAACCTTAATGACGTCGAACCTCAACAGATTAAATGCATGTGATTTAATGAGAATTAGAAGCAATTCTCTCCCCTCCAACACAACAGATAATAAACAATAGCAGTTAAATGTCGGTAAACGGAAAACACAACAATCTTTTAATAAAAATAACAAAATAACAAGAAAACATAATACTCCCCCAAGCCGACTGGTCCTCGTGGGGGAAAATGACCATGACCCTCTAAAGGTTAAAAATAGCGTGAACACTAACAGTAAAAAGAAAACAAATGATATCCATATAGCAACTATAAACTGTAGATCTCTTAGAACCCCCGAAAAACTTCAAGAACTAGAAATAGCATTAGAAGAAATAAAATGGGATATTATAGGGATCAGTGAAATGAGAAGATTTGGAGAACATATAGAAGATCATGGAAAGTATATACTACATTATTAAGGGGAGACGCCGTGACTGTATGGAGTCGGATTCATGGTTAAAAGAAATTTTGTAAACAACATAAAAGAACTAAGAGGAATCTCAGAACGTATCGCAATTCTTAACATTAAACTAAATGGAGAAGAAGAAGAAGAATGGTCCATTATCCAAGCTATTCACCAACGGAATCGGACAAGAAGGAAGACTTAATAAAAACTGAAAAATTCTACGAAGACCTCCAAAACACCATTGAAACCGCACATAAAAACGTCATCGTGATGGGAGACTTTAATGGGCAAATCGGAACACGAAATAACGGAGAAGAACATACTATAGGAAACCACGGGTTTGGCACTAGAAGCAAAAATGGCACAAGGTTGGTAAATTTTTCACTAGAAAATAGATTAAGTATTCTTAACAGCTTTTATAAAAAGAAAATAGCAAATAAATGGACATGGATCTCACCCAACGGACTACATAAAAACGAAATAGACTTTATTATGTCCAATAACAGAAAAGTTTTCAAAGGTCATACATAACTTAAATTTTAACACAGACCATAGAATGATTCGGGCTACAATAGCAGGAACACGCCCCAAGAAAACAAGAAGATTTCATGATAAATACGCAATTGTTAATTATACTGGCGATACAGAATTATTGCTTAACAATCTCCAAACATCATTAGTCGGCAAAGAATGTCTACCAATACAAGAAAAATACAAAGAATTACTACACCAACTAAAATCAGTAACTAGAAAAACAAACACAAACAACAAGAAAGAAATCCTACTTAAAAGTAAAGAACTACTACAGAAACGTAAGGAACTATTACAAGAAAAGAAAACTAAAGACAACCGTCAAAAAATAACAGAAATAAGTAAAATGATCAGCGAACAACTACGGAGAGAAAGAAAAACAAAACGGTCTAAAACAATAAAGAATTATATAGAAAAAACAGGAGCAATAAAAAAGGCACTGAAAGAACTAAATTGCAAAAAGGATTGGATACCAAGTATGAAAAATAAAGACGGTGAAAGCACAGGGAAGAGATCCGAGATACTAAAAGCTGCTACAGAATTTTTCCGAAATCTCTACCAAAGCAAAAAGATGGGACAAGCTGTAAAAGAATATCATGCATCAACCAATGAAGAGGAAATACCTGTAATACTAAAAGAAGAAACTATAAAAGCAATTAGTACACAAAAGAACGACAAAGCTCCCGGATCAGATGGCATTACAAATGAACTACTGAAAACAAAATTACCAGTGATTGCTCCAAAGCTTACAGATATATTCAACGGAATTATCAAAACGGAAAACATTCCTGAGGATTGGACTAAATCGACCATTGTACTACTACACAAAAAAGGTGACAAAGGAGATATAGCAAATTACAGGCCCATTAGCTTAATGTCTAATATTTATAAGGTATTTTCAAAAATTATTCTATCTAGAATTACCAACACCCTTGAAGAAAATCAGCCCAAAGAACAAGCTGGATTCCGTCGAAATTTTTCAACCATAGATCATATCCACACCCTTAGACAAATATTACAAAAATATAAAGAATATAACAAGATTTACTATCTAGAGTTTGTTGATTTTAATAAAGCATTCGACACACTAGAACACGGGTTTATCTGGGATACACTAAAAACACAGGGAGTACAGACAAAATACATACGAATACTCCAAAATGTTTACACCAAGAGTACGGCGCAAGTAAAGTTAGAAGTTATAGGCGAAGAATTTCCTATAAAGAGAGGCGTACGCCAAGGAGACCCTATCTCGCCTAAATTATTCTCAGCCGTTTTAGAAATGATATTCAGGAACCTAGATTGGATGAATAAAGGACTGAATATAAACGGCGAGAACCTAAGCCACTTACGTTTTGCAGACGACTTAATCGTGTTCTCTGAGAGCCGAAAAACACTAGAAATAATGCTGCAACAACTAGCTGATGAAAGTGATAAGGCAGGTCTTACAATGAATCTAACTAAAACAAAAATTATGTCAAACTCTTTACAAACAGACATAATAAAAGTGACTAATGAGCAAATAGAGTATGTTCATGAATATATTTACTTGGGACAGTTAATATCTACTGAAGACTGCATGAAAAAGGAAATAGAAAGACGAATAGCTAACACTTGGAAACGATATTGGTCACTTAGCGAAGTAATGAAGAACAAAGAAATACCGATGAAAGATAAAAGAACGGTATATAATATGTGTATTCTACCATGCTTATTATACGGGTGTCAAACCTGGGCATTGACGGAACAACTGGCAAACAAAATAAAAGTTTGTCAAAACGGAATGGAGAGAAGTACAATAGGAGTTAAAAGAAAAGACCGAGAAAAGTTAAAACACATAAAAAGTAAAACAAAATTTAAGAATGCATATATAACATACAAACAACTAAAGTGGAGGTGGACTGGGCATATGACAAGAGAGAAGAAAGAAAAATGGACAAGAATAATAACAGAATGGTACCCACTAGACAGCAAAAGAAACAGAGGTAGACAGACTAAGAGATGGGAGGATGACCTCAGGAAAATAGCGGGTCCAACATGGTGTCGAATAGCAAAGAATAAGACAGAATGGAGATCTTTAGAGGAGGCCTTTGTAGGAAGACAAGTTGAAGATGATTACCGTTTGCCTAATTAAAAACGCTGTAACAGTTAATCATAGTAGTTTAGTTTAGTTAATAGCATATAACAGCTTATAGTATAACAGTTGATAGTGTATTAAATTATTAGTTAATAACAATGTTAAATAAGTTCTAGGCACAACTTTTTGTATTTAAACTCATCAACAATAAAGGCTTTTATTATTATTATTATTATTTATTATTAACACATATTATTCAGAATATCACTTATTAAAAACGGTGTTTACAATAAAACATGTTCTCGTATTTCAGGTGTATGCAACTTTAATGGTATGCATGGTTGTTTAAAATGTACAACTGTGGGCGAATACTCTCACCGTTCTCATACAGTGACATTTTCTTCGCGAATATTTCCCAATAGAAACGACGAAAACTTCTTGGCTCTAAGCCAAGAAATATGGTGCTCATCATAAAACTGATTCTCCACTATTACAACTTCCAATCGACATAGTTGAAGATTTTCCTGTGGGCGATTCGCTACATCTTATTGATCTTGGAATAATGAAAAGGCTATTAGTTGGATGGCGTAATGGAAATTTTGGGATGTACACTACAAAATGGTGCGCAAGGGATATTATTAAAGTTAACGAATTTTTGATTAAATATAGAATGCCTTTAGAGATACACCGATCAATACATACACTTGATTGTCTTGCTCATTGGAAGGGATCAGAACTCAGAACATTTTTACATTATGGGAGCATAGTCGCACTGATTGATGTCCTTCGTGACGATGTGTATCAACACTTTCTCAACTTTTTCTGTGCGATAACTATATGTACAGTTAAGAAATATAGTGCGTTCTTACCAGTAGCCAGAGAACTGCTTCAATACTTTGTGGAACAATTTAAAGATTTCTATGGTATCGACTATATAACCAGTAATGTGCACAATTTAATGCATGTTGCAGATGAAGTGGAAAAATTTGGGCCACTACAAACTTTTAATGCATACCCTTTTGAGAACAAATTGTACACAATCAAAAATATGCTGAGGCAGGGTAACAAACCTCTTTCGCAATTAGCAAAACGAATTACTGAGGAAGCGATGCTTTATTCGAAGACTAGTTTAAATAAAAAATCAGAGTATAGTGGCCCGTTTGTAACACAAAGTCGAAGTCGCCTAACCTGCGTTGCCGATCTGGGGGGAATTCCCCTTTTTGGGGGGAATTTCACGTATGTGAGGGGCAAAAAAGGGTTATAAGTATAAAAGGGGAATTCAATACTCCAAATGCAATAAATATATAATTTATACTTGTATGTACATCTAATAAGGCTGGATGGGCTATGGTTGCGCTATTTTGCAAATAGGCAATTGTGATGGGATAAGCCGCGTGAGTGCGCTGATGCACTCACCCCAGTCGTCGTTACACCGTGTAACAATTAACACGGCTTCCGCGTAATTAACTATCATCCCGCACCGCGCGCGCGCAGGTTGACCGCGCCCTATACGCTTATAAGCTTTTATTTACTGTGTACTATACGAACTTTAAGTGCCCTGTGCTAATTTTCATGGAAGCGGAGATAGGAGTTGCAGCAGAAGGTGAGTCCCTGAACTTTTGTTTTTTTTGCATGTGGTGTTTCCATCACCGGCAGGGGTCCCTTCTCGGGAGGTAATACGCCTTCCCGCATCCCAAAATTACAGTCCACTTGCTCCACCAGGCTATGATTCTTTTGCCTGTCCCCTTAGTTGATAAAAAGAAACTAAAAAATAAGGTCTATGGCTAGACTTGTTGGCTGCGTCCTGCGTCTTTACGTGTTGGTTAGTTTCGTTGCACAGAGATGGCACTGTGGCACAGAGTCAGACGTCAGTCAGTCAGAGTAAATATTGTTCTGTGGTCAGAGTGTTTATTTTTCTTGTAAAAAGTTTTGCTAAGTTACGATGGATAAATTCATCAGTAAACTAACCAAAAGATCTCGAGAAAAGGTATATATTTACTCACTATTATAAAATTATTTCGAAATTGATAAGTAGGCATTTCTAAAGTGTTTTTACTATTGTATAACTAGTTAAATCATTACTACAATACGAGACATTTTTGGGCATTTCATAGAATGAATAAGTTTAAACTGCACGTCTTTACTAATTCCTTGGGCCATTAACGTAGTGTTCTATCCTACTGACTAGACTATTTGGGGCTATTCACATTCCTAACCTCTAAATACCTAAATATGTAGTTCGAGTTTTTAAATTTGTTTTGCTTTTTTTCTCTTCATTTTGGCATCACGCTACTTGCGTATTTGTCACAGAGATATTTTATAATTTTAACGTAGCGAAAAGCGGAGAAACGTTTTTGTATTGTTTTTTTGCTTTCGATGTTTTTTCATAATCAATGTTGCAACAGTATAACTATTTTCCCTATTGTCGGGTATTTCTGAAAGCCTAAACGCAATATTTTGTGCATATCAAGACTAACGATATTTTAAATTATATCCATTTTTAGGAGATAGCCAGTGCCATAGATGACGGAAATTCACCAAGTACTTCCAGTTCTGTTCAAGAAGTGGCAAACAACTCTGAGCAAATTCCTTCTACATCTGCACAGATGACATCAAGCACTCGTGAAGAACCTATCGAAAAAAAGAAACGATTTAATAAATTTCTAGATTCTTGGACTACTCGGCCTGAATTCAAGGGATGGTTAACGAAACACAATGAAATTAGAGATGGTCACGAACTAGCATTTTGCAGAATTTGTAATATGACTGTAATCGCACACAAAAGTGACTTAATACGCCACCTGAATTCAAAAAAACATCTTCGAATTTCTAAACAAGTATCGGGATCAAAAAAAATTGACGATTTAGTGCGGGAATCATCTGTAGACGTTAAAGTACGTCGTGCAGAATTAAAGCTTTGTGCAATGCTTGCTACAAATAACTTACCGTTCTCGTTGATGGACACTGTTATCCCTTTAGCTAAAGACATTTTCACAGACTCTGAGATCGTAAGCAAATTGGCAGTACGACGAACTAAAGCCTCTCATTGTATAAAAAATGCTTTAGGCAACAACTTGGCTAATATTGTGTTTGATGCACTTAGAGTTCCTGGCGCTTTCTTCTCCATAATTATGGATGAAACTACAGACTGTAGTACTATTAAACAGCTTGCGTTCACAGTTATTTATTTTAATGTTGAAAGTAACAAAGTTGAGACCCATTTTTTTGATATGATAGAGGTCAAATCCGGAGATGCCATATCTTTAGTGAAGTATTTAACAAATGTGATAGAATCAAAACAAATACCATTATCGAATCTCATAGGCTTCTGTTCAGATACTACGAACGTAATGATTGGAGAGCACAACTCAGTGTTTTCTCATTTGAAAGCCGCATTACCTAGCATAGCGTGCATCAAATGTTCCTGCCATTTAATACATTTAGCAGCATCTAAAGCATGCTTAAAACTCCCACGATCTGTCGAAGATCTTATAAGAAACTTGGGGTCGCACTTCAGCCGCAGCTCTTTTAGACAAGAAAAATTCGCAGAGTTTCAAGCTTTTTTTCAATGTGATTTACACAAAATTTTGAACGTAGCTACAACACGCTGGCTGTCTGTGAAAAACTGCGTAGATCGTGTGTTACAACAGTATACTCCCCTGAGAGAATATTTAAGACTAGCTGTTTTCGAGGATCCCTCTAAAACAACCGAAGAAATGGTGGCTACAATGGATAATGAGTTCACGGTTATTTATTTAGAATCATGTCTTATACTTTAGGTTTGCTGACTCAATTCAATTTATTGTTTCAGTCAGAAACACCACTGCTATATAAAATGAAATCTTCAGTCGAAAATCTGTTGAAAACTGTGTGTAGCAATTACATCACATTTTCTTATGTGAAGTCTTGTACTGATATAATGAAAATTGAGTTTGATGATGAATCCAAATATGACAGATTGGACAGAGTGTATCTAGGTGTATTAGCTACCGAAAGCTTACAAAAGTTAAAAAATAACTCACAGGTTCCTGAAACTGATGTCAATATGTTTTTGATAACTTGTCGCAGCTTTTATGTGGAGTTGGCTAAACAAATCCTACAGAGGTTTGACTTTAAGGACAGTCTTTTTAATTTTATTGACTTGGTAAATCCTTCTGTTGCTCAAAGTTTCACTTTTAAATCTTTGAAGCCAATCTTTGTAAGATTTCCAGTATTGTACGATTATTACAACATGCAAGAAGTTGACGATGAATGGCGAGAACATGCTCTACTTGATCATGAAAGCTACGACTTGCATCCTTCAGATGGTGCTGAGGAGTATTGGCGTAAAGTTTTCCACTTAAAAAATGCCCTTGGTCAAAGTTTGTTTCCAAATTTAAAAGGCATTTTAAATGCCTTGTTAGTTTTACCTTTCTCGAATGCATCCGTGGAACGTGTATTTAGTTCTCTCAAAAATATTAAAAATGATCATAGAAATAAACTAAAAACAAGCACGATAGTTGCCCTAATGCAAACTAAAGACCAAATAAAAGATTGTGTAAAATTTGAGCCGACAATAAATATGCTCAAAGCGAACCTATACAAAAAGTGATGTATTTGTTTTAGTTTTTGGAATAAAGTTTTCATTAATAAAACATTTTTATTCTTTTTTTCCTACATCATGAACTTCGAGGGGAATTTTGCAATAAAAAGAGGAATTTTTCAACGTGACGCGGGGAATTTACAAAACTAACTGTGGCAACACTGCGCCTAACGCTTCATTTTGATCATTTTATTTTATGGCCTAAACTACAAGACAGATACTGCCTGACAAATGGCAATGATATTGTAGAAGTTAAAGAAATTGAGTCATTACCTGAATTCGATGTTATTCATATTCATGGTTATAAAATGAAGAATAAACTCGATATATTTCTGCTTCCGATTAAGACATCGTATCTAAATATGTATTCAGCTGAGGATAAGGCTGACAATCGTGAAGAAATTTTGTTATTAGCAAAAGATGTACAATGTAAACTAGTGTGTATTGAGCGTGAAAAGTCACTATATTTTTTCCTTTACTTCACACAGTTTAAATTTAAATATCAAATTAAACGCAATCACATTTCTTTTATTCTCATCACAAAAAATGATTAAAATTAGTTTTTCATTAAATGAATCTTAATCAAATTAAGAATTATTTCATGGTCTGTGCCGTCGGCTTGACCTGCGAGATAACAAATGAATACACTTGTGTCTTAGTTCCCCGCGTCGCCCCAGCCGCGGTCCAACCCGCCCCGCACCCCGTCCGAGGGGCACGCGGCCGGCAATAAGCGCGGTATCTGTGTTGCCGTTTGTACGGCAATTGCCGTTTCGTACGGCATTTAGGCTCTTCTAAGACGGATTGTACGGTATACGGCAGAGTGGTCTTTGCCGTACGCTAAAATACGGCAATCATAGCATAATTGAATAAATTGTAGACGAAATGAAACGTAATCAGAGTTTGTATAAAAATGAACGCAACTCGACATTGTAGATGAACATAATCAGCGTTTGCGTAAATATGAACGCAACTTAACTCTACATTATTGTATTGTCTTTGGTAAGGGAATTCCCAAATCCTAAATCGGTATAGGTTAGTTACTATACTCTTTAGTCTTTGGCCTCAATTCATTTTGCCTTGTTTTCCGCTCGTCCTTTGAAGATTATTCTAAATTCTGAGCGCTCGTTACTACTTTTTAGTTCGTGTCGAGATAGAACTTATTTTTCACTTTTCAAAAAGTGTTTTCGCAGTGCAGTGGCCGTTGGTATTTACAAAATGTCCTCGGATTTAGAAGAAGATGCTACGGGTCCGTCAACACCCAAGAAATATAAGAAAACCAAACACAGAGCCCAAAAGTATAGGATTCAATGGGAATCAGAAGGCGAATTTAAAGATTGGATTGGCCCTGATGGAAATAACATTAATAAGGCATATTGTAAAATATGTGATGTGAAAATATCTTGTGAAATATCTACTTTAAAGAGACACATGTCCAACGTTGAATATTCACGGAAAATAAAAATAAAAACCTTGCCAAGCCGATACATTCATTTTTCAAAAAACCTCATGTTAATTGCCCCCATGAAAATTCTGTAGCTCAACTTGAATTAAAACTTTGCTCATTTATGGCTGAGCATAACATTTCATTCCAAACCATGGATCATTTAAGTGAAATAATAAAAAGTATACCAGATTCGAAAATTGCATCCGATATTAAATTGAAAAGAACGAAATGTACAGGAGTAATAAAAAACGTTATTGGGAAATGTCATAAAAGTGATTTAAAAACTTTGTTAAAAACAACAAAATTCAGTGTGCTAGTGGACGTGTCAACTGACATTTCATCAGTTAAAACAATGTGCATCGTTGTGCGTCTTTATGACCCTGAAACACATAAAATTTCTAGTCTTCTATGGGAATTGCGACCTTTGTTTGAGAAGAACGATTTTGACGCTGCAAATCAAGGTGCTACTGGAGAAGCAATTTATAAATCGATTCTCAGAAGCTTTCAGGATGAAAATGTTCCTACAGAGAACATAATTGGATTTGCATCAGACGGTGCTAGCGTTTTGATGGGTCAGCACAATTCGGTAGCTAGTCGATTTATATCAAACAATCCCGGCATAATCATTATTAAATGCATCTGCCACTCGTTACACCTGTGTGCAAGCGAAGCGTGCAAAAAATTGCCAAGGCGGTGTGAGGATCTAGCCCGAAACGTGTATGGATTCTTTAAGCACAGCTCAAAACGGCAATCTGAATTTGTCGAATTCCAGGCGTTTACTAACACTAAAGTGCACAAGCTACTGCACCCCTCTCAGACACGATGGCTTTCCCTATTAGCAGTTGTCAATCGATTATTGGAACAGTGGAAATCTTTAAAACTGTTTTTTTACGAGAAAATGGATAGATGAGCGTATTGTGTCTGCAGAGCATACGTTCAATGACTTAAATGATCCATTCATGAAGTTATATTTTATATTCTTGCAATGGGTGCTGCCTAAGTTCGTGAATCTAAACGAATATTTCCAAAAAAGCGGCGTCGTAATAACAGAACTCACCAGAAAAATGAGAGCAACTTATCAAGAGCTTCTGTTGTGTTACATGGAACGAAACTATGTTGTTACAAATGATATGAGCGCTATTGACCCGACTAAAGAACATTTTTTACGACCTGCAAGTATGTATTTTGGGGTACAACTGATGACTGAAATAGAAAACCAGAATATTCAATCAAGGCAAGACTTGATTTCAGATTTCCAAAAAAGAGTGAGAGATTTACTTATAACCGGGTGTTGTCAAATAAGGAACAGATATGACTTTTCCAACGTATTACTGCAGAAGTTATCGATATTATCGCCAAAAAATGCTGTTTCTCGTGCTCAAAGAACCACGGAGCCAACTCTGTTGCCCATGATGCTAGAGGTTCCTTGCATCATGAAAGGTAAAACAAATGAACAAAAACAGGCCATAGACGATGAATGGATACTTCTACCGGAAACAGTTCTTCCCGAAGACTTATTCCATGATATAGACAAAATATCACCTGATGAGTTTTGGAGCAAGATATTACATTTATCGGAACCGCAATTTTAGAATTTGGCGAAATTTGTTCTGAGCGCGTCCCTGCAGTCTTGCCATACATGAAAGGAGTCACTGACAAGATTGGCTACAGATTATGTCTGATACTCGGCTCTCTTCACTTGTTCTCGATTAGGATAGTTGTTTTTAGTTATATTGTAACATATTTGCATAATTTAAAATTAATTTTCTTTATAAGTTAAGATTTTCATTTTAAGAATTTTATTTCGTAAAAAATATTTTTATTTCGAATTTTCGTGTCAAATTTGGCCTTAAATTACTCGGCTATACACCACCAACACCGATCCATAGACATTTCCCCGATTTTCTAACGGGAAATCGGAAAAAAAAGAACCCCCACCCTCCCTTTTTTCTTTTACCATATAGGTTTTGGTGACCTTGGGAATAAAAAATTTTCTAAAAGTCAGTTTCTTTAAATTTTTTCTAGTTTTTAATAAGAAGTTCGATTAGTCTAGTAGTTATATACATTAATTATAAATAAATTGTCTATATAAAATGATAAGAACACCCACAAAATCGGCAGAGGGAATAAACCCACCCCCTAAGACGCCTTCTAATACAATGATGGATAAGCCAGTTCGGCGAAGCTTGGGGGAAGCGATGATAGAGCTCTCCACCCCCAGGCCGCCGACACAGGCTGCACCTGCACCTGCAATTAAAAAGCAAAAGCAAAAGCACCGATTGAAACTTTAGATGTTATACCTATCCCGGCCGACATTACAGAAAAGCCCAGGTCACAGCAGGCAAGGATGTGGAATAGTAGCGCCAAGTCGCACATGGCCCTTTCTCGCAATCTGCGCACCGATATTAAGATAGGTGTAACGAACGCCATAGACAATCTTTACCGTCTCACTAAGGAGGCGGAGGCCGAAGCTTCCACCGCTTCCACTGCTTCCGTTCCTGCATCCGTAAGCCTCGACTCCGGTGCTGCCAACGGTGTGACCTTGGCAGATATTAAAGAAGTACAGAGGCAAATTCAAACACACATTCAGGAAAATACAGCTATACTAGAAGAAATTAGGATATATACTCTATGGTGATAGAGCCAATCGAGTGTTATGGAGCGGATATATGATCGCGTGCTCTTAAATATCAATATATTGTCCAGCGATTGCTTTCTTTACAACGGCTTTTTGCCATCAAAAGGATACAAGGCTTCAGGACCATAAGTACTGTTGCCTCAATATCTCTTGCCCAACTTACACCCCTTCCATCCAAAGTAGAATCCATATCCGATACAGAAAGGTCTAAACTCCTGGACGTCACCTCGCACTTGCCTGACGACGTCCCAGTTGAGAAGCTCTGCCCTCCAACAACTCTTTTACACCCTTCTGAGAGAATCGGAATCAAGTTTCTGGAAATATCATCTGCATCCGAACTTTCAGATATCGTAGGGTATTGTGATTCCTGGAAAATTTATACAGATGGTAGTAAGCATGCCGATAAAGAGATAAAGTAGGAGCAGCCTTTGTAGTCTCCGATCCATCTGGGAGGCGGACTGCGGTAAGAAAGCTCAAGCTTCATGACTGTTGTTCTGTCTTTCAGGCGAAGTTACTTGCTATTCAGGAGGCCTGCAAATTTATTTTAGTTAATAAACTTTCAAAAACCATAGTTCTCTCTGATAGTATGTCTGGTCTTATAGAATTATCCAATCGCAATAGTCACAACTCTTTTGCTGTCAGCATCCATAAGAGCATACACTCAGTCCGATCATCTGGACTTTCCGTTGAGTTCGCCTGGGTTAAAGCTCATGTAGGACTTGATGGAAATGAACAGGCGGATGCTGCAGCTAAAGCGGCAGCCAATCTTCACCGCTCCCCTGACTACTACGCTGTACCTATTAGCCATATTAAACACCTCAATTAACTCAAATGCTCTTCCGCATCTCAAGAATTGTATGAAAATCCCGCCAATTGCCTATACACCAAATCCCTTCTTCCTTCTTACTCTTCCCTTCTAGAATTTCTTCATTCCATAAAACCTGTCTTTGCAGTTACTCAATTTCTAACCAATCATGGCTTCCACAAGGAGTACCTCCACAGGTTCAATATCGTCGGCGAGGACTCCTGTCCGTGCGATGGATCCATGCCACAAACCTGGAGGCATCTCTTTGCGGAATGCCCTCGCTTTTCGTCTCTACGTTCAAAACATGCACTCACATGCAACTATTATGACAGATCATTTTGATCTCTCCCAAATCATTACCAACGAGTCCACAATAGGAACGTTTGTTGAGCTCTTGACTGGCATTGTCAACTGCTTAAAAGAATTCAATGGAACAAACGTTATAACACAGCCGCAAACTTAAACATGTTGTGTATCGTGGTGTAACCCATTAGCACCGCGAGTCATATAAACAACAAATTACTTCCCAAAAAAAAAAAGATTGGCTACATTCTAAAGCGAGCTTCAATTAAAACCTACTTCAAGCCGCCAAAGAAAATTAGTCAGTTCTTACCACCTGTCAAGTGCCACATCCCTCTACAAGATGCAGGAGTTTACAAGCTTGATTGTGATTGTGGGCTCTCTTACATTGGACAAACAAAGCGATCCATTAGAACCCGGGTCAAAGAACACATAGCCGATGTGAAGCACCGTCGCAATACGACATCTGCTGTCTGCAAACATAGCCAGGACCGCTCAAGCCATTATATTCGTTTCGATAGACCTCAAATCCTGGCGAAAGAAAACCGATATCGCCCTAGAATGATTCGAGAAGCCATAGAAATTAAAAAACATCCAAATTTCAATAGGGAAGATGGCTGAGTACTACCATCGTCATGAGATCCTGTTATTAATATAATAAAATCAAATAATAAATATAAACAAAACAGACAGGCAGATGTAGTAAGTTCATACTGTGTAGATCAAAATGACAGCTTATCAGATTAATATTTTTCATTTTTCATTTGTAAAAGTAGATATTAATAGTGTTGCTTAGTAAGTTGTTTTTAAATAATAGCAAACGAAATTAAAATTATTATCCTTAATTAATTTTAACTTTTTAAATTACACATAGAACAATTATATGGCTTAAATAATTAATACTATATTTTATATTTTTCTTTATGGTTATAAATATAATAATGACAACACTAAATATAGATTACTAATTAATATTTTAAAATTGTAATAATTATAAAAATAATAGCAAAAATTAAATAAATAATTTTCCATATTCAATTATAATAAAAATTATAAAAATGTTTAAAGTTAAAAAATATTGTAATGTAATTGGTGCAATTTTCATTTTGTTAATTGTGGGTAGGCTGTCTGTAACAACTATACATTCAAGACATGTAACATCTCAGTCTCTCCCGTGACCATGGATGCTGTAAAGCATTCGAAACGTCGGGAACCAAAAATCAAAATAAATCCGCGAAATAATCCGAAAACATAGTTTTATTTAATAATGTCAAACATTCGCGTAAATCTAAGAAAGTATTATGTAAACCGTCTGATTATCAAAAATAACGCCACTGAAGATATCTTATTGGATTATGTTGTGGATTTGATGGGAGGAGAGTCCGAGTGATCTGTGGTGCCTTTTTCTACCAAAATTATAGGTTCAGTAGCATCTTTTATATAAATAGAAGGATTTTTATTTGTTTGACTGGTGTATTTTTTTATGTAAATTGTAAAATAAAACAATGTACCGCAATTTTTGTTTAATTACGGTAATTTCATCTCTTGCGTACGGTAATCCTACAAATGACCAGTGGAACACTGCGCGGTATTTGTCAGTACGCTTTCAATTACAAATACAGGTGTGTCGCTTAACGTACCTATTTTCAACGACGAGTGTTTGTTCGAGATCATTATTAGTGATAATTTATGGTCGAAAATATTTTATTGTGATACCACGAATTACTTATGGTAAGTTTTAGATAATGTAAGTTTTAGATAATAGTTTAAGTTAATTAGTGCATTATTGTTTTGTTTTTACATTTTTTGATTGTCCTTATTATGTGGTCCTTAGACATCACGTTTTGGAATTGCTAATTATATCATCTGAATTTAAATATTACTATCTGCGTGCCATACAGCCCAGATTAGTGTTTTTTTAATCAGTTTTAATCTGCCTATATAACTTCGCATCCCGTGACTGTCATAAAACATCACGTTCTCAATCTTGCGAGTTGTATAGATCACTCGCTTCGAGCTGAGTGAGCCCTAAGAGCTGAACGCGCGGCTCGATTTCTTCAGCCGTGCGGGTTAATTTTTTGAGCCGTACGGCTCATAATTCTGGGCCGTACGGGTCAGTTTTTTGGGCCCTACGGGTCAAATTTTCGAGCCGTATGGCTCAATATTTCGAGCCGCACAGGTCAAATGCCCGGGCCGGACGGATCCATATTTAGAGGCTTACAGATCAACTTAACATACTTATAACTGCTAAACGCGCCTGCTAGCAAAATGATGTTTAGATATCACGCTAACGTCGATTTCCTATTTGTTTTAGGCTTCATCTCCTGCAGACATGCACGCTCTTGAATCACTGTCAGACTGGGAAGCAGACGACCCGGGGGATAACGCCATCTTAAAAAGAGTCATCCTAGTTATAAAGAACCACCTGCCAACAGGTTGGAGAGATTGGAAGATTAGAATCTTTGGAAGAGATGAGCTTATCGGAACAGAAGTTGATCCTCAAATCCTCAATAAAATTAGATTCGCCATACCAACGGTGGATCTAGCGAGAGCCTTCTCACCCAACTGTACCTCTCTAAAGCAAAGAACTTTTCGAGACATAAAGATGAAGCTTTTGGAATGGCCTCTATGTACTGGTCTCATCATTCACCCAATGTCTTTGGCGGCCAGAATCCGTGGTTCAGCAGTTCAAAATGAACTGGTGATTGCATCAATTGTGGATATGAAACCTCTTCTTAAATCTAGAAAAGAAGCAGACAGGGAACTAACACAGACTGATCATTCTGAAGATGAAATATCTATACCATCCACAAAAACTTCATGAGGAACAAAGCCAGATCAGATTGGAGAATATGATGGAACAATTTATTAAAAACTATCAACCAGACGCCTAGTCATGTTCAGAATCCGACAATGATTCCCTCTCCCAAGAAGATAATGATCCCTTAAAACCTGATGCATCACCACTGAACCCATGGGAGCCTCCAGTACCCATTGTAGAAGAGGACTTCGAATGGGCCCGTGCTACAAAACAACAAGACCCTATTATACCTGCACCTAAACCACACATCGCTTCGCAGGGTGCTGAGTGTCAGCGTTTAGGTGACATATCTTTCAACCAGATTAGATATGCCGAAGTACAAAACAATTACACGCTTGCCCTGTCTTTGGTCCTCTTAAAGTCAACCCGGTTCTCAATATGTACGCATCCTCAAGCAATCAAGAACATTTAGTTCGAATGGACTACACTTTAGGCACAATTACGCATGCGCTATTACTTCAGCGGGAATCATTAGCAAACACACTGAAAGATTTGGCCAACAAACATCCTGCAATGAAACAGGACCTTAAAAACGTCTTGTCGTCAGATTCCTCTTTAATACACTTTCAGACGATCTGCTTCAGTATGTGTGTGGTAGAAGAGCGGAGGTTATTGAACAAAGGAGAAATGAGTTCCTACCAAAAGAAAAATATCAAGCCACCCTGCTCGGAGCAATCCCGCCATCAACCACTCACCTTTTCTGTGAAACGCAGCTAATGGAATTACTCAAACAGCCATCTCAATAAACCTTTTTTCGCAACCCCCAGAGAAAACCCTTACAATCGAAGAATTTCAATTTCACGAACTCCGCTCGCCAGCCTAAATCAACTACAAACAAAGTTAATCTAAAGACGTCGAAATTCGCCAACCGACAGCGCAAACCAAGTTCCAGCAAAACGCAAGAAACTTTTAGGCGCCCATTTAACAGCAGATCCAGAGACCAGGGCTATGGATCTCCTCGCAACAAATCTACCAAAGGACAAACTCCAAAAAGATATAGGACTGACTGACACTTTCAGTGGGGGGCGCCTTTCTCAGTTTGTAGAGGTTTGGAAAGCGGAAGGGGCACCATCAAGTATCTTAAAAATAATAAGAGGTTATACGATTCCCTTTGTAAAAAAGCCCCCACTAATATATTTCCACCCAAAGACATTCATAAAATTCAAAACCAAAAATTTGGATTTGGAGATTCAGACTCTAATACAGGAAAAAGTTTTAGAGATTTCTATGTTCCAGACAGGTTTCCTTTCAACAATGTTTCCAGTACGAAAACCCAACAACAAAATACGTCCGATAGAATCCGTCTTGTCCCAAAGAAATTTCGCTTGCTAAATCACTTCAAAGTTCCTCACTTCCTACAAAAGGAAGATTTTCTCATAAAAATCGATTTTTCACTGGCATATTTCCATATACCCATTATAAAGCGTCATCAAAGATTTCTATCAATTCCAGTTTACATGCCTCCCATTCGGGCTGTCAACGGCACCACTCACCTTTGCAAGAGTATCAAATTGGATATCTTCCAGACTACGGCAAATGAATATAAGAGTAATAGTGTACCTCGACGATTTCTTACTTGCCAATCAAGATCCGATAAAACTTCAGAGAGATGCATCAATTACAATTCAATATCTTGTCAATTTGGGATGGATAATCAACTTGGAAAAATCTTTACAGAACCCATCCCAGTGCATCGAATTCCTGGGCATAGAATGGGACACACCACAATACAAAATCTCTTCCAAAAAATAAAATAGATTCTCTCAGAAAAGATCTCAGCGAAATTCTATCAAGTCAAATATAGAGTTGGCAATCCGCAAAAAGTTAATTAGGAAAACTAAACTTTGCTTCTTTTGTAATACCCCTAGGAAGACTCCATTGCAGAGAAATACAGAGGGCATCCAACATTCTCCCAGAAGAATTGAACCACAGGAAGTTACCCATCCCGACCAAGGCGCTTCAACAATGCAGGTGGTGGATGCAGACCCTCGAGGAAAAGAATGTTCTTTTCAGAACCTTGGAGACTGTATTCATTACAACCGATGCCTCAGACGAAGGTTGGGGAGCTCAGGTAGACGAAAAGCATATAAGCGGAACTTGGGTCATTCACCAATCTCAATGGCACATCAACAAAAAAGAGTTGTTCGTCGTACTTTTAGCTGTTCAAACAGAGAAGAATTTAATAAAAAACAAGAGAATTGTTGTACAGTCAGACAATCGGACAGCAATTGCATACATAAAGAATCAAGGTGGGACCAAATCATCACAGCTGACAACTCTAGTATCCCAGCTACTAACACTGGTCAAGGAGCTACATTCAGAAATATGTCCCCAGTACATACCAGGAATGTACAACGATGTATCCGACAGTCTATCCCGGCAGAGATACCTGTCGGACTGGCATCTTTCAACGAAGATATGCCACCACATATTTCAAATGTGGGGTGTTCCGGAAGTGGACTTGTTTGCGTCAAACAGTTCAAAAGTAGTTCCAATTTGTTTCTCGAGACGTGAGGGACAAATCAGCTCTATTCATAGATGCATTCAGCAGGACATGGGAGTACAAGTTAGCCTGGATATTTCCACCCCCCTCGCTGATCCCTCGAGTCTTAGCCCATCTAAATCAGGCAAATGGCATATACATACTGATTGTTCCTCGCTGTGAACGAGTTTTTTGGAGATCGGATCTGAGGTCACGAGCGATAGACCGCCCATTTCAAATTTGAAACCTTCATCATCATCTGAAGGACATAACGGCTCAAACAAATCTGGCGAAAATCAAAAATCTACATTTGGAGGCTTGGAAGGTACGGGGTGGTCTATATTAATCAAGGACTGGTCAGAAGAAGACCGTAATCTCATACAAAAAGCATGGCGCAGCTCTTCATTAAAAACATATCGCGCCCCATGGAAAATGAGGCTAACCAGATGTAGAACGTTTGGTCTTAATCCTAATAAACTGGAAGCAGCAACAGTAGCTCAACATTTGAGTTATTTACACAGTTTTAATAGGAATTCTATTTCAGATAGCCCAATTGTTAAACAGATTATTAAAGCTATTGATTTATCAAAACCAATTTCAGTTAAAAAAGAGATTTGGGATGTTAAACAGATGATAAAGTGGCTAGATAATGAATAATAAAACCGAATAATAAAACCGAAGTGGGCAACCTCCCTGTGCGTTTCTTAGCTTCGCTACTACTACTGAGCCCCCCCACCACGACAAGGTGAACGCACGTTGGGGGGGAAGTACCTAGTAACCTGACTTAAATAAGTACAAGAGTGTATATAGTCAATCACAGTTGCCTACAACGGAAATAGGTAAAGGATGGCGAGTCTTACACTAAATACTTGTATATTTAGTTCAAAGATCGTAATATGTCGTAATAACTAATAGGAATACACTATTAAATTTATATAACACAGTAGGTACAGTGCACGTCGAGCTGGGACGAGATGAGACTGACTGACTGACTGACTGACTGTCAACTGATTGAATTGAAGTAAGTACTTACTTGCACGTTCATTCGGTGCTAATGTGAGATGCGCTATGATTGGTCAGCCGACTGAATGAAGTAGTTCACACCACAACATGCAACTTGAGAATATGGCGCTTCGGTCTACTCTGCTATCAAAACAAATGTATCATGTTTATAAATTAGATAAATATTTACATTTTATATTATTATAATTTCATTATGATTAAAAATCTTTCATCGTACTGTTTTGTTAAAACTTTAGGTATTATAGGTATGAATATAGTAATTATTTTATCACACGGTCACGAAATTTCATAAGAAAAATATATCTACTGAAAACAGTAAACAACAAACACCTACCTACCTACCTACTACTAAAATTATAAAGAATTTCTATTTACTCAAAATTGTAAAGTTAGACTATGTACAGTACATACTCGATTTGGTTGTGGTTTTGGGCAGTTACTACGGATCCCTAAATTCATTTTGCCCGCCATGTTAAGGTTATAAATTTGATTTGACTAAGGTTAGAAAAACATAAGAATACCACGGTTTAATTGAAGTATTTTGCTTCATTGTGTTATAATACTACTAGCACGATACCTTAAACTAGAATGGGCAACGTTTTATTAAATAATTACAAAAGTTTTATGTTACTCCATATCTAGTAAAATATTTCTAAATAATAAAATTCTAATTATTTTTAAATAATTTGATAATAATACATATACATAATCACAGTGTACTTACCTTCGCAGTAACAAGTTAACTTCTGTGTCCACTAAAGTTGAAACTAAAAGATTACTTTTTCACAAACGAATGGCGGCGTTTTGGATCCGATAAATATTGACAGTTCGCACATAAAACGAGAGTAGGTTATATAATATATTGTTAGCACCTGGGTTCGTTTTTATAGGCTTTGTGGATCTATATTAGAGATCAAATCAGTAACAATCACCTATTTACCACCCTCTTATCATTTAAAAATATAGAGAGCGACATTGTAGTTCTACCGAACCGCTTAAGGAGTTAATTTTTGCCTTTTTACCACCTTTTTATCCCTTGTAGTTTCAGTTATCGCTATTATAGCTCTCTTATTGCTTTATTATACTCTTAACCCATTCTGTAACTCTGCTTTACCGCCATTAAACAACCTAAGGTGACAAAAAAAGTGTGCCCAATTCGGGGGTATAGTAGAGCTATAGCGCGCTCTAACTTTGAATACGTAACACTTATTTATAACTTTAGGATCTGGTTAGCACTCTAATACATTTACTATAATTCTTGTCTTAGCGCTTAAGTGTTAGTTGGGCTGGAACGCGAACTACAAGATTCTTTTGGCCTACAATGAATGCAGACATCGCCCAGTGGACAAGAAGTTGTATTAATTGCCAGAAAAGCAAAATACAACGACATACACACAGCGACCTTCAATCTTTCCCGCCAACCAACCGATTTCAACACGTACACATAGACATCGTCGGACCGCTACCTACCACCGCTCAAGGACATCGTTATTTAGTTACTATGATAGATCAACTCACAAGATGGCCCGAAGCAATACCTACGGCCGATATATCAGCCGAAACTATCGCTGAAACAATATATACACACTGGATAAGTCGATTTGGATGTCCCGCTACATTAACAAATGATCAAGGCCGACAATTCGAAAGTCAAATATTCAACAACCTAATGAAGCTACTTGGAATAAATAAAACAAGAACGACACCGTATCACCCACAAAGCAACGGAATGATTGAAAGATGGCATCGTACATTAAAAACTACTTTACGCGCGAAACTAATTCATTCAACAACATGGGTCAACGAACTACCTATAGTACTATTAAGACTACGTGCCGCCCTGCGCACGGACACCGGCGTGAGTGCAGTCGAACTTACCTACGGCTACAATCTTCGACTACCGAGTGATTTTCTACATACAAGTATACCTACAACTACTACTATGGACACTATTTACGTCGAAAAACTACGAAACACCATTCAAGAGAATAAGCCACGCCCACTTACTACACATCGAGACAATAAACACGTTTTCGTGCATCAAGACTTGCAAACATGCAGTCACGTGTTTATTAAAGTCGACGCAGTAAGAAAATCACTTCAAACACCATATGAAGGCCCCTATCGTGTTGTCGAACGAAAAGATAAAGTATTTACAATACAATTACCTGATCGTCAAACAAAAATATCAATCGACCGATTGAAACCTGCATATGTATTAGAAGATTTCGAGGACAATACTTACCTTACCGTACCTCACAAGAAAACCAACCTTACCGAACCATACCATAAGAACCAGATTACCAGCTTACCAGAACCATCGGACAACTTGACACCACAACCCATTCTCAAGCAAACCCGAACAGGACGCGTTGTCAAGTTGCCGGTACGTTTCACTTGAGGGGGATTACTGTAGCTACACTAGACGTCTAGTGAAACACAGAAAAGTTAGCTTTGAAAAAAGCTGTTCGTGTCGTAGGAAACATGAATAATCAGCTCTCAAAAGAGCTTGTAGCTACACTAGACGTCTCGTGAAACACAGAAAAGTTAGCTCTGAAAAGAGCTGTTGGTGTCTAGGAAATCCACGGGCAAAGATAAGAAAATATCCATTAAGAGCGTAGGATTAACAGAATTCAACAAGCTACGATGGATTCACAAAGCGCGTCTTATAAGCTTGCTAAGAAGCTCGACAAACAGGGATTCTGTCAGAAAATTCAAGCAGAGGCGGAAGCCGCTTTCCAAGTTCAGGACGAACAAACTCCCCCTGACATGGGAGGAATCCCAGGGAGAATAGCCGAGGCAGCAGGGGATTTCAGTGGCTGAAGGCCAAGAAAGTCGAAATTGATCCAGAAGAATACGAGTATGCAGAGAATATCCCGGATCCTGATCCTGTAATTGAGGAGGTTGAGAGTGATGATACAGAGAATGGAAGTGGGGATCTCGAACTTGCTAAGAGACATAAAAATATCTCACGTGCAATTAAATCTCTCAAAACTTCCATTTATGGCAATCCACCGCCAACCTTTGACCTGTATATAAAGCCAACACTAATTCCCCAGTTCAAAGAGCTCATGCAGTGGATCTCCCACACATCTGGTACTGCCTACACGGTATCAGAATCCACAGATGGTAGAATCCAAATAACTAAATTAATTAAATATTCCATTCGAACATCGGAAAGTATGATGCAATCCGAAATGGATACTAAATCTCAGGCTACGTTCATAATGAAAGACGACGATGTTACGATGACAGGGTCAGCCTCCTGTATATCAGACTTGACTGATTACAAGTTTCCTTTATTAACCTCAACTTGTAAAACTCGACGATATAAAATACAGGGTGGACCAAAAGTCCGTAAACATTTGAATCGGTTGCCGCGTCTAGCAGCGGCGGCGGAGGGGGGTGAACGGGTTAGGCATTGCAAGAGCGGCCAATGGGAATTCAGTTTTGTGTACGAGAGTATTATCGAAATAACGATTCTGCGACCTTAGCTCAACGAAAGTTTTGCTATCAATATAAGATACGACACAAAAATCAAGCTCATCAGGTGTGTTAATTAAAAAATGGGTGCTCAAGTTTGAGAACACGGGTTCAACAATGGATTTACCTCGCTCTGGCAGACCTAAAACGTCGAGGGACCCCGAAAACGTGGAGCGAGTAAAATCGTCTGTTCGTGACCAACCTGAACTTTCAACTCGTAAGCGGTCTGCTGTCCTTAACGTGCCAAGAACATCATTAAACCGCATTCTAAAGGGAGATTTACGGCTGCATCCCTATAAAATTCAAATGGTGCAGGAATTAAGGCCTGAGGACCATGCCACTAGGCTGCAGTTTGCAAACGAAATGTTAGAGCGGTCCACCAGCTTTACAAACATTTTTTTCTCAGACGAGGCACACTTCCACCTAAATGGGCATGTTAATAGACAAAATTGTCGTTATTGGAGTGATACTAATCCGAAATTAAAGCATCACAAACCCCTGCATTCACCCAAAGTCACAGTATGGGCTGCTTTATCAGCAAGAGGCATTATTGGTCCTTACTTTTTTGAAGACTCAAGAGGACGTGCGGTTACGGTGAATTCCGAGCGCTATATCACCATGTTTATAAAACTTTTTCGCTCCAGCGCTGCAGGATTTTGTTGGTTTTAATCAACGCTCGTGGTTTCAGCAAGATGGAGCCACTTGTCATACATGTAATGACTCGTTAAGGGCAGCTCGAGACATTTTTGGCCCAAAAGTGATATCGAAAAGAGGGGACATTAACTGGCCACCTCGTAGTCCAGATCTATCCCCAATGGATTTTTTTCTTTGGGGATATCTTAAGGCTAAAGTTTACGACACCAACCCAGTAACTCTTGACGAATTAAAGGATCGTATTCGCACAGAAATCCAAAACATCTCAACAAACACATGTAAAGCTGTTATCGAAAATTTCCGCTCTAGATTACAACAATGCGAAAGTAATGAAGGATTGCATATGGATGATGTGATTTTTAAAAAATAAATTCCCCTTTTGTTTACTGTCAAAAACAATAAACAATTTTAATGTACTGTAATTCGTTTGTTTTCTAACATCATTTCAAATATAAACGGACTTTTGGTCCACCCTGTACTTAATCTATACGTCTTATAATAATAACAAAGCGAAATCTGTAACAGACTGTAACGTATTGTATATAGAATATATACCTGAAACAATAGTTATTAAAAATGTTGTCTGTATGTGTGTTTGTCTTTACATGTGTTCAGCCGAGTTGTCCTTCATACAAAAATTTTAATTAATGATTTATTATACAAAAAAAAAAAAATATTATTCGACTAATGCAAATTAAAGCAAAGCTTACATCACAAATTGATGTATAATAATATTAAATTGATGTATAACTATAATTAAAGTTCATACCTTGTCATTATTAGATATTTATATCATAAAGCATTGTTGTCTGGAACCGATTTGTTATCTAATTTTTGTTAATTGAAGTTTACTTTTTCCATATATTTTTTTCAATTTATTTTTTTTAATGTTTGCAATTTTTATATGAAGACTAACAAACTAAAATTCGTTTTTATTATTAGTAACATATACGTTTCATCCTTGCCGCGAGATATACATACTTATATCACTGGGTATATGTTTTAGTTATTATTATATATTATTTTTTTTTAATTTAAGGCTATCACATCTTCTTTTTATTTGGGGTCATTTTTAAGCTTTTTCAATACGCTGCGGTTAAGTCGTAGTAATCAGTGTCAATAAACTTTTAACAATTTTTTTTATGAGACTACTATTTCGCATATCTATTTAGATTTGTCGTTCCCGATGTTTCGAACGCTTTACAGTAAGTTTGAGTTTCTCCCGTGACCGTGATTGCTGTAAAGCATTCGAAACGTCGGGATCCAAAAATCAAAATAAATCTGCGAAAAAATCCGAATTTGATATATTCGCGTAAATTTAAGAAAATATTTTATGACTCCTTTACCGGAGAGCTAAAGACTAATAATTGGCTTCATTACCAATAGTCGTAGATTCGAATCCTGCACTGTAAAAGTTGATTATTTTTACAGCTTGTTAAAGTAATCAACTAAAGCTAATTGGTTTATCGCAAACGTAACTGATAAAAAAAACTTCCATTGTATGTGTAAAACGTTGATGTTGAGAAATATGCTTTCAACAGCTATTCTTTTTATTTTAATAGTTACTATAGTTAAAAATGAAAAATATACCGAAGACAAAATGGCGGGATTGAAAGCTTTACATGAAGTTAAAATCGATAAAGACACGATTATCAAAAAAAATATGAATCTAAGGAGTAAAAATCGTGAAAAAGGTAATTTAAATTATCTTATTTTGTATTTAAGCTTGAATTAAAGAGCTATCTGCATATATATATATATGTATATATATATATATATATATATATATATATATATATATATGTATATGCAAAGACAGTTCAGCATCTTTTTATCCTCTGTTTGTTTTTTTTTTGTTTAGTTGCTATTGATAAACTGATAACCTATATTATTAGGATTATCAATATATATTTTTTGGAAACGGTTAGTTTTTTAAGTAGATAGATACCTAAATTCTATTCGTATACATATATTTTCCTCAAATTTTCAATAATGGTTATGGTCTGGACTATGGTGAAGACTTATACCGTGTGTTCGGTCACGGACTAGCGATATTCTAGGTACTTATATTACTACTATTTTAATACACAAATACACTACACACCGAGGTCTAATCCCTTTCCCCTCTGTGTAGCAGCCATTTTGTTTTTTCCCAAAATATTCTATACATGTGTACAAAAAAAAATATATCTCTCAAAATTTTGGGTCTTAATGCGATAAAAATAGGTCCGTTCGGAGAGCAACAATATTGTCTACCGATGACAATACGAAAAAATGTGTTCAAACACGTGTAACTTTAAATAAAAACTATCTAAGTCCAAAAATATATCAAAAAATTACGCAAATTGGCAATTTATTGTAAATTACTACAAAAACATCCCTGATTACCCTGTTTATCTTTTCACTAGATCGACAGATTTTGAGCTAAGCTACAATACAACATTGAGTTTACAGCTGTATGTCTATTACTTTAAGAATTATTGTTATTTGAACATAGCGGCATGGGCAAACGCAAAAGCCTTTGTTAAGTGACATCAGGCACTACCTGCTCTCGAATTGAATGCAATGATGCATCCCATTCAAAAGCAGGCCGCAAATACTGCTACAAGCGTGATTAATAGAGAAGGAACATACTAGTCCTCTACCCCGAAAAAAATCACATAGTTTGACAGTTAATTAGTGAGTTAGTTGTCCTTCGCTCTGTGTTGTGACCGCTACTTTCACTTATCGTCCGTGCTGTTTAAGTGCTGTATTACTGTTTATCTTAAAGAGTGTAATACAAATATGGAAAATATTCAATATTCAACGCAACATATTGCCGACAAACGTATGGGTTTTGCAATGGAAGTGCTAATAGAGCTGTGCAACAATATCGACGTAGGTATCCTAACAGGCCTATACCGAGTCGCCAAACTTTTATCGACGTGCACTCGAGATTAGCGGAAAGGGACATTCAAAGGGCTGTTAATGAACGCGCTCAATTGGTATCGCCCGAAGATGAAGAAGAAGTGCTAAGGTTAATAACTGGCGATCAAAGACTAAGCGTTCGACGGATTGCAGTGCAACTACAACTAAGTGGAATGTATGGAGAATTTTGAAAAGAGAGGGATTACACCCTTTTCATTTTCGACGGGTCCAAGACATTATCGGAACAGATTTTGCGACAAGATTTGTATTTTGTTCGTGGATGAATCGAAGCGTGAGACAGAACCGTCATTTTGTACAAAAAATACTATGGACTGACGAAGCAAAAGTCACAAGAGCTGGCATTACAAATCACAGAAATGATCATCTCTGGTGTTCGGTAAATCCACAATCGGTGCGACCAAATTCGTTTCAACACGAATTTTCTGTGAATGTATGGGCAGGCATAATAAACGATCGTTTGATAGGGCCGTTAGAATTGCCTCCTACATAAAACGGTGCTAGATTTCTGGAGTTCCTAGAGACACAGTTTGCTGATAGCCTCATGGAGCTACCTTTGTCGTACCGTCAAGGTATGTGGGTCCAGCTTGATGGTGCACCTGCACACTTTTCTCGAGCAGTGAGAGAGTATCTCAATAGAAACCATTCGCTGTGGATCGGTCGCGGTGGTCTAGTAGCGTGGCCACCTCGCTCACCCGATTTGACACCCTTAGATTATTTTTTATGGGATCATATGAAACAAAGGGTGTACGCCACAGTTCCAAACACCAGGGAAGAACTAATTACGAAAATAATGTCAGTCGCCGAAGAAATAAGATTTGATATTCAAATGATTAGGCGCTCAACAACGCAGATAGCACATAGAGCTTTGGCTGAAGGTGGCCACTTTGAGCAAATGCTTTAGATATTTTAATTGTACATGAATTTTGTAGGTCAATTTTGTTAGTTTGTATAGAATATTTTGAGAAAAAAACAAAATGGCTGCTACACAGAGGGGAAATGGATTAGACCTCAGTGTGTAGTGTATTTGTGTATTAAAATAGTTGTAATATAAGTACCTAGAATATCGCTAGTTCGTGACCGAACACACTGTATAATACCTAAATGAATACTCCAAGCTACGAATAAGATGTTATTATTCGAATCGTACGTAAAAAGGAGAACGGTGTAAATGAAATGAAGGCACTTTTCATTAAGTTGGACCAGATAAGACTCACGTCGCATAGAAAGTCTTGGTTTTATAAATGTCATTCATTTTCTTAACATCTTGTGTTTATATTTAAACAAAAATAAATCTATCCCTCGGAAACCGTACATTTTTTCGGGATAAAAGGTAGCCTTTCTGCTATTCCAGACTATAATCTATCTATCATCTGTGCCAAATTTCATCCAGATCCTTTCAACTGTTCTGACGTGATTGCATAACAAACATCCAAACTCATATCTAAACTTTCACATTTATATATTTATTATAATATAATATATACGCAAGAAGTAAGATAATTATTTTGAAAGACAATATGAATAATAAATATTGCCGCCATACCTAATTCACCATTCTGTACCCATTACAATTAATGGATACAGAATGGTTCATTGTTCAACTCTTTTTATTTTTCTTAATAAAGCTATTCTATTATAGTTTATATATTTGTATTACAATAAAGGCAATATTTAATTTTGTATAGCGAATAATCCCATAAATTCTCAACAAGAAGCAAATCGCGATCCGGACTGGTCGTACAGTTCTTTTCCAATGAAAGTCAAGAACCACGTAGAACAGTTCAAGCGGAATATGTCAGAATGCTTAAAAGAAGTACAAGCTACTGATAAAAGACAAATTAAAAGCCTTTCACCTATAAAAGAGTCTCCCATACACGGGGAATGCCTCATTGCTTGTGTGCTGAAACGCAACAATGTAATTGAAAATGGCAAAATACATAAAGGTAAACAAAAGATTACATAGTAAATTTTAATAATAATTATAAGGCAGTGGTGACGCGCTAGCTTGGGAAACTGAGTGAAGCTGGTTTAAATCCCGGGTCTCGCACTTCTGATATTTTCATGTGCGTATCATTTTTATCGTGATTAACACTTGTTTTACGGTGAAGGAAAACAACGTGAGGAAACTTTCACTCTTGTCTTGTCTGTTCTGTCTAAGAGAACTTACTCTACATATGAAGTCTGCCAATTCGCTTTAGGCCAACGTGGTGGACTATGATCTGATGCCCTTTGCATCAGACCATAGTCGTAGATCATGATGAAGTGAAGCCCGTGCCCAGCAAGGGGACGGTTCAGGTAGCGCTACCAGGGCCTTTTGTGTTTAGAATATGATATACAAGTAGCGCCACCTTTTGGCAATTTTATTACTTCTATACTACTAGCCTTCAAAGTCTTGCTCCAGGTTTTTTTGTGTAGTAAATTTCATCTAATTCCATCCAGCTGTTTCAACGTGAAAGAATAACTAACACACATAAACAAACAATCGCATTTTTAAAAATAGTCTGACAAAAAGCTTTTTAGAACAGAAAGCAAATCATTTAATGGACATGGACTAGAGTCCATGCGGTCGACCGCAGTAAAATAAATACGTCACTGCCAATCACCAATGAGTGTCTATTAATGCCGTACTAGGTATGCCACTATGTATGTATTTATAGTATCCCATCTTTGATCGTTTACTACTGCAATTAATTTGTATATAGATGAAGTCTTTAATATGGCTATGTGAATGTTAAAACTTAACAGCTTTCATTACCCTCTGTTACTGATCAATTATTTATGTTTATTAAAGTTATCTTTTCGCATTTTTTCACGGATTTATTTAGATTTTTGTTTCCCGACATTTCGAATGTTTTCGAATCAAAAATCAAAATAAATCTGTAAAAAAATCCGAAAAGACAGTTTTATTTAAAATTCGCGTAAATCTGTATTACATTTTTAATTAAATCTTGAAAATCGATTTTTTGATATCATTTGTATTTATCAAGTCAAAATTTTCAAAAAAAAACAATTTATTCAAATAAATTAAAATTTTATAACCATTTTCATGGAATTTACGAGAATCAATATTAGATATATTTTATGGACCATTATTTATTAGCACAGGTACAATATTATAATATATACTAGTTAATGGGGAACATATTCTGGTTTGCAACCTTATATCATAAATATTCTATAATTTCAGGAAACTTGCTTTCATTAGTGAGAAAGTTCTACGAAAAAGACGAAAAACTAATAAAAAAACTAGAAAAAAATGTAGATCGCTGTATAGAAGCAAGTGTCAAAAACAAAGACGATTGTGCGATTGCATCACATCTTAATGACTGTACCAATGATCTTATGGCAAATAATAAGCATAAAATTATAGTAAATTATTGATGATATGTAATGTATAGATAATTCTTAAATTAAAAATAAATTATGAGTTATCAAAAAGACTTGTTATATTAATAACTATTATTTATAGTATATTTTAAAATAATATATAGATATAGCTCATTCCTCCTCAGCTTCTAATTTTTCTCAATTTAAAACAAAATGTCAATACTCCATACTAAAAGATACCGACATTGTTGAAATGGATGTAAAATAACCTTTTTATATACATACAGTGACCTCCGCTTCCATTGTAATATTTGCTAAATTATCTGTGTAGTATTATATGATCTAATCGTGTGGTGTGTAAGGCAAACGTCTCTACGTTCTGTGTTAGTTGCGGGAAAACACTTTGTATGGAGCCCTGTTTTCTCGTATTTCATTGAAGACCTATGTTACGCAAAGCCAAACCACCGCATAAGCATCAAATCACACGTACAGCCGACGAGACGACGTGCCGGTCGCAGGCGCTAGCACAAGTGCAAGCGCAGCAAGTCACGTACATCCAACTTGCCAAATACTGTAACTTCCTATAAGAAATGCCGTATATAAGGACATTACTTGATTCACATCTTCACTTTTATCCCACATTGATCATTAGTCATTTAGATAGACCATAGTAAATGTAAGAATTCTACCTAATAAATTAATTATAATTTAATTTGCATTCCTTTTCATCCACTGGCTGCCTCCAAAACATAACTGGCGCAGTCGGAAGGATAGTCGTACCTTAAGAGTCAGTGAATAGATAACCGATAGCGGCTATCTTCGAACCTACGGGAGTTGCGGCTGGAGGAGTATCCAAAAATTGATACAGCAGAGAAATACGAATTATTTGGAGAGTACCTAGGATCTTACTAGAGTTGCTTACCTCTCCTATTTATAATTTTCCTTTATCTTTACTTATTTCCCTTTTTCCTATTATTAGAATATCGCAAATCGATGCGAATAGGGTATGAGGAAATATTTTAGAAAATAGAAATTATTAAATTTTCTTTGTGCTTTATTTTCAAAATTTATTTTACCCACGGATGTCTCTGACCTCTAGATCACTAAATAGAATCACGCTTAAAAAAAAAAGGGTCTCATCCAGGGACCCATAACAATTGGTGGCAGCGGTGGGATAATAATCCCGGATACCCTAGGATTAACGAAAATTCTTGGGCCTTAAGTGACCGCGAGCTCACGGCTTCGCGTAACTCCTAATTAAAGTGGATAACGACCATAAATATGTGAAAAGTTGTGAAAAGCTGTGAAAAGTGTTAAGTGAAAATTCAGGTTGCCCACCAGAGTGAGACGCCTACATCTACTGGTAGAGGACGTGTACCGTGTTCGTCTCCCGTCGGGAACGACATCAGGTTTGAACCTGTGACCACTGAGTTGGCGGGTATACAAAGTCTGGACTTATCTACAAAAATGCCACCCGCCACCCGCGTCGTGTTCGTGTTACTTGTAGCCACGTACAGTTGTACGTTGTAAACGTGAGTGATAGATAGTATTATGGAGGGCATACACGCTACGGTCTACCGGAGAGGTAATCTGTGCAGGTATGCCTGCGCAGGTAGACCGGAATGTGTGTGGGAATAGACCTGTGCAGGTTTTTGAACCTGCGCAGGCGACCGGCGCAAGATCAAAAATCGATTCTTTAGAGTGACACAGTACGGTGTACCTGTGCGTGTGTGCGTGTACTCCGGTCGCCTGCGCAGGTCACGTCAGTAGTTTTCTAGTGTTTCTTTCGGACGGTTGTCTCATCGCTCGCATCGTATTGCCAGAAAATGGCGCCACCAGATTCAACAAAAAAAATCCTTGAAGATTTTGTCGAAATGTATAGAAGTAATCCATGTCTTTGGCAAATTAAAAACAAATATTTCCATAATCGAGACAAAAAAGAAGCTGCTTATAAATTACTAATAGAAAAATTGAGAGAAATTGAGCCAGATGCGAACAAAGATGTACTCTCGTGAGCAAAAAAATCGACTCAGACGACACATCTGTAGTCGCAAGTCACTGGAAAAAAACTGAAAGCAAATATATTTTTTTCATAGTAAAATCTTAAGCTGCTAGTATTAGCCTCAAAATGATATAAAATATTGTAAGGTTTATTGCTCACACAACCCAACAATATGTTGTGATTAGTAACCACCCTTTTTACGCTTGTTTACAATAGTGCTAATTAAGGGTTACTGACCCATATAAAAGGTTATCTACCTGACCCACCCTTATCAGTTAGCCGTCAAACGTCAACCGATACACATCTCCGTTATCAACAATCAAGAATTCTACCTGAAAATGGACACAACAAGCGATTTAGCAGCTCAAGCGATCACCCTATTGCGACAAGGCCAGAGTCAGCGTGAAGTGGCACGTGCACTGAACATGAGCCAGTCTGCTGTTTCCAGAGTTTACCGTCGTTACTAGGAGACTGGTGGCTTTAATCGAAGACGCGGTTCCGGTAGAAAAAGGTGCACATCAGAGAGAGATGACCGATTTATTGTCAGCACATCGTTAAGAAATCGGGCCCTCATTGGCGTTCAAGTCCAACAAGAGCTCAGAGAAACGCGAGGAGTAGCTGTGAGTGGCTGGACAGTCAGAAGACGACTTGCTAGGCTTGAGCCAAAAAGTCCAGCTACTGGCCCCAAATTAACCCCAGATCACCGAGCAGCCCGCCTACGTTTTGTTAGAGAACATGTTGATTGGACTGACGAACAATGGAGCACCGTTCTCTTCTCAGACGAAAGTCGAGTGTGCTTGCATGGTAGTGATAGAAGAGGACGAGTCTACAGAAGACCTGGGGAAAGATTCGCGCAGTACTGTATCAAAGAAAATGTTGCTTTTGGAGGAGGTTCCTGGATGGTGTGGGCCGGCATTTCAAGCGAGGCAAAAACCGAGTTGGTTTTTATTGAAACTGGCGGTCGAATAGGAGGATTGACGGCGATCCGATACATCGAAGAGATTTAAGAGGATCACGTCGTTCCCTACGCCGCACAGTGGGACAGAACCGTGCGTACCGTCTCAAAAATAGCTTTTCGTAATGTTCTATATTGAATATTTTGTTAATGCATATGTCTAACTGAATGTTCAATGCATATTATATAGCAGTTGAAATACACTATTTCTCATTTTTTGTATTAGAATAAGGCTTGCAAGTTGACGCTCAAAATTATGTCAATTATGTAGAACACAATTCCACCAGTTTACATGGTCATATTTGCATTACTTTACCAGCAAATTTGTAAGTGTGATATATGGTTAGAATGGTGATGAAGTACTCTATTTAAAAATAATTTAAGTGAACCATTATGTGAAACCTGGGGAGGTAAAGAATTTTTATTTCAGGACCTAATATTCTATCCTTATTAGAAACTTTGCATAGACTTTTGACAGTTAGCGGTGTCTGCCCATGTCGTAATTTTGATAGCATCGTATAGAGCAGTAATGTAAAAGTCAGGGCAAAAAAAATTGAGTGCCCGAATCTGCCCCCCTTGAAATAAAACGAAAAATGGCTAATGGGGAGAAAATACAAAATATTCCAAAAATTATTTTAGTTCTGATTAATGAGATTTTTGGATATTTAGATCACTTTTGACCTTTTTTTCTTAAACAATATTATCTATTTACTCAATCTTTAGGTAAAGTGGGAGTTTTGGGTAATGTATTAGTATGTAGTATATTTTTTTTATGGTCAGGTCAGATGTGGTTAATGTTTTGTTATCACTGTGTGAATTACATGTTTCTCATATAGTTTATGTATTTCTCTATCGCGGTGAAGGAAAAGGGAGCAAGTGGTATCTAGTTATAGTTGTTAGTGTACATTATCAGTACCTACCTACTACTAACCACCTTCATAGATAGTGGTTAGGAACTTGATAATGACACTAGACAGCAATATTTTTTCGCACGAAATTTCAGTATAAAAGTTATTGATTTACGTTGTCGTTTACCAGTACTTTAGTGTGCTTTAACAAAATATAGTCTTCACCAACCTCGGTAAAAAAAAGTAGTTAAAAATAAAAACAAAATGAGTGAATTTGTTGTGCCTCGACGAGTATTATGCGATTTTTTTATTGGCCATGGAACAAAATCAGAAGATATTCAAAAATACTTAGAACAACACCACCATTTATCGTCTGAAAAAAGTGAATTAATTGTGAAACGTATTTAAAAAACGCTTATAACAGCGTTTAACGATCGGTGGACCAAATGTAACCGAACTAAAGGACGTTTCTTTAGTAATAATATATCGTGGTTATGTAATGTTTGGTGTCAGAAGTGGGATTCTAAGGCACTTTTGAAATATTAGAGTAGAGAGAGTATAATCACATATTTTATTTAGAAGGAGATAGGTTAACGTCAACAAATACAGTTATGCATGAAATACCTACTAATAGTAACATTCCTGTCAATACAAAGTCATATAGGTATCCAGAAGCACTTAAAGAAGAAGTTAATGAACAAATAAGTAAATTGTTAAAAGATGGAATTATTCATCCATCGAATAGTCCTTGGAATTCACCTGTATGGGTGGTCCCAAAAAAAATGGACGCATCGGGAAAAAAGAAGTGGCGGCTTGTCATAGATTTTAGAAAGTTGAATGAAATAAGTATTGGAGATGTGTATCCACTACCTCAAATAAATGGCATACTCGATCAGTTAGGTCATAGTAAATATTTCACAACCTTAGATTTAGCGTCAGGCTTTCATCAAATAAAAATGAGCCCAAAAGATCAATCAAAAACAGCTTTTAGTGTACCATTAGGACATTATGAAAATACCAGAATGCCTTTTGGTTTGAAAAATGCACCAGCAACATTCCAAAGATTGATGAATAATGTTTTAGTAGGTTTACAAGGAATTAAATGTTTTGTATATCTTGACGATATTGTTATTTACGGTAGTTCCTTACAAGATCACAATATGAAATTAAAAGAAGTTTTTGATAGATTATCACAACATAGTTTAAAACTCCAACCGGATAAATGTGAATTTTTGAAAACGGAAGTTATGTATTTGGGTCATTTAATTACTCAAGATGGTGTTAAACCTGATCCGAAGAAAATAGAAGCTGTAAAAAATTATCCAGTACCAAGAAATCCAAAGGATATTAAAGCTTTCTTAGGACTAACCGGTTATTATCGAAGATTTATTCAAAATTTTAGTAAACTCAGTCAACCATTGACTAAACTTTTGAAGAAGGACGAACCTTTTATTTGGACAAGCTTACAACCAGAGTCATTTGAGACATTAAAAATAAAATTATGCGAGGAACCTATTCTACAATACCCAAATTTCTCTGAAATTTTTAATTTAACTACTGATGCTAGTAATTACGCAATAGGAAGCGTTTTATCTCAAGGCTCAAAGTCGGAAGATTTGCCTATAGCTTATGATAGTAGAATCTTGAATAAAAGTGAAATTAATTATTCGACTACTGAAAAGGAATTGTTGGCAATCGTATGGTCTGTAAAACATTTTAGACCATACCTGTATGGACGGAAATTTAGAATAATAACAGATCACAAACCTTTAACTTGGCTGATGAATGTTAAAGATCCTGGATCTAGATTAGTTAAATGGAGACTTCTATTAGAGGAATATGATTATGAAATATATTATAAACAAGGTAAGTTGAATCAAAATGCCGATGCTTTAAGTAGAATAAAACCAGAAAACACAGAATCAGAAGAAGTTATTAAAATTCACAGTGTTACAAAAAATGGGGAAAGTTATTCATCATTTTTAAAAGAAATGGAAAGAAAACCTATTCTATATAACAAACTCAACGAACATAACGATAAGCTTCCAAATAACGGAAATAGTATTGTATTTACATCAACTGATTTAGAAATTGAGAATGATAAGAAGTTGTTAGAATACGAAACTTATATAAAGGAATTAAAATCAAAGAAACCAGTTCAATATGAAGTTTTAAGTATACAAAATAATGGAAGTAAAGTATATTTTACCTTCCCAAAGCTGAACTATTGGGATAATGTAACATATGAAGACATATTTGAATGTTTTAAGAATCTAAAACATGCATTAGTACAAGAAAAAGTTAAAGAAATTAATTTAACTAGTTTTTGTAATTTTCATCTTAAATGGCATAAAGTTAGAACCATAATTAGGTATATATTTAAAGATACGGAAATATCAATCAACATTTTTCATGGGAGAGTTCAAATGATAAAAAGGGAGGATATACCATCTATTTTAGAAGAAAATCATTCAAATGTTATGTCAGGGCATACAGGCTTTCATAAAACTTATAAGAAAATTAAAGCCAACTATCAATGGGACACAATGAAAAAAGATATTAAAGATTTTATTAAGAAATGTGAATCTTGTCAAAAGAATAAAATAAATAGGAAAAAATATATAAAGCCTATGGAAATTACCTCAACTTCTACAAACGCATTTCAAAAAATAGCTCTGGACATTGTAGGTCCATTACCCTTATCAGAAGACGGAAATAAATACATTTTAACATTGCAGGATGACTTGACAAAATACACTCAGGCATATCCATTGCCTAAACATGATTCTGAAACGATTGCAGATTGTTTTGTTCGTAATTTTATATGTAAATTTGGAATACCAGAGATATTATTAACTGATCAAGGAGCAGATTTTACTTCTAATTTAATAAAAGAAATTGCGAAATTATTTAAAATAAAAAAAATAAATACTAGTGCGTATCATCCACAATCCAATGGAGCATTAGAACGTAGTCACTCGACATTAGCAGATTATCTAAAACATTACGTTAATGAAGATCAAACTAATTGGGACAAATGGGTAGATTTTGCTATGTTTTCATATAATACAAGCGTTCATACCTCAACCCAGTTTACACCATTTGAGTTAATATTCGGTTTCCAAGCAAACTTACCTAGTTCAATTATTAAAGAACATGAATTTAAATATTTTTACGATACATATTTAGACGAACTTATATTAAAACTACGAAAGTCAAGAGAAATAGCTAGAAATAAATTGATATACTCAAAAGAATATAATAAGCAAATTTATGATAAGAAATGTAAAAATGTAGAATTTAAAGTAGGAGATAGAGTATATTTAAGTAACGAGGCAGTTAAGATAGGAAAATCACGGAAGTTATCGCCGTATTGGTTAGGACCTTATAAAGTAATTGAAGTTAATTCATCAACCAATGTAACGATTAAAGTTAAGAATAAAAAGTTAAAAGTTCATTCCAATAGATTGAAACATGCATTTGTTTCAGAATGAACCTGGTTCGTGCTATAATATTCCTGACATGGATAAAGTACGTAACAACTAGTGATAGTTCTTTTAGTATTAGTATAATAGATAAAGGTGGCATTTATTTTGAAAATTTAGGAAAAGTTAATTATTTTGACAGCGAATGGAATTTAGTAACATACCTTAATATAGCTGATATTCATAGGAAAATAAATTTGGTTCATAATACGTATATTAAGACTAAAGATCTTGCAATCATGAATCATTTAATAAGTATTCTTTGTGTCAAACTTCACTCATTATTTTAGAACAACTAATTCCCCAAATGTCTATGCAAGAGAATGTTCTAAAAGAAATAACTGGATTTCATAATTATAGAGTAAAACGGTCTTATATGGACGGAGTTGGTAATATTTTTAAAGTTTTATTCGGAACTTTAGATGCAGAAGATGCTAAGAAATACAATGAGGCAATAGAAAATTTAGATAACAATGAACATGAAGTTTTACAATTATTAAAATCGCAATCGAATGTAGTAAAATCAACTATTTCTAATTTTAATAGTACGATAACTGATTTGTATACAAATGAAAAAATATTTAATGAAAATTTAAACTTGCTATCTAACTATACAAAAGATATTGGAGATAAAATATTTAGTATTAAAATGAAACAAGATGTTGATGAACATATGTCATTATTGACTTTACTAACTACTGAAATTGAAAATGAAATTTCTATGATTATTAATGCAATTTTATTTACTAAAAATAATGCAGTTCATCCTGTTATAATAACGCCAGAACAATATGGTATTGAATTAAGAAAGACAGTATCTTATTTACCACCTCAGACTAAGTATCCTCTAGATATTAATGAAAAGAACGTACCAGAATTATTGTCATTAGTAAACTTAGTGTCATATATTTCAAACGATAAACTCGTATTTATAATTAAAACTCCTTTGATTACTCAAGCTAGTTACGATTTGTATAATTTTTTACCTGTACCAATTAAAAGTAGAGACGAAACTTTTATATTTGTTTTACCTAACTTTAAGTATTTTTTGATGTCGAATAATAAAATTCATTATACCAGTTTACAAAATTTAGATACATGTAAGAAACTTCAAGATAATGTAAGATTTATATGCAAATTAGCAACACCATTATATTCTGTTCATACTAGTAAAACATGTGAAACAGAACTTATGTATAGTAATTCAAAATTACCAAAAGAATGTGACACTAGAGTTGGTTACATAACCACTGAGCAATGGTATAAATTATATAGTGATAATAATTGGATATTTGTAACGCCTAAAAAAGTAATTGCTACATTGAATTGTAAAAATAAAGAACCAATAGATATTGAATTGATTAATACAGGTATATTGAAAATTTCAGATAGTTGTAAGTTATACACAACAAATATTGTATTGCAGACACAAACTTTAGGTTTTGAAAGTCATTTTAATTCCATCTTACCACCAATTGATATTGTATTAGATGATTGTTGTAAAAATATAAAAAGTAAAAATATAACGAATATAAATTTTGTACCAATTAAAATACAGGAAAAATTAGATTTAGAAAGTCTAGACTTAGCAAGTCATAAAATCGATAAAATTAATGATATTATTGATAAAATAGGAAATCAGTCAATTTATAATAAGGTTATGAATAATGCTTACTTTGCGTACATAATGTTTTCAATTTTAAAAATGATTTTTATATATATTATTTATAGACTAGTTAAATATTTATGGAAAAGACATTTCTTCTGTAATAGAAATGATAGAATATTAGCATTAGAAGATACCAAATCATGTTGTGCTCGAATCACTAACTGTATTACATTGAAAGTCAATAATTCTGATAACAGGGATATAGAGTTAGAAGAAATACCTTCTACGTCAACCACACCAGATATACCATTAAGACGTAGCGTTAGAATCGCTCAATTAAAGATAAATTAAATAAATGAATTATGTACTGAATATTTTGCAAGGCATATCTTTCTATGTTTAAGTTTTATTTAAGAAATTGTTGAGAAATGTTTAAAATAAACTTTGTTTATTTTCTTAAAGGGGGAGGATTATAATATTTCATAATATTTCAAGTAGATTTTTATATTGTATTTGTAAGTACACGTTGTTTTTCGAAATTAAATTATTATTCATAGAGATAACTAATTACCAGAATAGAGTCCAATGGTTTGTTTACACTAACAGCTATCTAAAGATATTGTTGTGATCATTAATTGTTTACTTTTCCCAAAGTTTAGCATTTGTTCTAACAATGCATTAACGATGTTTGTATAATAATTAAGAATAACTTAAATACTCCTCCACCCGATTGTAACAGGCAGTCCTGATCGACAGTCCTGATCGACAGTGCTGATCGACAGTCTAGTTAAGCTCTTTTCGTTTTAAGTGTCTATAATAATAAATATTATTAAATAATTCGTGACACTGCGTGGTTGTTATTTTCAAGGCCCCTTCTGACCACCGAACATTACAGTTAGACGGTGAATTTAAGGTACAATTTGAAGAAGCACCGATGGATATTACACCTACAACATCTGAAGAACATGGACGTCCACCAAAGTCTTATGAACATCTATCAGAGAAATCGAAAAAAAGAAAGTATATGGAATTGGTACAAGAATATGGACTCGAGTATATACATAATGCATACGTTCAAGGATTGCGGGCTGAAGGAGAAATCGAAGAAGCTACTGTTGTTTCAATGATGCGCAATTGTGAAAGAAATGAAAAAAGGATCATGAAGGAAAAATCATTGCATGAAAGTCGCAATGGAACAGATTTTACGGTGGATGAAGCTTTAAGTATGTTTGCAGATTTAGATCTTTCGAAATCACAATACGGATTTCTTCGAGCAAGTTTGATTAACAAAAACTTCGACATATTGCCATCATATAATATACTGACGAACGCCAAAAAACTGTGTTATCCTCCACTATCCAGCATTCAAATAACCGATATAAGTGCTAAAGTAGATCTACAAGATTTGCTGGATCACACTTGTACTCGCATCTTAAAGGTTGAAAATGTTTACAACCCAAGAAGAAAATCTCTTAAATTGTTTACCAAGTGGGGATGTGATGGTTCATCGGGGCAAAGCGAATATAAACAAGTTTTAACAGATGAGAGTGACTTACTCTCAGATACAAACTTATTTATAGCGTCTTTGGTACCAATAAAGCTGACTGACACAGAAACACATGAGATAATTTGGCAAAATCCGGCTTGTTCTTCTATTCGTTATTGCCGACCAATCCTGATGGAACTTGCAAAAGAAACGCCCGAGAAAACCCGATCAGTGGTTGGTGATATTCGGGGTCAAATTAATAATTATTTGCAAACATCAAAGATACACAAGGAGACGCAGGTAATTGAAATAAGTCACGATCTATTTCTAACTATGGTGGATGGAAAAGTTACACAAGTTCTTACTGACACAAGTTCTGGAGCTGTATGTACAGTGTGTGGGGCTAAGCCAAGTGAAATGAATAATTTGGAGAAGATTGCATCAAAGCCAGATAATATAAATGCTTACGAATACGGTTTGTCTACGTTACACGCGTGGATCAGGTGCATGGAGCTAATTTTACATATTTCATATAACCTTTCATTTCAAAAATGGGCTGCGAGAACTTCGGAAGATAAAAAAAGTAAAGAAGGCAAGAAAAAGCTTGTACAAAGTTTGTTTCGAAGCCGGATGGGATTGCACGTTGATAAGCCCCGACAAGGAAGTGGAAACAGTAATGACGGCAATACAGCTCGGCGTTTTTTTGAGAACTACTACTGCGCTTCAGAAATTACAGGGGTTGACGAGGAACTTATTAAAAGGTTCTGTTATTCTGCAAACCATGGCATCCGGTATTGCTGTAAATCCAGAAAAAATTGGTGAATATACTCGTGCAACGGCACAACTGTACGTAACAAAATATATGTGGTATAATATGCCTTCTTCAGTACATAAAATCTTAATACATGGGGAAAGTATAATAAGACATTTTGCAGTTCTGCCCATTGGTCATTTATCTGAGGATGCCCAAGAATCGCGTAATAAAGATTATAAAAAATTGAGATTGCATCATGCTAGAAAATGCTCTAGGTCCGCAACAAACGAAGATGTATTTCATGGTCTTCTATTTACGTCAGATCCTTATATATCAAGTATCAGAAAACCATCAGTCACTATATCCAAGAAATTGTTAGAGGAAGCTAAGAACCTCTTAGCTATTTAAATCGAAATAATTTCGTACATTATTTGTAAAACATATTTTTGGAGTGGGTTATTATATATTTGTCATTTACTTAAATGTAAGATTCATATGTAAGTGTAAACTCTTTATAACGTTATCCTTTATAACGATAAACTCCCTATAACGTTGGAGTGAGCCCAAGTTGGTTGGTTTGCGTTAAAACTCACATATTGAAACACTCTTTATAGCGATACGCCATTCTCTATTACGAAGAAATGTGTTCATATTTTTAGACAGTAAATATTTATTATCGGTATTATTGTTATGTTATCAGGTAACAAAAGACTTTGAAGCTCCGAAACATCCGAGGTCGGTCTAGCTTTTGTTATCCTTAATTGCCTTGTACACGTGCAGTATGACGCATTGTTTTCTCGGAAGTGATGGTCTTCGACCAAGCATACTGGGTACCTATCGTATTATCAGTCGTAAACCTACTTTGAAACTGTTAACATGGCCAGTAAACGGAAAGCGATTAGTGTTGACGAAAAAGTTTGTGTGATACGTGCGATTGAAAAGGGAGAAAAGAAAAGTGACGTTGGAAGGCGTTTTGAACTAAGTCAATCCACTGTTGCTACCATTTGGAAAAACCAAAAAACAATTCTACAGGCGGCGCTGGAAGGAAACTTGTCTAAAAAATTAAGAAAGCCAAAATTCGAAGACTTAGATCAGGCAATGTTGTCGTGGTTTAACAATCAGCGCCAGAATAATGTACCCATCTCGGGGCCAATTGTAAAAGCTAAGGCTGAAAAGTTTGCCAACCAACTTGGCATAATTGACTTTAAAGCATCTGAAGGTTGGCTCGGAAAATTTAAGCACCGTCATCAAATTACGTACGGTAAAATGAACGGAGAGGCGCGGGATGTCGATATGAATGTGACTAACAATTGGATTAGTACAGTGTGGCCTAATTTAAAGATGAAATACTCACCAGAAGACATTTTTAATGCAGATGAAACTGGCCTTTTTTTCAAGTTGACTCCCGACAAAACTTTAAAATTCAAAGGGGAAAAATGTGTTGGAGGAAAACTGTCTAAAGAGCGCATTACAGTTCTAGTGGCTGCCAATATGAGTGGCACGGAAAAAAGAAAGTTTTTAGTTATAGGCAAATCGAAAAACCCTCGGTGTTTCAAGAACATAAAACAGTTGCCAGTTTCGTACAAAGCAAACAAGTCAGCTTGGATGACATCGCAGATTTTTGAAGAGGAAGTGAGAAAATGGGATGCTGAATTAAAATCACGGAAAATCTTGCTTCTAGTAGACAATTGTCCTGCTCACCCAATCATATCTAATCTTCGAAACATAGAGTTAGCATTTTTCCCAGCTAATACAACCAGTATTTTACAACCAATGGATCAGAGTGTAATTAAATCCCTAAAGGGCCACTATAGACGGAAAATGTTGATGGATATGATAGAAACTGACGGCAAGGTCTCGATCAACATGCTACAAGCAGTGAACTTCATATCAAAAGCCTGGCAAGAGGTAACAGCGGCCACTATCCAACATTCTTTTCGACATGCTGGATTATGTAGTAGCCAAGAAACGAACCAATTTAACAGTGAAGACAATCTACCACTGAGTGAATGGATAAGCCAGTTCAACATACCAAACAATTTTAACGAAGATCTACAATCGTACGAAAATATAGATGAGGATGTAGCCACAACTGGTACACTTACAGATGAACAAATTGTTGATTTAGTGTCAAAAAGTCAGGAAACACCCGATAATCAAGATGAAGAAGACGATCAAGTGGACAAAGCCGAATCACCACCAACAATTCAACAAGCCCTAGATGCCGCTAAGTTGGTAGAAAATTTTTTGTTGTTTAATCAAGACGATTCCACCACATATCTAGATATGAATAGAATACATAAAATAATACAAAACAAGTACTGGCATAGCAAAAAACGTCAGACGAAATTATCAGACTATATGTGTAAACAATAATTTATATGTATAAGCATTTATTATCTAAGACATACATACAATTAAAAATTCTTGTATTAAAAATTCTTGTTAATTTGGTTTTTTTTTGTTCACTCCATATAACGATAACTCTCTATAACGACAAAAAATGCTCAGTCCCTTGAGTTTCGTTATAAAGAGTTTACACTGTATAAAATAACAAAATAGGTTTATTAATATCATAAAACTGTAAAATTATAATTCAATAAGTTAACAAACCATGGCTTAATATTAAAATAATACATTTTTATTTTGTTTGGCAACACTAAATATTAAAAAAATCATTTTAATTTAATTATTGTTTTGACGAATTTAACGTGGTATTTTCTTTACCGTCAACCATCACTTTTTTTATTGCTTAAGACTCCATCTCATTCAACATTTTTTAATAACAACATAGACCACTCATTTTAAAGCTAAAACAAAGAACTTTGAGATGTTAAAATCAGAAATATAATAAAAGCTTCCGATTTTTTGTTAAGAGTTTTTTAACCGCAAGCGTGCGTTCTGAGTCCTTTTTTTTGCTCACGAGTGTAGTTGTGAAAAAGATCAATAACCTAAGAAGCAATGTTAGGAAGGAAAAGAAGAAATATGAGCAATCTTTAAAGTCTGGGGCATCTGCTGATGATGTGTACCGTATATATACGTAATATATACGATTTGTTCAATTTCATTCATGATCAATGCACTCCAAGGGAATCTTCATCCAACTTAGATAGTGATGACGAAAATAGTTGTGAAGTAAGTAAAATATTTCATACTTTGTAGTATAATTTTTTGTTAAGTTAAATAAATAATTGTTGAAAATTTTAGGTCCTCATAACTTCTGCCAGTTGCGAGAAATCTCAATGTAACTGATAATCTTTCGTGCGCAGAAATACTATTTCTCATAACTGTGTCTTCTTTTTTTATCATAGGAGTAACCATTTCAAGTAATTTAAGGTATGTTTTCTCGTCCATTCGAAGATAGTTTTTAAAATCTTCTGGTTCAAATTTCAATTCATTTAATAAATTAACATGTTTTCCTTTTCAATAACCAATGCTTACACCACTTTCTTCGCTTGTTTTTCGTATCATTTTTCTTCAAAATTAAAGCAAGACCTAGCCACGCCAGCGTGTCATCGTTGTTTTTCGTATCATTTTTCTTCAAAATTAAAGCAAGACCTAGCAACGCCAGCGTGTCATCGTCCAAATTCGATGCCATCGCAAAGAGAACTGAAGACCGCTCCGATACACCGGAACGTCCCCATACACGCTACCATTGTTCGCTTGACCTGCGCAGGCATACCTGCACAAATTACCTCTCCGGTAGACCGTAGCGTGTATGAAATTTAATACTGAGCCTATTTCAAATTCTTATAATATAAATGTTATTCTGACGAATATTTTATTGAAAGAAAAGAAGTTATAATACTTTATGAATATTTTATACAGATTTATTATTTTTATGATTGATTTTGATATATATATTGAATTTTTTTAAAGGTTTTGTTTATTTTTTATTGAGTTCATATTTTTGTTATATTTACAATATAATAATGAAATAATTTGTAACAAATTATCCAGATCAAGTATTAAAAATAATATAAAATGGCGAAAAAAGTTAATATTCTGATACTTCCGCTTACTGAAGGAGAAAAATCGTTGTACAACAAATGCACTAAAACACCAAATTAAAAGTAATTCCAAAATTAATACAAAATCATATAGGTTCCCACATTGTCATAAAGAAGAAGTATACAAACAGATAAATAAGATGTTCATCAGATATATAATGTAATCAATGAGAATATAATTCAGCCATCCGTATCGCCATGGTCTTCACCAATATGGGTTGTACCAAAAAAATTGATGCCTCTAGCGAAAGAAAATGGCGTGTAGTAATAGACTACTGAAAACTTAACAATATAACTATAGGCGAATCTTACCACATTCCCCAAATAAACGAAATTCTAGACCAATTTAGGTAAGTAGGTATTATTATTACTTAGGTAAGTAATAGGTTAATTACCTACTTCTATTGCCTATCGATAAATCCCTTTTTTATTTTTACACACAACACTAGAAGTGCGAGCGAGAGTTCCGATATGCCTATGAGTGCGAGCCAGATGTCTGATAAAAATTATTTATGACTCAGTTCGCACGTTTGTAATGGGCCAACTATACCTATTTAAATTATAACCTAAAATGGTTGCAAAAATTTAGCTGTCGTGTTGTATTTTTGTTGTCTTAATGATACTTTTGTGTTATCATCACACAATTTTTTGTATTATGCAACACAAAGCGAATATAAAGGTGCATACATATGGAAAACTTGCCTATTGTACTACTTGGAATAATCTAAAGCGCGATTCACACATATCAGTGAGCCCACAGTTCTGGCACAGTGCCGCATCAGTGATAATTATTCTTTCAAACATTCTCTATGGATGTATTCACACTTGTCAGTGTCAGTGTCGTCTCAGTACCGTCAGTGTCAGTGCCGGCACCGGCCATCACGGACGTGATCGGCGACGACGATATTTTATCACGGATCACTGACGGCGCTGCATCGAAAACAAAATGGACGAAGAGGTGTTGATTGAATTAGTTCGTGAGAATACTGTTTTGTATGATTTATCTCATGCAAAGTATATGGATACAAAATACAAAAACAATTTGTGGAACAAAATAGGAACACAAATGAATGTAGACGGTAAGTCAAAATTTACTTATCTACAGTGCTATTGTAAAGAGGAAAGATTAGATTTTTGTCTATGTGTTTGAACCTACAAACTACTGGACCGATTTTAAAAGATAGTAGATTTTATAGTAATCCGACGCAAAAAGATTAAATTGTTGTTGCATTTGAAATACAACATGTGAGAAGTCGAGATGGGCCGCTAGTTTTAAAATAAAATAAGACAGTGTAAGTAAGTTGCTTTATTTTAATAGACACAGTACAAATCATATTTTATCTTCTTGCCAGGGTACTGCTCCTGCCTCAGAAATAAAAGAATTTTTGAATACTTCTCTAACGTGAAATGCGCCCGCTGTGGCGTTTCCGCCTTGAGGTTGCACAGTTTCCAGTAAACTGCTTGTATGAGGTTGATTACCCTCATAGTCTGATGCATGTGTTGTATTTGGATTGAAATATTTGATGAAGTTATGTAAAATACAAGTAGCGAGTACTATATTATCTACATTTTCTGGGTTAGCTTGGATCCGTCTATTGTATATTCTAAACTTTAGTGTTAATATACCGAAAGTATTTTCAACAATTCTTCTTGCGCTTGATAAACGATAATTAAAAATGCGCTTGTCGTCATTCAAATTTTGCCCTGGATAAGGTCGCATGAAATATGTTTTGAGAGGAAATGCTTCATCTCCCACAATCACGTGTGGTGTTTCTATTGATGTTCCTGGCAACGGAGAGCTTCAAAGCCGGCAACGCATTAGTGGTGCCTCTGGTGCTACAAACGTTCATGGGCGGCGGTAATCTCTTAACATCAGGAGACCCACCTGCTCGTTTGCTCGCTAATATTATAAAAAAAAAAAGAATTTCTAGGTATACCTAAAGTTCCTTGCTGTAGTCTTTTTCCTATGTTGGAATTTGCAAAAATGCCACCATCACTGTTTTTGCCATAAGACCCAACATCAACGGCAATAAAGTTATAGTTCGCGTCCACAAGGGCCATCAAAACAATTGAAAATGTTTTCTTGTAATTAAAATATAGAGAGCCTGAATTGTTATGTGCTTACCATCCAGTGCTCCGACACAGTTAGGGAAATTCCACAACAATTTAAAGTTATTGGCAATAATTTTCCATTTATCTTCTGTAGGCAAAGGTAGCATTTCACTCATCAGAGTTTCCTTTATTATCTTGCATGTTTCCATAACTATGGAATATGCTGTGGCCCAAGCGGTAACTAAATGAAATTGTCTTCAGAGAATCGCCTGTTGTTAGATACCTGGAACAAATAAATCTATGTATAATATTATTTTCATTGCAGGTTCAACATTCAAAACACGGTGTAATAACATAAGAGACAACTATCGAAAATCGTTGAAGAAAACGGAAACTAAGAGTGGACAAAAGAAGACCAATGTTAAATTATAGAAGTACTATGAACAATTACATTTTTTGAAAAAAAAATTTCAATGAACGACCGACAGTACAAAGTGTAGAACCAGAAAAAGAAAATTCTGACTCCGAAACCAACGAGCCTCGAAATACCGTATCCATTTCACCTGATATACCCATTGTCGCTAGTAAAGAAGCATCCATTCCATCACCATGCTACGTATCCACTCCATCATCACAGTGCGTCCGCACTCCCACAACATCACCAAGCCATGTATCCACTCCATCACCACCATCACTGTCGTCTCCATCTACTACATCTACTTTAAGAAAGAGAAAAGGTTCGACAAAATGCATACCAAAACCATCCTCAGCATCTTCATTAATGGAATATGTTCTTCAAAAAAATCAAGAAAAAGCTGAACGCGTCGAGCACCCAGTTGATGCTTTTTTTAATGGTATTGCACCCACACTATAGAATTTGAATCAATATTACTTAAATTTGGCTAAGACTGAAATATTTACTACTGTGCAAAAATATGAGATGAAGATGATGACAGAGCAAAATGTACCATTATATCCAAGAGATATTGCAACTGAACCAACAAATACAAATCTCACATCGCAATCTATTCTTGACTCTACTGGATTGGCTAATATAGTAGATCCCACACAATCATACCTTCAGCATAGTGATGTGCAGCAATTTGTTATGAACTATACAGTTAACGAATGATAATGCTCTAGAACTTAACAAAGTGTTAAAAGTATAATGTGTTTATGTGCCACATACGAAGTAATAAAACTGATTTAAATACATATTTTCAGAATTTTAATTAAAAAGTTATCCTTAACATACCTGTCAGTGGATGGATACATCTGCACTGCAAAAAATGTGTTCACTGATATGTTGTCGACTGTTCCAACCTCCAAAAAGGTAAAAATAAAGTTAATAAAATCTGGTTTACCTACCTTAGACAAATTGCTAGCCGCTCTCTAGGAGATATAGCTTTCCTCCAACGAGTATCTTTCTTTACTAATTTATTTCCTAGCTTCTGAAGGAGTATATTAAAACAGCTTTCCGACATTTTAAAATATTCAAAACACTTTCTTTCGTCTTTAATTAATTCTTTGTATAATGTCACGAATTCTCCTTCAGATTCTCTTAACTTCCATGCTTCATGTACATATTTTCTTTTTTTCCTCGATTCTCTTCTTCTTCTTCGTCTAAAGTAATGACTATTATAGCTAATTCTGTATTATTGAAAAGTGCCATCAAAACAATCGACGTCAACGCTAGTCTGAAGGGAACGTCGTGCACGAAGACCCGCAGAGAACTGTACTGTGCCTGATATGTGTGAATTGAAGCACTGACGCACCACTGTAGCACGGATACGGAACTGTAACGGTACTGTGCCAGAACTGTGGGCTCACTGATATGTGTGAATCAACCTTAAGTGTATGTTGATGCTTACGATATTGAACAACTTTTCATTAAGTATCTTTAACAGTAAGATTTCATTAGTAAATAGGTTCGAACAGTTTTCTACGAAACATAACAAAATGACCAGCCGCCATTTTGATTATTATTTTTCATTCAGTCGCGGCATACGGTAGTGTACCTAATCTAATTAATAGTCTGCCCTAATTATCCTTGGAGTAGGCCGGTATAGGCTAAATAAATATATACATCAATAAATTAATGAATAGTTAAATCAACTTGAGAACTGTAAATTTGAATACAATTTATTATACCTAATTCATTTCAATAGTCATTGTTTTTATAATTATGGCTTACGTTACCTCCAAATATCTCGCCAACGTTACACTTTAAAGCACCCTATCTCTAGGCATCTTTTTTGTTTGTTTATATGTGTCCTCTACCTAAGGAGGCCAGTTTCATTGTGCACCGCAAAGTCGCTATGCTAAAAGCTTTCTCCTTTTCTTGCTTAAGTAAAAGATATAACTTTGTTTATAGATAATTCCGACAAGTGCTGCAGAACGACAACGACGATATCGCGAAGAGATAAAGATATCAAAACAAAGAAAAGTGTCATCCACATCGCAGATGGCAATTCAAAATTCTCAACAAAACACAAAAAATATCACAGATACACAAATCATGTATAATTTGCAACGACAAATACAGTATAAATTTAAAAAAGAAAATATTCAATTACAACGAAAAATAAACACCATAGTGAAATTGGTTTCTAAATCTACAAAAAATAGTTCAAAGACGACAGAATAATTTAATTGATAGTATGAAGTAGCAGTGAGTGATACGAATCGTATATAGTTTTTGAAACTATATATTGTATATCTATTTATCGGTATCTGTAGTAACTATATACCGAGCAAATCACTATATCCAAACTGATTCGAACAACATCTAGCGATTCAGCGATGCGACGAATATACGATATTTGCGATATACTGTTGCGCTTGAAGTTGATACAGATTCACATTTCACACGATTCACACGATTCAAACCGAGTCGGAGTGAAAGAGCGCGCGCGAGTTACAAGCAAAATGGATGAATGAAGTGAAATATTTAGTTAAGCACGCTGCCATTCAATTCTGAACTTTATAATTCTACAGTAGAGTATAAAATAGTGTTGTTTATTAGCAATTTTGGTAAGACTGGACTATTAATAACTGCATGGTACAATAATCGACTTTATATGTACGAAGTAATGACATAATATCGATAATATTATATTCTAAATGTTTTACTAAACTTTAGGCCTGAGAAAAATGAAATTACAAGTGCATTTTTGTGTTAAATCTTTTTCAAGTATAATATATGTCTTTTTGAGAAATAAACTATTATTTTTATTAGTTTTAGAGTTCCATAGTTAAAAACGGGTTCCCCGTATACACCATGTCCGTCTGTCTGTCTGTCCGCAGCTCAAAGACTCTTAGTACTAGAAAGCTATAATTTGGCATGGATACTTATTAGTTTTTGGCTTATTAGATAGTTTGGCTGGATACACATTAGTAAAATAAAATCTTGAAAAAAAAAACGTTTTAGGGTGCCCGTAAAGTTCTATACGTAAAGCTGGGACGTTTTTTTATCGTTTACCATATGATGTGGGGTATCGTTGTATAGGTCTTTTAAAAATATTGTGGATTTGTAAAAACAATTTGCCTGCCAGCTAAATGGTTATTTTTGGATATGTAAAAAAATTCACCGCAATAGTATATATAACGACGTTAAAAGGAGAACTGTCACAGCTAAGTAGGCTTTACAAGCTTAACCAACTTATAAGATGTACTTGGAAAAGTAAAAATTTCGTACAAATTCAATTGAAAATTACTTAGATAGCTTTTTTAGTAGTGTAAAACAGGTAAGTAAATATAATTTTATGAACCATGTAAGTATAGTACCAGTATGAAACAACAAAGAACCCTTTTCTTAGTCCGCATTATTGTGATGGGCAACTACGGAACCCTACATTGCGCGTGAGCTGACACGCACTTGGCCATTTTTTATAAGGTGATGAATAGAATTTCTTCTTTCGTTTTGTTTTAGTTTCGAGTGCAATTGCAACTAGAGTATTGTTAGCTGTTGTTTATTGGTTTTGTGATATATACATATTTTTGATCAAAGAAAATGTTTGATTAATAGCGAGCAAATAGACCTGTAACAGTTCAAATAGTGTATATTACAGCGTTAGGGAAGATTTTAATATAAAATGTGTAAATAAAGTGTAAATAACTCTCTGTGTTCGGTTTAAAGTGTATTATTAAGTTAGAGAGTTAGTAGGTATTTATGTTAGTAAATATAGTAAATTAAAAACTTTAAATATGTCTCGTATCAATAGCAGTATTTTGTGGGACTATTTTGACAAAATAAATGTCGCTGAAAAAAAAAGCAAAGTGTACAATTTGTGGCGATATATAGCTACAAAGGGACAATCGGCAATTTAAAGGCGCATCTAAAAAAAAGACATTTTGATGCCTACACAAGAGTTACTACCGGACAGCAGGATCAAAGAATTGTGAATGCTGCTGTAACTACAACAGATCAAACTTATGCAATGAAATATGAAGTTGCGACAGCTATGGATGTAGTATGTTCACTGTCCTCACAACCAATACCTCAAGCCTGAACATCGACCGCAAGTTTAGCGAAACAACAAGCTATTGATAAATACACAACAAAAAAAATCGGGCGAACTCAAAAAAAATTGACAATGACTTGATGGACTTATTCATTGACAGTTACCAATAGTTTTCATTAGTCGAGGAAAGGGCATTAAAAAAATCTGTCGTTGGATTCCGGGCTATAAACTCCCGACAAGAAAAACAGTTTCCACTGTAATGCTGCCTGCCTTGTACTATACAACTAAAGAAACAATTTAAAGTGAATAAGAACAAATTACTATAGATAGTATATCTCTTACAGTAGATTTATGGACTTCGAGAGCCAATGAATCATATTTGGCCATGACAGATCATTGTATTTCTGATGATTTTCAGTTAAAGTCTATTTTACTCGATTGTTCTCATTTCGAAGACTCCCATAGTAGTGAAAACATCGAGACTGTTTTAATGGATATAGTGAATAAATGGTACTTGTCGAGGACGACCGACAACGCGCCTAACATGGTGAGAGCCATCCTTAACCTTGGCTGGAAACATTATGGATGTTTCGGGCATACTCTAAATTTAGTTGTGCAAAATAGCTTAACAACCAATGCACATACACTGCAGACTACAGTAGAAAAAGTTAAGAGGATTGTGCGCTTTTTCAAAACCAGCAGCACTGCGTTAGAAAAATTGCTTAAGGCTCAAAGAGACGACCAGCCTAATAGCGTGCCTAAGCGATTAATTCAAGAAGTGCCTACGCGCTGGAACTCTTGCTTTCTAATGCTACAGCGTTTTATAGAACTGGAACAATAAATCAGGTCTACAGTTAAATAAAACTATCTTTTCGGATTATTTCGCGGATTTATTTTGATTTTTGGTTCCCGACGTTTCGAATGCTTTACAACATCCATGGTCACGGGAGAGACTGAGGTGTTACATGTCTTAAAGATATAGTTGTTACAGACAGCCTACCCACAATTAACAAAATGAAAATTGCACCAATTACATTACAATATTTTTAACTTTAAACATTTTTTATAATTTTAATTATAATTGAATATGGAAAATTATTTATTTAATTTTTGCTATTATTTTTATAATTATTACAATTTTAAAAATATTAATTAGTAATCTATATTTAGTGTTGCCATTATTATATTTATAACCATAAATAAAAATATAAAAATATAGTATTAATTATTAAAGCCATATAATTGTTCTATGTGTAATTTAAAAAGTTAAAATTAATTACGGCTAATCATTTTAATTTAGTTTGCTATTATTTAAAAAACAACTTACTAAGCAACACTATTAATATATACTTTTACAAATGAAAAATATTAATCTGATAAGCTGTCATTTTGATCTACACAGTATGAACTTACTACATCTGCCTGTCTGTTATGTTTATATTTATTATTTGATTTTATTATATTAATAACAGGATCCCATGACGATGGTGGATCCCATGACGATGGTGGATCCTGTTATTAATATAATAAAATCAAATAATAAATATAAACATAACAGACAGGCAGATGTAGTAAGTTCATACTGTGTAGATCAAAATGACAGCTTATCAGATTAATATTTTTCATTTGTAAAAGTATATATTAATAGTGTTGCTTAGTAAGTTGTTTTTTAAATAATAGCAAACTAAATTAAAATGATTAGCCGTAATTAATTTTAACTTTTTAAATTACACATAGAACAATTATATGGCTTTAATAATTAATACTATATTTTTATATTTTTATTTATGGTTATAAATATAATAATGGCAACACTAAATATAGATTACTAATTAATATTTTTAAAATTGTAATAATTATAAAAATAATAGCAAAAATTAAATAAATAATTTTCCATATTCAATTATAATTAAAATTATAAAAAATGTTTAAAGTTAAAAATATTGTAATGTAATTGGTGCAATTTTCATTTTGTTAATTGTGGGTAGGCTGTCTGTAACAACTATATCTTTAAGACATGTAACACCTCAGTCTCTCCCGTGACCATGGATGCTGTAAAGCATTCGAAACGTCGGGAACCAAAAATCAAAATAAATCCGCGAAATAATCCGAAAAGATAGTTTTATTTAATAATGTCAAACATTCGCGTAAATCTAAGAAAGTATTAGGTCTACAGTTGCAATAATTAGAAAAGATTTACCCTGTATAAATGACGAAGATTGGTTGTTCCTAGGTGAGGTTGTAAAAATATTAAAACCGTTTAATGATGTAACCGAATCAATGAGCGGCGAAAAGTACATGACTGTCCACCCTCAATCATAGTAATGACCCGGTGCTTGATAACAGCATGTGATAAACTGTTAGAGGTAAATTTTTCGGAAGCTTCCAAGACTGTAATATTTAATTTAAAAACAGGATTAATAATCAGATTTCCCAACGTAGAAAGAATGTGCCGCACATTTTCAGTCTGCACAATCGTTGACCCAAGGTATAAACTGTCAGTGTTTGCTGATACAAACGAGGCTAAAAATACAAAAGGACGCGTACAAGATCTTTTAGTGGCTATGATAGCTGAAGAAAATGCACAACAGTCGCCACTAGCCGCTCCAACTGAAGTCAAAGCTACTGACACATTTTCACCGTGGGCCATACTAAACGCAATTGTGGGGCAAAAACGAAGCGTCGGGACTCCTTTGTCGAAAGCAATTAAAGAAATTGATACATACCTAAATGATGAGAACTTTACCATTTTCACGGGCAATACATGGAATTGCCCTCTCGAGTGGTGGCGCGAACATAGATGTACTTATCCATTTTTAGGAAAATCATTTAAAAAATACGGCAATATTATGGCCACTTCCGTTCCCTGCGAAAGGATATTTAGCAAAACGGGTTTAATAATAAATAAGAAGGGAGACTAAGGGAGGGAGTGGCGCTGAATGACTTGTTACTCGGGGGTCCAGATCTCCTAGTCACTACCAGGTGTCGTCATGAGATTTCGACAGCATGCCATCGCAGTCACGGCAGACATCACAGATTTATAAACTAAAGGGAAATATGCTAAGGAAGCGTGGAGCGTGCGAATGCAATATGCACAAAACAGAAACAATTGCAGGCGCCGTTAATCAGTCGTGAATACGATTTCGCACGGAGTTCATCACATGTTTTTGCGAAAATGCCAAGTTGTTTGGTGGTTATTTGCAAAAATCGAAGTGTCACAAAAAACTACAAGTCAAATGGAATCACATATCATCGGTAAGTACTCAGTTTTAAGCTTTATTCTAGCAAATATCATGAAATAAAATTTTACTTACGATAGAATCCACAAAACTCTAAAAAAGATGTCAATGCTATCACTTCGAGTTTACACTCATACATTGCCGTTCAAGCACGTAGGACTAAAATTCAAAGCAATACTAAAGTAGCGACGTAAGTAATGCTAAACAACGCGTTCAAGTTTTTATTGTTACTTGGTACGCACGCTGCTTGGTGCCGTGAGTTAGTGTTGTTACCGTTGCGGACACATGTCGATATTTTTTTAGAATTTTAGAATGTAAATGAACTAATCTGAAAAGAGTAAATTTGTTTGAATTAATATGTAGGGATGTGCAAATCTTGTAACTTTATTTCACTGTGGATTAAAGGTCTTTGATTAAATTTTTGTAAAGAGCATAATATCCACCTTTGTTTCAAGAAAAAATTACAATATTATTTTTAAGTGTTATCTTAAAAAGAAAATTGTCACGTTTTGGCAGGAAACTCGTGCCAATTATGTATGAGAACCCATATAACAATATATTTAATTTTTCCTTTACTCTGATTTAATTTTTTTCGTATTTTTAAGGTTTCCTCGAGAACCTGAACAAAAAACTAAATGGATAACAGCAACAGGAAGAGGTCCTGATTATTGGCCAATAACGTCCAGTGTAATTTGTTCGCAACACTTCGAAGAAAAATGTTTTCAACATACAAAAAAAAGTCGCAGGCTTTTTGAATGGGATGTACCTACACTACGGTTACGCCATGTGTTCGTATCTTATCCCTGCACGTCTTCTGAGGTATCTTATTAAATTCTTATGTTAAATTTTGTAAAGAATGTCAAATCAAATCAAATATTATTTTAGTGAGCAATTTATTTTCGGTAATTCACATATTAATCGTATATTTTCTTCATCATCCAAATTATGCTGGCGTTTTACCAAGTGACAGATTGTATAAATAAACAAAACAATATCTTTTTATTTACTGGATAATATTTTGTGAGTAGTTTTATAATTAATCAAATGATAAAACCTTCAGAAAGACTTCAAAGAATCTATTCCTGTGGAAATAGACAATATTTCTGAGCAGAGTCATGGCAATGAAAGTAGTGAAGGACTCCATGATGAACAAGAAAAGGTTTGTTAGTTATATCGTTATTCCATTTTCGTTTAGTTTTTTTCATTATTTTCTGTCGTAAATTATTTTAGAGAACAAAACTAACAATAAAGAATAAATGAACATACTGTACTTGGCCGTAAGACTATAGAAAACTGAAATGTCTGTTTATTTTATTTTAGATGAAACTTAAGGTATTTAGAGGTGATGAAAATAATTTTTCCAAATCCGTTTAGCCTCAGCATCAGGCACAGCAGAATCAAATTAACGGCCATGATAATCTTGAGCAGGTATAGTAATTAAGTTTATACATTTTTACCAGTAAATGCAATGCAAATTTTCAAACGGGTAATTTATTGCACATTTGCAAACACATAAACTTATTGCCGTCGTGTTATAAACACGATATTTATGCACGAGTGACGAAGATCAGGAGATTATTATTTTTGGATGAAATTGGAAAAGAATATCGAACTGAGTTAATTTTATTATAAATAAATTATTAATATTATTAATATATTTTGATTAATGAATTTATATTTTACAGGGCACGTCGGACCTTTACAATTTCAATACTGATATTGAAGATACACCCCGTAAACGAAAACTAAAACTTGAGTTGGGACGTTGTGTAAATCAAATACAGAAGCAAAATAAACAAATTAAACGCCTTCAAAGGAAGACTAGCCGGTATCAGAAGAAAATAGCAAAACTGAAAGATATTGTGAAAGAATTGCAACAAAAAAATTACGTCAACAGTGACCAAGCATCACATTTGGAAAATCTTGGAGTAGACGATTTGATTTGGCGGTATAATGATAACGTTTCAAGTGAAAAAACTTGTAGAGCTCGTTATTCTCCTGGATTCCGAACATTTGCGTGCACATAACACTTTTATTCCCCGAAAGCGTACGAGTATGTTAGAAAGAAATTTCAAACATGCTTGCCTCATGTGCGGACCATAAAAAAATGGTATCAGTCAATTGACGCACAACCAGGATTCACGCAAGAGTCTTTTGAAGCCATCAAGCTCAAAGTTAAAAGTAGTGGTCACCAATTACTATGCAATGTCGTTTTAGACGAAATGGCTATAAAACAACGCGTCGAATGGAATGGCAAACAAATGCATGGATATGTTGATATTTGTAATTGTAAAAACATGGAGACGATTTACCGGAAGCCAAAGAAGCGTTGGTATTTTTGGTAACAGCCATCAATGGTACCTGGAAAATACCAGTTGGGTATTTTTTGGTTGATGGCGTAACTGGAGAACAACGAGCAAACCTTGTACTGCAGTGTCTAGAAATGTTGCACGACACTGGTGCACAAGCTACATCTTTGACTTTTGATGGGTGTCCTGCAAATATTACCATGGCAAAGGAATTAGGATGTTCCTTTGACCCAGAGGATCTTAAAACGCATTTCAAGCATCCTAAAACCCAACAACCAGTTTTCATTTTTCCGGATTCTTGCCATATGCTTAAACTCCTGCGAAATACATTTGAAGCAAAAAATATCTTTCTGGATGAAAATAATAAAGAAATCAACTGGAGTCATCTTAAAAAACTTAACCAAATTCAGGAAGAAGAAAAACTTCATTTGGCAAATAAATTACGAAAAGGCCACATATATTTTAAAAATCAAAAGATGAAAGTACGTTTGGCATCGCAGCTATTTAGCAATAGCGTTGCAGATGCTTTAATTTTATGTTCTCAGCTCAACATTCGAGAATTTGAAAAAGTTGAAGGAATGGTCAAATTCCTAAAAATTGTAAACAATTTATTCGATGTGTTTAATTCACGCCATATGGCCCAATTGCAATTTAAAAAACCACTTTGTGCTTTCAACAAAGACAAGTTCTTCGAGTTTTTGACCGAAACTGCAACTTACTCAATTTAAAATTTGCTGATGGAACACAAGTCACAAAATCTAACAGAAAAACTGGATTTGTTGGATTTTTGGCGTGTATTCAAAGTTTAAAACTTTTGTATACAAAATTAATTGAAGAAGAAAAAGTCTTAAAATATTTCCCGACATACAAAATCAGTCAGGATCACCTGGAGCTTTTATTTGGCCACATAAGAGCTCACGGTGGATGCAACACGAACCCGACTGCTCGCCAATTTAGAGCTATCTATAAGAAGCTTTTAGTCAAATCAGAACTTAGAGACTTCGAAAATGGCAACTGTACATCTATTGAAAAAATAAGTCTTCTAACATGTTGATCAGCAGTGCAAAACATCAATATCACTGTGGATCCAAGACTTCAAGATGAAGACAATGATAAAGATGAAATGAGTTTGTTGTACGAAATAGCCCAGTTTGAAGAAGTGGCTACTTTAGTTCAAGATTTGTCTGAATTTTCTTTGCAAGCCATAACTTATATCGCGGGTTTTGTTGTTCATGCACTTATAAAATCACTAAAATGCGATACATGCAGTGGAGTTTTAATAGCAAGCGACAAAGATAATAAAGATTACGAGTTTATAAAAATAAAAGATAAAGGTGGACTGATATACCCTTCCGAGGATGTTATCCGCATTTGTAAATATACTGAAGCCGCAATCAAAGCCACAATCATCAGTGGTAACAGACTCATAATAAATGATAAAAATATTTCCAGTAAATTGATATCAAAAGTTATGAATCAGTTTATTGGTGTCGAGTTGTTTAAAGACATTGATTTTCACCAATATGAGCAGTCACCGTTAAACAACCATGTTGTCTTGCTAACTAAATCAGTAATTGAAAAGTATTTAAAAATTAGATTGCATTTTTTAACTAAACATGCGCAGCCAAAGCTTTCAAAACGCCAACTTCTAAATAAGTACCTACACTTTAGTGGTCAATAATTATGCCATATATTGTGATTTTATTTGTTAGTAATAAAAAACTTAAAACCTAATAGTGTATCTCTAATTATTAAAGAAACATTATTCAAGCAAAACCCTTTTTCTAAGCCATACCTTAATATAAAACTATATTTCTACAGTTAAACATCATATAATTTTGTGCATTGAGTTCATTTCCTTTTAACATTATTTAAACAAAATAAGTATTATAATATTTTTTACATACCCATCCCATTAGCTCTCTTAAAAAAAGCTTTCTATAATAATAATAAATCATTTTTAAATACTTAGCATGTCTTATTATTTATATTTTTATGATCACAAGATACAGTACATTCAGGCAAATAAATGATGATTGAATAAATAAATAAAACCTTTTCATTGATTTATGTAAATCCCTACTGCCAAATAATTTATTACATTTTAGTCTATAGTTCGACTAAAATGTAATAAATTACTTGGAATGATTATTTGATGAAAATTAAATATTTTATACTATCGACAACTCTTTATCGACAAGGAAATCCCTATATCGAGACGTCAAATTTGTCAATGTAGTTGTGTGTCCTTACGTTGTCGTTTGCTGTTACGCGATTGGCCCGCGTTGCATGTGTTTATTGTAATAATGTGAGTGAGCGCGTGTTCGTAGTGTGGTGCATATGTAGTTGTGATTTTCGAAGGCGACTGCCGGACTCAAACAACTAGGCAGTGACACCATATCTCCCTTTAGTTTATAAATCTGTGGCAGACATCAAGGAGATGTTTATGCAAGTCAAGCTCAGAACAGAAGACCGAGATGCTCTTCGGTATCTTTGGCGCAAAGACCGGCGAGATGATCAGCCTCCAGAAGAATACAGAATGACGTCGCTCATCTTCGGAGCATCAAGCTCACCATCAACAGCTATCTACGTCAAGAATTTGAATGCGAAGAGGTTCGAGAAAACTCATCCGGAAGCCGCACCCGCGATCATCAACAAACAATACGCTGATAATTACTTGGATAGTTTCAAGAATATAGAAGACGCAAAACGCATCACCAAAGACGTCAGAGAAATCCATAGTCAAGCTTGCTTCGAACTCAAACAGTGGAAGTCCAACTCGTCCCAACTGCTGGAAGCTCTTGGAGAAAGGAGCCCACAGAAGATATGGAACTCTACATGTCCGATAAGAAAACAGAAAGAGTACTGGGACTTATCTGGAAACCAAATATAGACGAGTTCACCTTCAATCTCAACATGGCAAGAATCCCACCGTCACATAGAAGACAAGAGGCCAACGAAGAGAGAAGCCCTCAGAATAGTCATGTTCCTCTTCCATCCGCTGGGCTTCGTGTCACCCATTACAGTTCGAGCGAAACAGATCCTGCAAGAAGTATGGCGCCGGGGAACACCATGAAACAGCGAGATTGATGACGACCTCGCAGAACAGTGGCGTAACTGGACAACGCACCTGAACAGATTATGTGACGTGACAATACCTACACTACAGCGACGCAATTTCACTACAGCTACATGTCTTCACTGTCGCAAGTGAATCGGCCTACACCATCGTGTTATATTGGAGGGCAACAGCTACAAACGGCGAAGTCGATGTTTCGCTAATAATCGCCAAAGCGAGCGTGGCACCATTGAAGCTCACTTCAATTGCAAGACTGGAACTGCAAGCAGCCGTTATGGGTTCGCGTCTAGCAAAAGTCGTCATGGAAAATCACGAGAGAAAACCAGACTCCACTACATTTTGGACAGACAGCAAGACAGTTCTCCCCTGGATCAGGACAGGCTCACGTTCATACAAACCATACATGGCCCATCGTCTTGCAGGTAGAGAAGAGAACTCAACAGTAAACGAGTGGCGCTGGATTCCAACTAAACAGAACGTAGCCGACGACGCGACGAGAGACGTCCCAACAGCCTTTAGCAAAACCCATCGATGGTTCACGGACCCAGACTTCCTCTACCAATCTGATGACTCATGGCCAACAGAAACACCAGCATCAATGGAACTTGCAGTCACCGAACAGACAGGCGAAGAAAGGATCCACCACATAGCCACCGATAGAGAACAGAAGTTATCCGAAGCTCTTACCCCGATCCACTTCTTCCTCGGGTGGCCCGCGCGAGAACCAGTTCCAGGGAATTTCAACGACCGAGACATCATCTCCCGGTCCAGCTGGCGCCCCGCACAACGGCTCGCCGACATATTCTGGGCGAGATGGATGCGCGAATACCTCCCGGATCTTCAAAACCGGCGGGAGCCGCACTATTAGAGGGTGCATCTACTCCAGAATTAACTCCAGAACGGGACCCATACAGTGATGATGGCGAATATGGATCGGATCAAGAATTTCAACCTAATTATGATGATATGTCGAGCTCAGATGTGGAGTCTACAGAAACAAGGAAAATTGCAAGAAATATGATGAGAACAGAGTTCAGCGGATCTAGTGATACTCTAGTGTCAGATGATGAAGTAGAGGTAAGAATCCACTCAACTTCAACTGTCCCTGTGAAGCAGCCGTGCACTTCAGATCAAATTATAAACACAACTAACGACGATATAGGGGATGATAATGCCAGGGCAAACAGCCCATCTATACTAGTGTGCCATGAACAATTCGATGATGCATCTGATGTACACGAAATATCGTGTGAAAATTCTCAAAATGACACTGACGAGTGGGTGGACGTTACCGCCGAGATCCCTCTTTTTCATTTTGATTATGCATCTGAAGGACTCAAAGTAGAAATACCTGATAATGCTCAACCTTTACATATTTTCAAATTAATATTTTCTAACGATCTTTTGGATTTTGTTATGTCTAGAACAAATGCTTACGGAAATAATTTGACGAATACAACCAGACCTCATACTCGACATAGTAGAAAATGTTCTTTCCGCGATGTAACCAAAGAAGAAATGTTAGCTTTCTTGGGGCTTTGTTTATTACAAGGCCAAATTAAAATTTCAAAGAGGCGAAAACTCTTCTCATATTCCGATCCTTTGAATTTCCACCCGATATTTTCTTATGTGATGTCATCTAGAAGATTTGATCAAATATTACGAGCCATTTATGTATCAGATATTGAGGCAAAAAGCGAGAAGAAGATAACTGGTTTTATTGAAGCTCTATCTGAGAACTTTCTCCACCCAAGACTTTCGTCGTGTATATGGTCCTGGCAAAGAATTATCGTTAGATGAATCTCTAGTTTTATACAGGGGTAGACTATATTTCAGGCAGTACATAAAATCTAAGAAGGCCCGTTACGGTATAAAATTTTATGTCCTAACCAGTGCAGCAGGATATGTTCTGAATATTATTATGTATTGTGGTAAGGGCGAAGATGATAATACGTATGGGAAGAAAACCGAACAAATAGTTATGAAACTGCTGAAACCATACTTGATGAAAGGTCATCACGTATTCATGGATAATTTTTATAATGATGTCGAATTGAGTCAGAAATTACTAGAGTTGCGTACCCACACCAATGGCACACTTCGTAAAAACAGAAAGACAAACCCTAAGGGGCTGACACAGATAAAACTAAAAAAGGGTGATTTTTTTTGGTGTCGTAAAGAGCAAGTTTACGTATCAGCGTGGTATGACAAGCGTCCAATTTACGTTATAACTACCAGACATCATCCTAAGCTAATAAATGTTTCAAACCGATTTGGAAAAATTTCACAAAAGCCTGAAGAGGTTTCAGAATACAATAAATATATGGGAGGAATAGATAGGAAAGACCAAATGGTTGCATATTACTCCTCGCCACAGAAAACAATTCGATGGTATAAGAAAGTATTCTTTCATCTCTTAGATATATCTGTTTGGAATTCTTTCTTTGTCTACAAAAAATACTTTAAAAACGATGTAAAATACGAATTTCTGGACTATCGCGAAGATTTAATAAAACAAATGATAAACTTAGAGAGTGGTTGTTCTGGTAGAAACATTATAAGAACTGGTAGCATATATTCCAGTCGACGAACTGCAGTTAGAGCTCCAAAAAAGGTACTTCAACAGGAAAATTTGGTAAGCATTAGTAAGGATCACTGGCCTGAAGATTTTCCGTGCTCAACTGATTCCAAGAGGAATTTTAAATATTTGAACTGTAGCCTCTGCACTAAAAAGAAAAAACGCAAAGAGATAAGATACAGGTGCAAGGGATGCAGAGAAAAAACTCCCTTATGCCCTTCATGTTTTGAGGAATGGCACGCCAAATATGTCAAGAGAGGAGATAGATAAAATGAAGCTATTATACTAAGAAAATGTTGATTAATACACATATTTTTTAATTTTTAAAGAAATATTTTTTTTGTATTTAAAATAATAAGAACTGGAGTAAGTTCTTACTAATTAATAGGCTGTGATTGATTATAATAGATATTTCTGTTTTATTTTATTTAAAATAATTAAGAACTGGAGTAAGTTCCTACTAATTAACAGGCTGTAATTGATTTTATAATAAATATTTCCTACGAATGCTGACTTTTATTTTTAAACAGCTATAGCCGTACTGTTATCATGCAATGCATATTTCCATATATTACACGGCAGTACGGCCTTAGCAGTATTACGGCTAAGGCCGTACTGCCTTCAGGAATACCTTTTATATTGTGTTATGACAGTACGGTTATAACAGTGTCCCTAAAATGTATAGAAAATTTTAGTGATTTTTTACGAAACTATCAGTTAAATTACCGGCCACGAACGTGTTAATTACCTTTGCGGTATTTTTTTTTCACCAAACATTTGTCAACAAAAAACTATGCTTAAAATTAAGGGTGGCCCGATTTTTTTGCACGCCAGTGTATTTCATTTTCTAAAAAAGAGGGCCTTCTCAGCCAGTGTTACCTTATTGTATATATTTTTTATAGATGTATACTTTTTTCTCTTTAGTGTCACTATTTTTGATTAACAAATCTGGACATAACTTGCTTGATTTTTCCTAGATCAACCCTTTGAGAGCTTTCAAGCTTTATGAAAATTTCACAATAAAACACTGTTTATCATTCATCTAAATTCTTCTGAATCTGGAATTTCATTTAATAGCTTCAAAATATCCCGTCTAGCGCAATCTGCGTCTAACTTTCTCATATGGTTCAGTCGTTCAGTTACATGCTTTCCAAAAAACCAATATTGATGAGTTTCATAGTTATTTACTATTGGATTCATTGCTTTTATCAAATCATTCAAAATTTGTTTACAATTATCCTTATCCTTTTTTCTTGCCTTTCTACGAGGTCTATCTGTTCTTTGACCGCGTTGTCTAATACCTAACTCTATATCGAATTCAGTTGACCTTTCTTCCTTTATATCTACATCTGGTAAAATATCATTGTAGCTTGTTTTAGCATATTCCTACAAAAAAAAACAATTTTAAAGTTTAATATTATTGTTTTACTAGCGACTTACCCTCGCTTCACTCAGGTGTGTCCCTGGGTATTTTTTTAAATAAAAGTAACCTTTTTATAACATCAGCTATCTGCCAGTGAAAGTCTCGTTAAAATCGGTCCAGCCGTTTCGGAGATAAACCAGAACAAAGAGATAGACAAACAATATTTTTGAAATTTGTGTTAATCTTATAAGTACCATATATAATTTCATATGTATTTAGTAAAAAAGCTATTATTATGACATTATAAAGAGAATTTCATTTTATTTAACTGTATAAATCTCGGCAAATACTTTTTAGTGTAGGATATATGTAGATGTTGAAGTGAAACATGGGGAAAGTAAATTAGCTAATGTATTTATATGATATCAATAGAATCTCGAGCATCATCTTTGTATTTACTTAAGACTGATTAAAATACAATACATAGTAATTTTATCTAGTTAGAGTTTCATTTAATTATGTGCAGTTTACAAATAAGATTAGAATAAGATTACAAATAAGATATCGTTATAGATAGATTTTTTCTGAAAATTTGTATTTAAAAACATACAAAAGAATTATTAAAATCAGTGCACAATAGATTTAAACTTTAGATAATATTATATATACTAAACATAAACTTAGTGGAGCCTAGATAATTTTTGAAGTTTATTACAATAAAAAAAGATATACAAACTAAAAAATCTGTGGAAATAATATGTAAATATCAATAAAATATAATAATTAACTATTCTAATATTATAAAGATAAAAAATTAGTTTTTTTTGTTTGTTTGTGTGTTTGTATTGAATAGGCTTCTAAGCTACTGAACCAATTTAGATGAAACTTGGTAAGAAGATATTTTTAGACCCTGTGAAGGACATCGGATAGTTTTATTTCAAAAATCATCCTTTAAGGGTGTGAAAATGGGGAATTGTATGAGGAAGCAATCTAGGGAAGAACCCGAGCAAAGTGAGGGTGAGTCCCTAGTAGAAAATAAAATATATTGAGAATTCTGTTGTATTTTTAAGATAGATAATATTATCTCCAAAATGCTATCACACAAATTTCAAAGATATGTTTCCTCTTCATATAGAAATAAACCTTGAAACCCATCTCTAATAACTAGATACAGAACTAAAACAATCATATAATTTATGAAGCACTTTATAATACTTACTTCAAAATTAATACCGTTTTCCTTTGTAGTACCAGCCTCTTTAAGAAATTGCAGTGGTTTCCATAGCGGCCAACATGGTACATATAAATCAGATGCTGACTTAGCTGTTTCTTTCGATTTATCAATTCTCCTTAAATTGTGATTAAAAGTGCTCCGAATATTTACCCATCTATCTCTCACAGAGCGAGCTGAAATATTTTTATATATTTACGAAACTGTCTAAGAGAAACTACCTAATTGTTGTATATTTTAGTTTTTGTGTCATGTCACGTGGAAGAGATGACGTTATTGATGCCTTTTTTACCTACCTACTGTTTATACCCACACAAGGCCGTTAGATTTAATAATTTGAAATTAGTAGGTATTTATAAGAACCTGAACGTTATTAATATAATATACGAAAAAAACCTACACTAAAAGTTTATAATAAATACCTGTAAATCCACGTCCCAATCTCGCTGCAAATTCAGCATAAGCTTTATATTTTTGCTGAATATGATGGTTGGTGTTCCCAATTGGCTTCCATATAAATTCTCTTTGACGAACAAAATCTACCAATTCTAATTCTAATTTGCGAGTCCAGTAGCAAGTTTTTCTTGGCATTATATTATCATTTATCGTTCAGTTGTAATTGATATTTAAATAATCAACTGAAAAATTACCTCACGACTCACGTTCGTCTTCGTTATTACATAGACATAGACCAGTTTATAAATATACTCTTTGGACATAGAATACAAATAATAAATATAATTATATAATATAATATTCCACAGTCCATGGTAGCGTCACAGCGTATGCCAAATCGATTATCAATAGTCGTTTAATCGATTATTAAAATAATCGATCGCAATCGATTATAATTTGAATTTATATAATGATCGATTAAAAAAAAACAATCTAAAAAAATGATTTTATTGGTCGTGGTTTAGTATGACAACCATGTCATTATAAAACAGAGATTCTCTCAATTTTTATTTATATGATTTTTTATTTATATTTTTATTATTATTATAGGTAATTTTACACACCGACATTTTAAACTCGCGAAATTAAAAAAGTTCATTAGGGTAAAAATATCTTGTCTTTTTGCACGAAAATTAGAATCAACTACCTTCATACAACATAATCGACTTTAATCGATCAATAACAGGTTAATTATCGATTTCCGTTAAACGCATTACCAGTTTATTTATCGATTATTTATCGATTTCTGTTATACGCATAATCGGTTTAGCTTTAAGATAACAAATAAGAAATATATTTGTTTTTTTTTTTAAATTTATCCCTTAAAGGCGTAAAAGGGGATAGTAAAGTTTGTATGGGCAAAGAAATTATTTATGATCAGAATTATTTCAAACTTAGGAACGTACGTACGTAGGAACAAATGATATCCATTTTCTTTGCACTGCGCTTTACAATTTGTCATTTTAATTAATTTTAAATAAAATGAAGAAAATCCATCCACGTTATAGTTTTACAATACACTGAGGGCTATAGTGATGGTGACATCTCGCGGGAGAAAAAGCAAAATTCTTCCCCAACATTTTGTTGTAATTTCTTTATACGAGGTAGTTCTGACTATAAATGTAAGATGTCACTGTTGAGTATTTCATATTGTTTTAAATGGAAAATTTCATAATAAGTATGTATCATACTTATAAGCCATAATTAAGGTTGTAAACTATGTACAATATTAAAATTAAAAAAATCCTCATATTTAAAAAAGACAATTTTGTTCCACAAACGCTGTGGACTGGACAGTGGACATACAATTCCTAATCCTAAGAAAGTTATAATAAACTAGCAACTCACCCTCGCTCCGCTCGGGTTCGTTCCTGGTTAGGTTTTATCGTTTAGTATAGACTTCTCAGAGATGAGATAATTTCACGCAGTAAAATGTACCCAGTAGTATATGCTGACCCAGATAACCAACACCACAAACAGAAATTCTAAAAACTATAGATTCGCCCACTGTATCGATAATAATGTCTATTTCAATAAGATTTTCCAAAAAATATTGAATGTACAGGTTCGACTCAGAATTTATTATAAATGTATAGAAGTTATTATCTTATTTTCATTACTATTTTAAAATAACATCACAACTGCATTTTAACGAAACGGTAATGTGTCCGAAGCGCTTCGGAAGGGGATGTAATAAACCATCCGGTGGGTTTCGATAAGCTAATGTCAAGCTCAGCTGTTAATGCGACCATTACGGCATGCAAATTTTAATGTTGCTTCTACACATAAGTTTGCTCAACGCTCACACATTGTATCCATACTTGTAATAAAATTGTATTTAATAACGTTTGCGGTTTACGTTTATATATTATTGGGAAAATTCTATCAACTGTATGATATTAATAATATAATTATAGCTTGATGATTTACTTATATTTTAAGTCTGGGGAGAGTCTAGGAAAGCTTCCATTGACACGTCCTCTTCCGAGAAAATGTGTGCTAGATGTCTTTTATAGTCAGCAACTTCAGTACGGAAATAAATCGTAAATTCTGACTCGTTCATGGCTGATCCAAGGATTTCATCAGTGGTAGATATATTGTAGGATAACACTGAAAAAACTTCGAGATATTGTTATATTCAATAAATATTTTGTAAACATCAACTCGATATTTAAGATCGTAAATATATAATTATAGCTTGTATATCTTATCTTATTGTATATTGCATATTCCGTGAGGAAGCAACGGCTGAGAAGAGCCAGTTAGAAATGAAGTTTAATCTTTAATTAAGTTACAGTATAATACAATAATTACGAGTTAACTATTACCTATTATAATTTTAGGTGTTAAAATCAATTAATAAACTAATCACTAAAAGGTCTACAGTGTGAAACCGATATCTTTCATTTTCTCAAGATATCAAAATCCCGGCACTTTTTTTTAAATAAATTCTTGTCAGCTAAGGTAGCATAATCAAAAGTTTTATACAAATTAGTCAAATATTTTGGGGAGTTTATTACATTTATTTAAATCAATGAGACATGACAATATGTAAGTACATACTAATTTCATTAATTTCTAATATATTATTACATATGAAATTCTGCAAGCACTTTGTTTGAAATTACATTTAGTTGTAGAAACAATAATCCGCTTAGTACGAAATACGGTAAGTAGTATTACTAAACCAATTGAAATAAAACAACCATGTGTTGAATAAAATTATTAAATGTACAAAAAAAAATACAATTCTAAGAAATCAAATTGATTCCACTTCTTCTTTTTGACAAATTATATTAAAAAAAGATAAACAATTGACATTCTTCTTTATATTAGTAGAAATACAAAATCCGTATTAATATTATAAAAGTGAATTTTTGTGAGTATGGATGTTTGTTACTCTTTCACGCCAGAACGGCTGAACGGATCTGGATGAAATTTGGCACAGAGATAGATTATAGTCTGGAATACCTACTTTTACTAGGCTACTTTTTATCCCGGAAAAATATACAGTTCCCGTGGGATTGGTAACATAGGTTTGTTAAATAAACACAAATTTTTCAATTTGAAAATGTCATTGCGATCTTATAATCTATCGATTTAAATAAAATAATAGTTAAATTGTTATATTAAAGATATGAACGGTGATTTCAATTATTAAACGTTTAATAATAATAACTTGAATACCTTAAAAACCACAGAGTAAATATAATGGCTAACACACCGTGAACCTTTTTCGTATGTATGTATGTAGTGTACACTGTACACAACTACTAACTGACCTCGGAAGTCCGTCCGTAAAGTCACTGCAGTTTAGTATGTAAATGTTAAACTCGTTTTCTTGCTAATATATCATTTCGTTTTAAATTAAGATTATAAATAACATTTTCTTAATTATTTTGAGTTATACGTGGTCATGAGTAGACGGTAATTGAAGGAGGTACATCATTTTATCGGTTGGCAGTGGTTACAGACACTAAGTTCTTAGGTTTGAGCCACGGATTGGGCCAAGTTTAAATTTTTAAAACTGAATTTTTCTATTAAGAAATTCGGTGTGACACAACCTCATGTGCTCATAAAGCCGTCAGTCCTGTGCTTTAACTCTTACTGGTCGTTTCGAACTTTCGAACCCATCGGACTCGGAGAATAAAAAGGAATAGTGAATGAACTTGTGTGTGCGCTCACTTGTGCACTATAATATCTTCTGTCTCTAGCGAGTCTCAGTGAGATTGACCACCGTAGCTGAAATTGGTCAGAAGGACTTCGTTAATAATAAACTTTAAGGCTAATAATTATTCGTATCATTCAATTTTCAATTTCATTTTTAATACAATAATGTAACTCTGCCTCAGTTATAGAACTGAATTAAGGATTGGTATTTATAATGAAGATACTGTATTTCCTACTCTGTGACTTCAATCAGCGTATGACTCAACACATTGGGGCTGTTACGATACAAGTTGACAAGTTTGCCTTTGCCCAGCTATTAATCACCCGCCAAGTTAGAGGTGCCGTTGACAACTTGCCTACACACTGACCTATTTTAATTTCGCTTATATTTTTTATCATAAGATCATAAATCATATGCCAATGTCTTGACATTTCTTACAGATATTTGTACATGAATTAGAATGGTGGTGATGATTAAAATACGGGTTCGATTTTCGTGTGGAATCCATACTAATATTATAAATATGTGTTTGTTTGTTTGTCCTTGTTTCACGTCAGAACAGAGTGAGGGATTAAGGTGATTTTTTATGTGGAGATAGTTGGAGGGTGAGTTAGTTGGAAGTTGGATACTTTTTACTGCGGGAGATTATCTCATTTTCAAGGGAAAACACGTTACGATACAACCCAAAACAAGTGATCATAGCTATGTATATATAATACATATACATATTGTCTGTCTGTCTCTATCTATTCCATACTAACCGTTAAATATTGAGTATATTATAGTTTCATCAATTTAAGCAGGTTTTGTGTAATAATAAAAAAAAAACATTTTTAAAAGATTGTCAAAAAGCACAAATATTAAGTCAATCTCTGTCTTACTATATATATATATATATATATATATATATATATATATATATATATATATATATATATATAAAACATTTATTACTATTTTTTTTTCAAAATGTATTAACAGGACATGTTCTATACAACAAGTCACGTAAGTTACTAACCAAAAACAAAACTATTTTTTTATTCATAAATATGTAGAATAGCACCTGACTTAATTAATATTAATATTTTTGGACCTTTACAAATTTAATAAACATGTAGTTAAGTTAGTGAAAGTAATTGAACTCGGGTAATTATATACTAGGTTTTTGACCCGGGCACACCCGTCATTAGTACAGCCCTTCATAATGAGCTCGGATACACGAGGGTGACTATGATTCGTTTATGGTTTTAGGAGACATTATAATATGTTAAAGGGATGTAATACTTTCTATTGTTTAATGTCGTTCATCTATATTTGATATTGAATTGTGCATTTTGCCTTACTACTATTATTATGCTTAGCCAGAATTTTCTCTTTGGTGTGGTTGGTTGGGTGGTGGCCCTGGGTTCGTTTCCGTCAATTATTTTAATTTGCCTCGGTGGTGTAGTAGCTAGCATGTACGGCT